CTTCGACTGAGCAGAATACTGCCTCCAGTGACGTGTCGTTGAGGCCGAGGAGCGTTGATTATTTGGGGGTATTCGTAGGTGGGCGTTTTCTCGCTCGCCAATGGATGAAGCCCGTCGCCGTGTTTCACAACACACGCTCAACGGCCACGATCTCGAGGGGCGGGGCGAACACTGAGGAGATCGGGGCTCCACGTTCCTTGACTGGGTGATCAGCTTTCATGAGGCTTGTGTAACATCCAACACAGGCCAAAGGAGGACCAAGGACGTGCCGCGAGGGAAACGGAGAGCAAAACGGTTGATGCGGGCCGCTGGGAGCGGTCCCCGTCGTCGCCGAGGTGGATGTTTTTGCTTGTTGGAGTTCTCCGCCCAGCCTTGGAGCCTTGTTCCGACAGGCGTAACTTTTTCTTCGCTGCAGAAGCGGAACTCGAATGCCGTTTCGAGGCGGCTCTGAGTTTGAGCTGGACAGGGGTCCGGCATGAGTGCGTCAATCCAATGAGAGAGCAAGGACCGGCTGGAAGATTGACATGGCGGCGTTTGGCGCACCTTGGTGGCTTCCTGAGTGGGGACTTGGGCTCACCACAACGGCCCATTCAGATGAATGCCCATTTCCCAATGACGGTCTTGAAACCGTCAGGCAGACCAAACAGCGTGCGAGCCTCTCCTCACCTGTTCACCCGTTCAGCACGGTCGTCAAGGTTGAAACGCAGCGGGAAGCCCCTCCAAACCATTGGTGCTCCCCCAATCGATCATGACCAAGTCCCGCCCTTCTATTTTGAGTCTGGGTTTAAAGCGCCCCACTGTTCATTGCGACGTCTCTTACTCGGGATGCCGAGTGGATGCTCCCGAAACTGGCCGGAGGTTACATTGCGTTCTCTTGGGAGGCCCGGAGGGTCTTTACTGAGGGCGTTCCCTGCAAGAGAACCGAGCATCGAGGCGTGGACGAATAATCTCACCAGCACCTGCTCCCAATGAAGTTCCAATGTCAGCGGCAAGGCTGGACTCTCAAGAGCTCAGGCAGTCGTGTCGGAGCCCACCACAAACTTGCAAAGCGAGTTCCCGTTTGGGTTGCCAAGCCATCGAGGAGACAGCTGAGAGCTTTCGCTTGATTTGTCCAGGAACAGCTAACGGCCAAAGGACGGATGACAGTACGTACCTGCAGGGACCCCCGGCAGGAAGCCGGGGAACGCCACTGAAGATCTGTCCCGCATGATTGGGTGACCCCGACCCGGCGCTGTGTGACAACGGTTTTTGCGTCAACGCTAACGGGCGGATCCTACCCCTTCCCGGTCCCAGGTCCCCGAGTCGGGCTTTAGCCACATGTGGTGCCCGAACCGCCGGCGCCCCGAACACCCAGAGCTGCCGTTTTCGGTAGCCAACCACAACCCTTCGCTCCGTGAACAGCTCGTCCATCACTGGCCCACGGCGATCAACGGTTTTGTCCTCGCCGCGAAAACGGGAACCGGTGTTCGTCCACCAAGTGGCTTGACGCGGGATGGATAATCCATGGGGCCATCGCGACTGTGAATGCATCGCAGCTATTCGGGATACGCCCTCGAGCCGCCCCAAAGCGTCGATATTGCTTGATATGGTAACGTTAACGCCCTGATCCCGCACAGCATCGAGCAGGGCCGGGGAGAACGTGGGGCCCCCCATTTGCCGTCAGCCGTTGCAGGTCCTCGATGACAGTGTTTCCGAAACATTGCGTATTGTTGCTTGCCAGAGACTGTCCAAACATCGTCCGTTTCGGTGTGGTGTCCAGGGACACGGTCCGTGGATGGGCAACACACGAGCAATGAAGGTGTGGTTGACGAATAGGAAACCTGGCTCGGCGGGACGATCATGCAGGTCGAACGGAACGCCGACCTTGGAGCAAGTCATGAATTTTGTGATTCTACACAACGCGGCTCGTTAATTTGTCCTTTCCGTAGTAACTCGAAGAGCAAGTAGGGTTCTCATCGTTACAGTGCAATTTAGCGATCGGGGAGGATGGACGCTCAAAAATGTGAGAAGATATGATGACCGAGGACTTGGCCAAATACCATGGGGGCCCGGTAATAGGTTGCATCGGCAAGGATACCGGTAACCTCAGGTGACCAGATCGAAGATTTGTTGTTTGGGTGCATCCTGAAACGGGATCCCGATTTCCCGCCTTGTTGGGTGGTTGCGCCAGGGAAAGCGAAATTGGGGGGCGGCGGACTCTGTTTTTTTGAGGAGGGGCTGCCCAGTACCAGCTCCCTTCGTCGGTGTGCGAAAGAGCTAGCTGAGGAAGTCACGATCGGAGCCGTTTCAGGTGTGGCGTCACATCGCACCTGACGGTCGGCGGAGACTCGAGAGAGGGAAGTAACGGCCACCAGGCTGCACGCAGTAAGACATGCAGAAGGTTCGCCCGCGGGCAATTGGGGGAAGGAAGAAACAACCGGCCACGAGCCACGAGCCACGGGCCACGAGCTTTGAGCTTTTGTCGACCGTTTTCTGTTGGGGAAAAAGAGAAACCTTCCTCTGATGCGAACCCATGAGGAATAACTTGCAGGTTTCCCCGCTCCCGGCCTCGCAAAGATCCGTGAGTTCAGTCAGGGTCAAACGAGGGACGTGCAAACACCCACCCTCGGGAACGCTGGGTAATACCGATAATTACTGTAACGACTTTGGTGAGTAGTTTGTACCTCTCTGGTGTGATTTCCATTTGTACCATCAATTATAATTATATGATATCGTCCATCGCATTGACATTCACCTTTCCATGCATTTTTGGGTTCTCAACGTCATCAGCCGTGTTGTTAGATTACATTCTTTATCTAGTGCGCACTACTATGTACAGCAATATTTTGTCCGAAGGGACAGCGGCAGCTTCTACTGTGTAAGCGTCGCAGTAAAGTTTTAGTTATGCCTAACTACCCACCTCGTTCGACACACAAAAAGCAAAACTTGATGTCACCAGACAGCCACCGCGAAAGACCACCGACCCTACGAATACCAACTCTCCGATTGCTGCCGGCAGCTGGCACAGCAATAATAAAAATGGTCCGATACATCTGGGGAGAGCCGGGCCTGCGGGGGGGAGAGGGGAGACCCGCCGTTTTCGGCGCACAGCAACAAGGAACCACCGTTGCGAATTGGTGCACCCCAGAGCGTGCATTCAGCCGGCCAGCTGGGGACCCAGGTGGATGGGTCACTGAAGCCACCCGCAAGGATCAGCACGGACCGGATCGCTGGGTCACTGGGGCTTTGAATCTCATTTCGAGGTCTCTCGCTGTTGAACCAGGAAGACGAAAGCCAAAAATGCTGACATGAAGTCTTCTCGTGGAGCCAAGTTCGATCGATGTTGCTGCATCCTTTCAGCAACAAGTACGGGGCGCCTTTGGAGAAGACCGCGAGCGGGAGCCCTCGGGCCACTCACAGCGTCGAGGTTAGGGTAACATCCGTCAGGCACTCATGGCACCCATCCCGGTTTTCCTGCGCAAGTATTCTACTTTCAGTAACAGACAAAAAAGGAGGGATGGTAGTGTGGTTCATAAGATTCGAGGCGACCGAGAGAAAGCTGAACATCCCAAAGAGCAGGTGTCTTCATGTGACAGAACGTCCTGAAAAGAGCTGGTTGGTCGGAGCGACCCAATGAACGGGGATGCGACCCGACAGAATGTTTCGCTTCCCGTCACCGCCTCAGTCCCTTGTTCAAGGAAGGAGAGGGCTATAACACATATCATATACCTCCCGAGAACATGGATGATACGATCAGCTCGTGGGCATCGAGGGTTCGGGAGGCGATGGCTCGTCAAAGTGCCGTACAGAAGCGAGGACGCTCTTCATCCCATATCTTATGCGATTCAGCTGCGTCCGAACCCCCAGCATCCCATCAATGTTGCTGTTTTTGATGGGAATCCGAGGATGTGGTCCGCAGTAATCTGTTGCTGTCCCAGGTTTCTTTTTATTTTCGTTCCCAATGGACGACCCAGGACCACAGCTTGCGAAAAGAGTTGGCCGCATGTTCAGATCGCAGTTTTGACCTTGAAACCTGGTAACGTAACGCCGGGTCCGCCGAAGCACCATTGCGGCGAGGCACACGATGCAGGAACATACGGGACCAATGCACACTTAGGTCGGCCGACTTGTTGATTCGATGTCTCATGGCTGTCTAAACAAGTGACTGGCCCTCGTTCGCTACACTAACGTTAGTGTACACGAGGAAGAAAAAAGGTCCTGTTCGACGCGGTCCCCACCACGCTTTGCCAAGATATCTGCACAAACCTCGGCGCCCCATCGGGCTCAAATCTGCTGGCAGTTCGATCGTGATCGTGATCTCCAGATTCCTGGGTTGACCAAGGCCAAAAAGCACTGCAGGAGAAAAGCCCGATTCGATGGAGCAAGGAGGGTGTGGGGGTGAACATGCCCCTGGCGGCCTCGAGCCTGCGAAGGATGGTACTTCAGTACGCGGAATTACAGGTGGGTAATCAGACAGGGATATGGAGGACGAAGGGGGGGTGTGTGGGAAGAGTTGCTTTGCAGTCCATGATCCATGTCCCTGCTTTGAACAGGCCCACATCCCGGGAGAAGTCGAATCCCCGTTGACTCCTAACAATACGCCCCCAGGGTTGCAACCCACCCCTCAGGCGTCCACCCCAAGCAGCCGATCGTCTGGACACGGGAGCGCCTCGTCCTGACTGATCACTCTTGGATCTCCCCACGCCATGCAGATTGCCTACTATATGACCCCCCCGCTCCCCCGTGAACCCCCCTCCTTCCCATCATCTTCTCCAAGACGTCGGCCCTCGGTCTGTACTGTTTTAACATTTGACGACACCGAACTTGAACTCTTTTAAGGACTCGGATTTTCTCATTCGTCACCCTCTTCCACCACTTCGCCACGACAGGAACACCAAACCTGTCTCAGCCTCGTGGACAAAACTCGGCTGCTGATCCCGGTTGTTCAAAACTCGGGTCGCATCGCACGCACAAACTCACATCCACGACAGCACACCACAAACCACACAACAACTGCACTCATGTTATCGGAACAGGCACTCAACAAGCGGAACTGGGAGGGCAAGGAAGATGTCCTCCTCCTGGAACTGCACTCCGCGTACGGGCCCAACTGGACACGCATTGCGGGGGGTATGGGCATTCGGTCGGCCAAGCAATGCCGGGAGCGGTACACACAACACCTCAAGCCGGGGCTCAACCGCTCACCCATCTCGGACGACGAAGGACGGCAGATCATGCGGATGGTGAGCGAGAGCGGGCAAAGGTGGGCGCAGATTGCGAGGAACCTGGGCACGAACCGCAGCGACAACCAGATCAAGAACTGGTGGAACGGAGCGAAGCGGAAGGAGACGTCGAAGAGGCAGGAGGCTGGTCAGGAGCGGCACCACCAGCATCAGCTCCAACACCAACAGCCATTACCTCAAATCGCTCACCAACACCAACACCAACAGTACCCGCAAGACATCTCTCCCTCGCTCGGCCTGGCCGCTCTCCCCGAGCGACGCGGCATCCTCCCACCCGTCCCTCTCAGTCTTCCCTTCGACGGGCCACGGCGGTCCTCGCCCGCACACTCTTACGACTCGGAGCGCCCCCCATCGCTGGTCTCTGATAGCGGTTCTACCTGGAGCGCCTCGCAGCCCGCTTCCGCATCCTGCTCGCCAACCTCCGTCTCTCTTCCTCCTCTTCACTACGCCCCGCCCACACCACCCACTGCCAGTTGCACCCCGACCGTGCCTCCTATGGCCGCTCCTGGCCAACTCGGTCACTCGACCACCGGATACGCTCACTACGCCACCGGCCCCATTCGTCGGTGCTCGGAGGGCAGCAGCACCAGCAGCAACACAGCCTACTCCCCGCGGAGCAGGTACATCACAACCCCCACGACACCCGTCTACAGAGGCTTGTCGTCGGCCGGTTCATCCTCCCGTTGGGAACCGTATCCGACAAAGGGCCGGCGGCCGAGCACAGGGTACCTCCGCGAGCAGGAGCACGAGAGCTCACCAGAGAAGAGAGAAAAAGGGAAGAGCTCGCTTTCATTCCTTCTTAACTAAGCAAGAGCATGCCTGGCTTGTTCTTGGCCTATCTCTTTCTTTCTCTCTCTCTCTATCTCTGTCTCTGCTTGGGGTTAAAAAAAGGATATACACCACGGATTTTGGAACGGCGTTTCTAGGTGGATGGCAGGGGATGAGGTGTGTATCTCACCGGTGGATGTAAGACATGTACGGATGGTTTTTTTTTTCCCGCGATATCGGATGGTTTTTGTTCTCTATAGGATACCCAGTTTTCTGTTACTTGTCATCGCTTTCCCTCATTCTCAAAACCCCCCTTTCGGCTTATTCTGGGGTATATTTTATTTCATTTGGCTCGGCACATGTGGCTTTCTCTCCCGTGTTTCAATATTCCGGGCAGTCACTGTTTTCCTTTGTTGTTCGACTATATTTTATGACGGGTCCAAGGACATCGGGGTGGGTTGGCTGGCTATCACGGCGGAAAACGGAACCGGGTTACGAACGCAGCAATGTCATGGAGAGTGGATGGGTGGAGGGGATAAGGAGGCCCTATTGTACAATAATAATTTCGGGGTGGTACTGCGGGTACTACAGGGTGAAGAATAATAGCAGCCAGCACACATGCTGCGCGCATTCTCGGATGAGAAACTCAACAAAATGTTCCCCAAGTTTCCTCCAACTCCAGTGACGAACAGAATGATTTGGTTAACTATGGCCGTCCCTTCTTTCACCGAGTTTGGTGTCATCATTCCGTCGTTCGGAACCAATATCGAAGGATGGACGCCTTGCGGTGAGAGGGGGGGTGAGCGGTACCAGAAAAAGCAAAGCTATTCCGATAAATTTTTCTTAACTCGACATCCTTGTCTACCCATGGATCTGCCACGTTGACCCCTGGAACAATTCAAACAGATCCAGAGTGATCACTATTCAGGTCGATGAAAGTTTATTGAGAACATTGCTCATTCGCATTTTTGTTGGAGAGTGAGTGTGAATGTTTGATATATCTCCACAAGAATAGCCAGGGAGCCGCAAGATCTATGCGTAGTTAGATATCAACTATTGTATCAATGCAAGCAAACAAGGACTCAAGAACAAGCTGAAAAGACCCGCCTTGTCCTTTCCACCCTCCCCTTTCTCTCTCTGCTGTCAGGCATACACTAGTTAGGCTGGCTGTTCAAACACACATGCACCCACAGCACAACACACAGCGAGGTCAGCCAGCCTCAAACCTCAAGCGAACCGTGCCGGCGTCCCGGTCCCGCTTGGCACCCGCGACACCGTGGACAGACATATTGATACATACACATACACATACACATACACATACACATACACCACACCCATCTAACGATGACATCGATGGCCCAAATCACACGAGCTGAATTCAGGCAAGAAGCAAAGAATCAACAACTCAACCACAGTCCCCCGCCTCTCGAACCCCCGACTACTTGACCCCCACACGCTTAACACGCCAGAACTCACGACTCAAAATCGTCCGATTCACCCCCCAGTCAAGATGATCGGATGCGATGCCGTGCAGGCCGGAAATCGTGGGCAAGCTCGTCTCATCGAAAGACGATTCATGGTTTTCCCTTTCTTTTTCCTCTCTGCCCGCCCCCTCTTCTCAAGTTGAACGGCGGAAAGTCCAACCGCTCACCTTCACACTTCTACGCCCCCCCTTTTTCTCGTCACACCACGTCAGTGTCCGGCCAGGCGGATCACGCCTTGGGCGTTCCGTTTCGACGGCGAGATGCCCATCCACATGAGATTGGCCCTGGGGGGCGTCACCAAACGTTCTCCACTCCGCCGTGCGTTGAAAAAAACGAACGCCAACTCCCTTGTTTCCTGCTGCAACAATTCCTGATGTGTCCACTATCTTTGTCCTGCGAACCACCCGCAAAGGTCCCGTCCCTCCATCCCAGGCCGCTGGGGCTGGCTGAAGTGTGGGCGGGGGGAGGGGGTTAACCGTCGGTGTGGTCGGCGTGGGTTGTTACTTGTCCCAAGAGAAAACGAGATCAACCCACACCCGCACCCTCATCGGCGTTCTGCGGGATGTGAATGGCTGGAAGTCGCCAGTCCCGCCCACGATCCGCAACCCTGAGACAGCCATATCCTAGCATTTGGGTCACGGAGGAGGGGATGAAGGGGGGGAGGGGGGGGGGCGATCGCAACGGCCCAGGTTCGAGCCCTGCCCGCTAGCAGTTAACTTGCGACCTTTTTTTCCAATGGTTGCTGCAGGATGCTTCGGAAGAGCAGAGATCCGGAGGAGGAGCCGTGAGCAAAACGGTCGGTTGATGCTGCAACCGTTCACGCGCCCCGCCGACACTAACGTTAGTTAATCTTTGTTTCGCAGGGTCGCCCGTGCGTGTGCCTTGTTCCCTCTTTTTTTCTTTTCTCCTCCACACACTCTCTCTCTCTTCCCGCTACCCCTTCCCGGAGAGCGGGGGTGGCCATGGCTATTCCCAAACATTGCCGTCCCTTGGAACCAAGTAAAAGAAAAGGAAAAGATCATTGAGCACTGGAGCAGCCGCACGGCGCCCACACAGACCCGGCACAAGGTCGTTCCCCGCGGACGCATCGCAGGGTGGTATTTCCTTTACCAATGCAACGTCGGGAACTACCAGGTCGGCGACCTCGCAAGAGATTCGAGTTCGTTCCCGTGGGTGTAACCCAAGGCTGCAGATCCCGCGATTGCGACACTGCGTGCCCAGACTCCCAGGCCCTGGCTTGCCTGGGCACGCAGTCTTCCTGGCCCTTGCTTTCACGTTAACTGAACTCGTTACCCTTGCTCCCTTGTTCCGTTCTCGCCCAGGCAAAGCAAAAGGGGAAATAGCTGCGACGGATTCGTTTTTGTGGAAACGGGGTTCCTGGATCGTAGTTAGCCTTCTTCTTGGACAGCGCGTCGTCCAAACTTTTGATTTGGGAAGATCACGAACCCTAGCAATCTTGGATTTGAGATGCACTGCCGGCCGACGACTGTGTTCTAACCTTGTACGGAGTATTCGGTACAGAGTACTCGGTACAGAGTACTGTGCGGGAGGGGACGTCAGAAACAAAACAAAATCAACATCGGGAAAGACTCCGACTCGGCCCTCCTCAATTTCCCTTCCTGGGCGACGTCGCCAACAGCAAGTGCACAGACAAAGGGACGGCTTTCGACGTTGGTATTGTGAGACTGGAGAAGAGGTATAACCTGCCAGGGAGCTTGTCTGACCCCCCAGGCCACAGCGGGTCTTTCCCAAGTCTGCGGGCACGGGCCCGAGTCGGAGACGGAAGGCGCTTTGTGGCTTTCGCGCACAGCGCCTTCTGTTTCCCAAATCTCCAAGTCTCCATCTGCTGGCGAGCCACCTCATTCTGTTGCAGACCGAGGAAGTAAAACGCCCGCATCTCATCCTCCAAATCCTCTCCAACACAGCGTGCGCAAGGCCGACTCGGTTCCCAATCGATCAAAATTCGAAAGCGAAAATGACGAAAGAAGCCAGGAGTCGGCGCCAAATACGGCTCTGTTGGGAAGATCTGCGTCGAGGATTCCACCGCCATGGGTCTTGATTGACAGCACGGCAAAAGATCGATCCACCCTTGACAATTCTGCCGACACACGACACCGCATTCATGACGCAGGAACTGCAAATTGCTCGACAGGACCGCAGTTTCCCAAGTGAGGCACGGAGGGGAATCCTGGCGATGCCCAAATTGCAATGAGGATATCATCTCGCAACGACAGCCGTCAGTGGGATGGGACGGTTCCCAAGAGCCAGGATCCCCTGGCGTTTTGACGGGGAATTCCGTTGGTTCCTGGTCAGGTTGGAAAAGACGGAGGCCCGCTTGCAGCGCTTAACGAAACTTCATTTTCGCACCTCCACCACCCCCACGGCGGATACAATGGTACCGGTATTGTATGTCTTTTTACCCACGAGGGGGCGCAACTCACGCCGCGAGACCGCAGCCTCATCAACCGCTTCCCATTGTCCGGGGATGAAAAGCAAGGCACACATCGTGCCTAATCCCTGCTTGCTTACCATAAAATTGTCCCGATTCTTTCGTCCCACAAACAGGATCGTCCATCCAGCGGTGGTAGTGTCACACAGGCCGTCCACTGTGTTACCTGAACGTGCTGCTGTTGAACTTCACCGATCAACTCCGCGGCAATCCACAACCAAGCAGAAATGACAGAGGCCAAAAAATCATTGGAGCCCCAGACCAAAGAGAGCATCGAGCATCAAGCAACGTAGAGACGAAACAGGACAGCAGACATGCGAACGTTCAGCATACAAAACATCTCCAACACCTGCCACTATAAAACAATACACCGTTGATGGAACTTTGAGGCCGAAACAAACCAACTGCCTTAGCCGGAGTTGACGCCGAAGAAAGAGGCCGGCATCAACAGAGTTTGAGAAAGAACACCGTTTTTCCACTTCCACCGCGTCCCCGTTAGCGTCCCGGCCCGGAAGCCAAACAGCATGCACAACGCTGGTATGGGCCCAGGGTGAGGGCCGGTTCGGGGAGAAGACCGTTACGCTGATTGAACGCACCCCATGTCGGTGCGAACGCCGAGTCGCCGACCCACCACACTTGAGAGCATCAACCGTCGTTGGTTGTTTCCTTCTCCATCCAACGGGCAGCGGAAGGATGGGGCTTTCTATGTTGGGCCAACCCCACCAACTGCCAACCCCTTTTCAGCGCAACAAGGGTCCGAGCTGATCAGTCGACAAGAACAGGAAACACCAACATCACAAAGACACACACACTCCACGCGATGGATTTTAGCGCAAACGGCCAGGAATGCTTGGCGATTCCAACCTCCACTCCCTCTCTCCGCGCCATCACTGGCTGACGGCGAACTTCCTCTCGAGCGGAGCAAGGTCGCTCGCTGCATGCTCCGACACCAGCAAAGAATCCGACAAGCCGACTTCCGATACCCTCTCCCCAGGTCCTTCTCCTACCTAGTTGCTAGCATCACACGCGATATGGAGGAACACTTTGGCGCCTTGTGACGACGCCGGTCGGTGATGAGAGGAGAAAGCGGGGGGCCAAGCAACAGGACGGGCGCCAACGGCAAAGTCGGGAATCCCGATCGGCTTTTCAGTCCGCACATCGGCTTTTCAATCCACGCACAAGCAACGTCATCTTCTCCGCGGGGCTGCGGCAACTCCCCACGCTGGCTGGCCGCGTGCTCTTGGTGCCCGCTCTGGGCGGCCCCAGAAGGTTAGCAGTCGCCGATCGAACTTTCATCAACCCGCCTCCCACTGGCCCGTCGCCACAGGGCCACACAAGAGGTGGTGGCTTGGGCCCAATCAGCACCACAAGCCACACCGTCGGGTCAGACGGGAGACGGATGGCCAAGATCGTCGAAACGGACGGCCCATCACTGTGAAGGTGACTGGAATCCGTACTACATAGTAGTATGAAATTCCACGCCGGTTCCGTTGCCGCCGCCCCGTCATTAACACTCCTCCTACACTACCAAGTACGTACACTACACTACATGGTTACCGCCGCCGCAAGGAAGAAGCCCGGAGGCCCCCGGGTGGGGCGCCGTTGCTTTTCGGTGCTCGGGCCGGGCGAAGAACTCACGTTAAGGGTGTTCCTGGTTAATTCTTGCTAGGAGGCCCACCGATTATTAACGGCCGAATGTCCGAACGCCAGCGCTAGTTTTAGTGTTGGCGGCGACCGCGTGGGATGTTCCATGGTGAGGGTGAAGGCGAGGGTGAAGGGGGTGTGTGATTTCGGGCTGCTTGCCGGTAGCTGTTGGTCCGCGCTGGCACCTGAGACATCTGGCCCCGATCCCGGAATGCACCGTGACGATGATTTGATGGGCTTGTTTTTCGCTGTTGGTGGCTTCGCTTGCCGGAACGAAGCCCGACGCAAGTCACGCAGCCGGCAACAGGACAGACAACAAACAGTTGCGGTTAGCATTGTTCATCGGCGCGGCCCTTCGGTAGGCCCCGGTGGAAGCGGAAAGGGAAAAGAGATGCAAAGGCGTGCTTGCCTTTTGGAACAGTCGGAGCTGTCCGCAACTCTAGACCCGTTTATCGGCAAGGTACTCGAAAAACGAAGGATCTCTTGTTACGGAGTATTGTTACGGAGTACCCCGTGGTACACATCCAAACCACTGATGACCAAGCTCCAAGTAGGAGCACATGTTTTTTTTTTCTCCGAAAATGCGAGATTCCTCGGAAGCAGGAGAAAAATATGCTGATACGACCGGAAGTTGTGCGGAGCCTCGGTAACAGAGCTTGAAGCTAAATAATTACTCGATCACAGCAACGGGTGACCCCCAACTGTACAGGAGGGAGAGAAATGAGATGACGAGACGAAATGGTCGATTCAAAAACGCCAACTTTTTCATCTCAACTCTCATCAACGGACAGTCCGTCAGGATCGGGGTCCTTTCCGAGAGCGCCCATCCCAGTCACATCTCAGTCAACTCACCAACCACAGCTCAAGAATTCTATCGTTCGCTGGGGGACCCGGCGATCTGGGTGCCAAAACGGCTTTCGCTTATCGAGCCAATCAGCGTTCAAGTTCCCCTTCTTCCCCGAGCCACCTGAGCCACAGTGCCACAACGCAAACACACACAGGCACAGCCCGAGCGGGCGGAAAGCAAAAAGACGCCGGGAGGGAAAGACGCCGGGAGGGCAAGACACCGAAGCGGGCACCCGCCCTCGGCCCCACTGCTGTGGGTAATTGTACAACCACCCCCATCCCACTCCCTTTTTTTTCTGACAATGAAACAAAAAAGAGAGATCGTGGGGAATCGACCTGATTGGACAATATGCGCGCTTTTTGGTACGTACTCCGGCACTCCCGGGGTCAATTCGAAACCCCGCCTGAGTTTCCACGCGCCCTTTTTTCTTCTTTCTCTTGTTTCGTTGTCAAGCTGTCAAGCTATCCCTGCTCGCCGTTGTGTGTGTGTCTGTGTTGTTTTTGTTTGCCGTACCTTCCCTTTTTAGGATGTGTTTGCGATCTCATGACATGTTCGAGTTCGGTTTTGAAGCGAGAGGCGGCCATCAGGTTTGGCCGGGAATTTGAAAGCATGACATGGTGATGACATGAAAGATGAGAGGAAAGGATGTGCATGTTTCTTCTTTATTATTTGAAATAGTGTACTGAGCAAGTGCAGGTTGGATACACAAACAAACCCATGGCATGGCTCAAGGGCGGGCTTGGCCGGCGAAATCCGTCCCGTGATCCACTTTTCCTCTTTGACGTTCCAAGTATTCGTACCACAATTTCTTAGTTGAACTACATAGTAGTTTAAAGTTAGGAGACCGTGAGTTGTTTGTTGATGTTTTGAACAACCAAAAAAACAATTGACTCAACTATTTTGGAGTATTCGGTGTTGTCAAGTCCCAAGTAGAAACAACAAATCTCCTTCTGGTCCACACTCCGCTCACAAGCTATCTCCATCTTTGTATAATTATCAATGCTTAAGCCGGTTTTCGGGGTTATTTTCAAGAAGGGGAAACGGTGCCGGAATAACATCATCCAACATATCCACTGATTTCCCTTTCCTGCTCTCCGAGCACCGTCCTCTCGGGACGGCACCGTGCATGGAGGCAGTCAATCATTTTCTTTTTTTCCCCCCTTCTCTTCTTTTTCTTTGGGTTCCGTGGTTTCCGTTCTTGGGTTTGCTCCCTCCTCCCTTGATGCCCTCTGCCCCCCGCGGGCCCCACCTTGTGTCCTAACTCGGCTTGTTCTCAGCTGGGTTACTCCTTGCTGGACACAGCTGTGTGGTTTTTGGGGACCAAGGATCTCCCTTGGTTAGTTAGGTAGGTTCCGGCGTTGGAAGGGGTTGCAGGTTACTGCGTCCACAGTGTACAGTACACGTAGGATAATTGGGTCATTCTTTTTCGTCCCGGGAACCAGGCACCGGGACTTGTTTGCCTCCGTTTTGGGGGGTCACGGGACAGGGGGGGTTATTCCTGTGTCTGGGAACGTCCGGGTCGGCGAGGAAAGGTGATGAATGTGGGCGGGGTATGTACGCTTGGCATCTACGGTACATTACATGTAAGTGAGACGTTTGGAAATCGTCAAAAACAATTCCTTGAGATGGGCTCATACGATGATCAAGTGATATGAGAGAGTTAGAACGAAGACAAGGGAGAGATATGTCAAATGTGGTTGTGTGCTTCCATTTGCCAGGCCTTTCCTGTCTGGATAGACCAAATGTTTTATTCTTGACAGAGGGGAAACATCATATTGACAACCGCTGAAGTGGAGAATGGGTATGTACATACATACACAAATACATACAGCGTAGATGTATACGAGAACGAAAAGAAGCTTTAATGACAGGGTGAAAAGACAAACAACTTCCACTAAACCGGGCCGGGCCTTGAATCAAGCGAACGAAACCGGGCAGACGCAGGCCAGGCCAGCAAATTGACGAGACGCCGAACAGCGTCTCGGGGACTGGCCGGTGGCGTTCTCCTACCCGAACACCGTCGGTGATATTCACCCATCGTCAGTTTCACTTCTTGCTCGGCCTCCTGAGATCTTATTGTACTCCATATCCGGCGGTCGCAATGCATACCCGATTAACGAGGAACTGTCACCGTTGACATCGGATGTACATACCGGCCACTCGGAACGACGTTTGCTTTGCGTTTGTCGTGATCTATCTTGACCCAGCTGGCGGTACGCCTCCACTCTCCTCATGTCATGCGGGTGTAGCCGCTAGCTACCGGCGAAGACAAGCCCGGTATGACAACGACAACTTTGTGTGCGAGTGATCAGGGGGAGAAAGGAAGGGGGCGTGAATGTGGAGGTGACGGTTTGCACGGTCTCACATGCTCATACATGGACATCTCCCATGCCATACACATCATCATCAATGTACGTAGTGTAGATGGTTGACCGAGCAGCTGGTGAAGGGCGACTACAGTTGTTTCCCACGCCGATGGGCAGCCCTGTTCCTCTACTATGAAGCGAGCCAAAATAAAACCAAAATCAAGCCACCCAGCTTCAACCCAGCCTGGGCCGCGCCGGTTCGGACAGGAAGAAACCAAGGGAGAAAGAAGAGAGAGTACGAAGAGCAAACAAAACCTACACGGTGCCCGCAGTATGTATGCATCACAGACCACAAACGACAGCAAAACCGCGTAAATCATCCAGTCATATCCGGTGTCAGTGACCAGTCCGCCAGTGGGCGCTTAGGACGGATCATGTTGGTTGTTGTACTGAGTAGACTTGACGTTTGGGTGGACGAGATGGAATGTCTTTTCTTCAAGGCAATGCCGTGTTCATCACTTTCCCCCCGGTTGGGTACTCCGAGTACTTATATTAACAAGCTCGCCGACGGTATACCGACACTCCGATAGCGAAAACGTTAGAGCGTATGGTGATCAAGATCAAGCAAGAGGTAGTACTGACGACTCCTGGCGTTAAGTGAGTTAGTCCCGTGATTTATTGCCCATCTATTACCAAATATGGGAATTTATATCATCCATATGTAGCGGCGTGATGTCCACGGCTGGCAAGTGTTCCTCCAGTAACCCTGCTGGGGTCTTTGGGGGCTACGCGACGAATATCCCGCATTTAAGCTGGGGGTTTGGAAAAGGTAATTCTCCGTTACATTTACATACCTCGCGAGTTAGAGTACATTATCGTGTCAGATTCGCTGAGGAGTATCCCCAACCCGGCTGAGCTCGACCACCAAGCCAAGGGTTTTACTATCCGCTGACCACCGCCTCTTTCATCACGGATTTTATCCCCAGCTTGCCTCTTATTCTACTAATACCCCCATCAATTCCTGCTTCCCGTCCTTCCTTGCTCATCAACCTCGTAAGGGCTGGCCGCAATATCACTGTCATTTCCACCTTCACCAACCCATCTGACGGTGTTCATAGAGGTCGAGTGGCTAACTGAGCTCGAGCCCGCGTCAGACAACGGCGTCCTTGAGGGTTCATAGTCACAGCGGCCGGGTATGATTACTCTAAGGCCAGGTTTGGCTCGTGTAGACGCCTTAGCTTCGGATGAGTTGGTGGCCCCTTCTCCAGCTGAGGATGCGCATGGCCTGGAGACTTCAGGGCCAAACGTAGGTGAAGTTACGGTGAGGAGGTCATCACCACCCTTCTCAAACGAGTAGCGCCGGCGCCGGTCTTTGTTACTGGGCGGAGGTTCTAGTGAAGACTCTTGGTTCGAGAATCGTTCACTCCTCATCATTAGACGTGACATCCCGCCCTTAACTTTTCCTGTGCTGCTGTGTGGTAAGCCAGTCGGATCTGACAGGCTGGACTGTTTTCGGTTCGTCTTCTCCGGCTTGCCTCTCGTTTTGCCAAATAACCTAAAAGGCCCGCGTGACTGCCCAGCGTCCGAGTCCGATGAGGAAGATGAGGAGGATGAAATCGACTCGTTATCGGTTGATAACGATGACAGTGAGTTTTGCGGTACGTGGCGGGCTTGGGGAACACAGTCCCCCGCAACATCCTCCCGCATCGTATTATCCAAGGCACCTTGATTCATATCTAAGAACGAAAGCTGCTGGGCTCTGGGTGTCTCCTCAAACATGTGTTGGGATTCAGGGGCGCCGTGTCCGTGGATGAAGACAGGAGGCGCACGTAGTCGGCCCCCTTGACGTTTTTGATGAGCTTGCCTCTCTTCAAGCTCGCGCAATTCCAACATACGGCTTAGCTCGATATCGTTTTGACGGTCAAGAATTCTAGGCATGGAACCTAGCAACTGTTAGTGCCATCTGCCACGGCTGGAGGGATGAGTACACACCAAGGATTTTATGACTACCTGTCATCGCCACATAATCCGGTTGCTCTTGTGCGGCGGGTGTCGGCTTTTTACTTTTGTTGATATCTTGAATTTGAACATTGTTCAATTGCTTGAGTCGCGCATGAAACCTTTTGCTCCCAATTCGGTCGACCAGGCTTCCATTGCGCGCGAGAGCAACGCTGGCCATCCCGTCCTTGCTTTCCTTAGCCAGCGCGAGTTCTAGCCGTTTGACCTCTGCCTTGTAGGCTTCGCCGGTCTCCATCCACTCCTCCGTCATGCCACGGAACTCGTCGAGCTCCCTCTCTCGCAGGTCTTGTAATTCGTCTAGTTTCTCCTCGGTTTCGCGAAGTTTCCGCGTGAGCTGGTAGAAACCCTCAATGAGCGATAGTACGCATGAGTGATATCTGCAACGCAAAGCAAATTAGCTCACCCATTTCCCCCGCAACAGACATAAGAATAGGCGAAGAAACATGATAGACTTACCTAGGATCCAACCGATCGCTACTGCTCATCCTCCCCATTACGCTGCTTAACATTTCAGCCATTTGCATTAGATTCGGATTATGCCACGTCCCCTGATCCACCATCTCCTTCTCCCTGTCAACACCCGCGGGGCTGGCAACACCTCCACCACTCCCGCTTCTGTTCCTTGCCCCGTATGCCCCGTAGATGCTCTTCTCCAAGCCCAAGACGGATGAGGAAGCATAATCCACATCCGTCAACGGCAGCATCGACAAAGATGCGGGCGCGTGAATCAGTAATGCCGCGGCTTCCTCCGACGCCCTTCTCTCCCGTTGCCGTTCCTCCTCTCGTCCCCGTCGTTTCGCCTTCTCGCGCTTTACCTCGGTTTCCCCACCTTCCTGCCCCAGGCCCAAATCAGCCCTCTTCAAATCCGCATCAGCTGACGACGAAGTCCGGCCACGACCGCGGCCGATTTTGCCGCCGGACCCGTGGCTTCCATTCTTGAGGCTTAGGAAGCTCGAGACGGTGCGGAGAGTGGCGCCTGCAGATTTGCGGTGATGGTGGCCTTGGGGATGGTGTTGGGCATTATTGGGACGGCGAGTGGGAGGTGAGTCAGTTGTGGGGGATTCCACCGGAGTTGAGATGGGTGTTGGGACGCGGTGGAAGGTGTGTCGGGTCTGGAGACTGGGTGGTTGAAATGATTGGGGTTGTTTTGTCGTCGTCGTGTTACTGGCCCCGGTGGTGGCATTGTTGTTATGATTGCCACCACTGCCAGAGCGAGCAAACGAGCGAAACCAACTCGTGTTGGTGATATTTTCAGTCATGATGACCGCGGTATTTTGAGGTCGATTGAAGTGGTTGATGGAATTCGGGTGTGCGAGAAGGCGATGTTCGTGAAAAAGTTTCATGTGTTGGGTTAGGCGGCGTTGAGCACCTGACCTTAGGGAGAATCACAACCCAGAGCTTAGGTTGTTTGGCAACCGGCAGGTACCCATAGACGGGATGGAGCAGGCAGGTTTTGGCTCTGGACGGGTCCGGTTCATGGGATTGATGAGATGCGTGGAGAGTTGGAAGGAACAATCCATAACACACATGTGGCAGTTGCCGCAGTCGGGGGTGACACAAAGAAACAATGAAGCTCGACGAGGAAGGCACGCAGGGTACGCCGGATGGGTCTCACTCACATATTTTCAACGTTACCCGCATTATGGCTGGGTTAAGGGCAGCATAATGAAAGATAGGGACAAGAGGGTCAGTGAGTAAGTCGGACCTCATGCAGGTTGAGTGCTAGGACATCAGTCTGTCACTTGACGCAATGGTGATATCGACACATTGGCATAGGAATGGATAAACCTCGTCTATCCACTTGAGACTCGTCCTAGAGATTTTGAAAAAAAAAAAGAGACAAGTCGCATGCAGGTCAAAACCTTGAAACCAGTAAGTGAGGTTTGTCTGTAGGATTGAGCCCGGGCAGCCGTGACTTGTGCGTGTATTCAGTTGGCATTTCTGGGCCGGCCCAAATTATTCTTGGTGTAGCTTCAAAAGCACTGATTGAGTGGCGATTGCTAGGCTTTATTATTTCTTTGCTTGCCTTGAAAATCCTGTCAACACCAAGCAATGGCGGATCGAGTTGTCAGGTGGGCGCCATACCTCTGGGATCCTCAGCACTGCCCAAACCGGCCCTCTGCACAATCTTGGGGCTATGCCATCTTTATTCCCCCTGTCGCCCCCGATCTCTTCCCCCAGGGGTGCGTCCCAAGCAACGGGCGTTTTTCTAAGTCCTCCACACTTCACACCCTGTGACTGAAAGTTAGAGCGGAGAGCTGTGAGATCTCGGAGGGAGACGCTTGGTAAGTCACCCAAGCAGTCCCCGCAAATCCATGTCGGTATGTGCCCCGCCACGGTTTCTCGGCGATCCATGGAGGTTAGGTTTGCCCCTCGTCCCCATCTAACCCTTACACTAGTAAAACGAGTCCTCAGCCTTCTGCCTCCTCCTCCCCCTACCCTCAATCTTCTCGGCAAAAAGCTCCTTGCCCGAGTTGCCAAACTTCTCAGGAAATAACTCCTTAACTGTTGGCCCAGTGCCTTTGATGGCAATCCCCTGCTCGTTGCTGCGTCTTCCTGCTATGCCGCGGATGTTGATGCCGTTACCACCATCACCGACAGCCGCGTTAGGCGCTGTGATTCTGTCTGCAAGTCTCGCTAAAGTGTGGGTGTCAATGAATGAATTCAAGAAATGCTTGGAGGAGTGATTAAATAGATAAAGAATGTTGGCAAAGTATGGTGAGGCTTTTCACCGAGTTGTCGTGCCATTTGAAGAGGCTAGAGCACTTGCGCCAGCCTCGCTGCAAGAGAGAGTCGCCACATACCGCTTGCTAGGACCGTCGTATCGTTAACCTGGTCCATCTGCGCCCTGCTGCCGAGGGACGAACCAAGCTTGCTGGGGAACAGTTCCTTGTGTCTGCCACTATCTTTCGATGGGAAAAGTTCTTTAGAGCCATTGTCGCGCGAGAGCCGCTCCTTGATCGAACGCCCCTTCTCCCGGCTCCGTAGCGCAGCAGCCGCCCGTGCATCCTCGTCCAGATCCATCTCGGCATCCCCATCGCGATCTCGCACTGGTGAAGCCGAGCGATCACGTAGACTTCGCCCAACACCAGACGCCTTCCCAGGGAATAATTCCTTGTCCCGGTTCCGCTGGGACAACCGCCTTGTGTCGGAAGAGGCAGAATCAGAGCGCCGCCGTGGGCGCGAGGGCCTGCGAGCCCGTGACGCAAGAGCTGGCGCGTCGTCATCGTAAAGGTTCACATCAAACGTCTCGGGTTCCTCGTCCTCACGGGAATCCCTCCTCCTGTCATTCCGCCTGTCTCGTCGGTATCGGTCATCTCGGTCTCGGTATTTTCCTCTAGGGAATTCACCCCGTCGCCGGCGCTCCTCTGGGTCGTATTCGGGATGCAATAGGTAGAATCGACTGCGCTCGGCAGCTCCCACAACTTTCTTGTCTGCCTCAACTGCGAACCGGACTCGCAGTGTTGATTCGGGTTTCCGAGAGAAAGCTTTGGCGGGAAGGTTTTCGAGAGGAGGTAATTGTGTTGGGTCGGCGATTTCGACGGCCGCCAGCGCGACGAGCGCTTCTTGGGCGGCGGGAGCAGACCTGAAGACAAAATTGGCGGACGTGTCGTCGATCCACTCGACTCGGGCGAGGTCGCTGGTACGGTAGTGTTCAGTCAAGTAGTCCTTGACATCATCCGGGTTAAACGTGTCGAGACCCTTGGTGTGGACCTTGTATAGCACTACGGCTTTGTCCCCGCCGGATATGTCGCCATCGTCGCCATTCGGACCCTCGTCCACCTCGCCGGGTTCCTAGTCACGCGTTGGGGTCAGCGCATTGCGCCGAGCAAATCCGAGATGGTAGCTTTCGGCTCGAACCTGGTCCTCCCCAATTAGGTCTTCCGTATATGCTGCGGGAATCGTGGGGACCGGCGCCTCATGGACGTCATCAACGTCCATTTCAATGTCAAGATCCATGGCGTCGGTTGTATGGGGACGCGGCGCGTCGTTGCGTGGTTGGTGGTTGTGGTTCAATCCCCACTAAACGTGAGAGGACTCGGGAAATGCCTTATCGGGAAGAAATCAGGTAAAAATGTTCATTATCGGACAGCAAGAAGCCGCTGCGTGGTGATCCGATTGCAAGGCTGGGTGAACAATTGCCGTTGTGAAGCTGGGGTTTCGCGAGGCTGTGTGGCAATGGTGGCGCCGACTGAATCGCGGTGGAAGATCCAACAGCGCACCCGTTGCGGAGGAGTTGGGCTGCGGTTTGGAAAGGTACCCCAATGTACTCTTACGCATTTATGTGCCTGAGTTTAGCAGAAAGGTACTCCAGGGTACCTCACTACGGCCCGTGCCTCAACCCCACATGCAACCTAGCTGCCTTGGCTTGGACTCGGAGCCTCGAAATATTTACCTTGCGCGAAGTGAGAGGAGGTTTCTGTTTTTAATGCTCCCTCGACGCCCCGACAGGAGGCTGTCCAAACAGGCGGGACCCGGAACAACACTTGGGAAAGAGCGGCCCTTTCTAACATCTCGAATCTACGGGTATTTGGTACACGCACCCCTGCTTTCAAGTCCGACCAACCTCAGCTCACAGGAAGTTTCTGTCTTTTCATAATTGTTCATCTTTTACAAGTACATAGCACGTCAGTGAACACTCCCCCTTCGCCTCTTCCTCCTTCTTATCCAAGAATATGACCAATATACTTCAGTCCGCCAAGCCAAGCCCAACCTGTAGGAACTGTGGTCAAATCTTCTCAAGCCTTGTTCTCACCATGAAGCAGCCTGATATCATTGGCCGACCAATCAAGCCGGCAGTCAACCCCTGGCCGCCCCTTTGCTTGTAACCTCTTGTTCAATGCCGTTGGCCAAGTGTTGTGGCTTGTCGTTAGTCTGGCAGGAAAAGCCGATCAAACAGCCCAAAGCATTCGTTCCACCATCGACACAAGTTCCAGAAAGAGAAACAAAAAGCTTATTTCCGCCGCATCTCAAATGTAACAACCAACAACACAGATTATACAGAGCCGCTTCGCGTTGAATCCACACTACCCTCTTTCGAGCCCCAAGACGGCACTGACATACCCATTCTCTCATCGCCCACCGCATTCCTTCTCAAATGCTGTACAACCCGATCTCTTCCCGCAATTGGCCTAGAGAGTGACACAACCGAGATATCGGCCAACTCACCAGCTGTCCGCGAGAAGCAACAAGGACGCCCAATAAAACCTCAAGCCTCGGCAGAATTTTTTTCCCTGCTTGGCCCCAACTTCAGACACAAGCAAAATACCTCTAGGCGGGATGGATATAGATGTCTTGAGTTTTGATCTACCCATATTGCCGCTTTTCAACAGCATCCATCGACACCGACAGCAAACCGCTCAAAAAAACACCGCTTCAGGTTCGATGCGGCGCCAGGACCGAGACCCATGGATTTAACAGCCCCCCAGGTCTCAACCTGAAATATGGATAAGGGCTCTAAGATTTCCACAGGTTACCAAGGACCGAGAGGCGCACTGGGGATTTTCTGGCCAAAATAAAGAGTTCACAATGCCCAAACTCGGCCTCGCCAATATATAAAGACAAATCTTAAGTCGACGGTCATCGATCCGCAACGCACATCCCGGACTCCAAAAATCAACTCCTCAACCAAAACGGACTTCTCTCGAAAAAAGGACATGTCTAACTTAAACACAAACAAGCCCACGCTGTATGGTTATGACGCCCACTCTTCCGTCCCCTGCTCCTGGTAAACGCCTTTCCTAGAGTCCCCATCCATTCATCCAACTCCCAACACGCCGGAATACAAAAATCAAGCCCCAAGTCTAGTTAACATTACTGTCATTCATGCCCCATCGGGTTCCACCTGTATATTTCCGGCTCGCGCACGCACGCAGGTGATGTGGGGGTGTGTGTGTGCGTGTATGAGCGCAATCTATCTGCGACACTAATGAAAAAGCGAAGAACGAGAAACATGCCCAAAAGAGTCGTGCGGGCTGAAATGGTGAGAAGAGTTTTGATGGCTGAATTAATCAAGCGGTTTTGATAGGATACCGCCGTCCAATGTCGACAATCGTCCCGGGATTTGTGGGTGCCGCCGAAACCGACACCGATACCGGCATTGATGGTGGTGCCGTCGACGTTGGCGATAGTTTCGCTACGGGCGTTCCCGTCGATTTTGCCGCGGCTGTTGGCACTATCGTAGACATACTCGATGGCGCGGCCTGGCAGGTCCTCTTGACCCGGGCCTCGTCCTCTACAGCCTCAACCATCGAGGTAGTTTTGGTGGCGGTAGTAGCGGGGGTGATGGAGGTGGTGGAGGCTTTGGAAAGGGATGTGGATGCGGTCGTGTTGGCGCCGGAGCCGAAGCTATCCGATCGCGACATTTCTGTTGATGGGCGCTTTAAGCCTGCCACCGCGCCTACAACAGATGTTACTGTCGCGGCAGCGGATCGTCCGGCGGTGAGGTCTCCTGCAGCCGGACGGGCCTCGTCATCTACTGCCATATCGGCATCGTCGAACGGGTCGTTGTCTAGCAGTGGGTCATGCGCCCAGCAGTCCTCCAACCCTTCCATGAAGATGGGGGCGCGGCGCAGGGTGTGCCAGCTAATAGTATGCTTGCGCATGGCGATATAAAGTGAGTCGATGACGCCGCGCGGGTCGACGATGGCGCAGTTCTTGCGCAAAAATTCGTAGTCACAGCCAGGGGAACCGCCCACGAGGTGGCGCTGGTATGCCGGATTGTCGATCTGGCGCAGTATGGGGAGGCCTTGGAGGACGGTCGTGTCACAAAGTTTCGCCTGGAGCAGTATCCACTCACGGCCCCGGATGAAGTGACCGAAAGCCTTCTCGACGGCCTGCTTGAAGGACGCCGCGTCGCGGCCTTGGACGGCTACCATGCGGTGGAGACCCCGGGACAGGCAGCGCTGGTAGGCAGTCGTGTTGCGCTCGAAGGGCATGGGCACATAGGCATGGGGCAAAAGGGAGATGTGGACCGTCCAGGACTCCGTGCGCCGGGCAGAGGACGGGGAGAGAGCTGGCCTCGGGGAGTGATGATGGTGGTGTGGGGAGCGTTTGACGTCGCGCCCGGTGGCGCCGTGTAGTTCTGGGGCTGGTGTTTTGGTGGGAGGAATGCTGGTGACGGGGCCGCCCGATGGGGATGGATATGGCTGTCGGTGGGCGGCCCCCTCCCCTAAAGGGCCCAGAGGGATGTTTTGGTAGGATGTGTCTGGTGTGGGCCGTCTACTTGATGGTTGCTCCGTGGTAAGGGCTGTTGACATCCGCATCTCCTCTTCCGCTTCCAATGTCTCGGTCAGGTTCTCGATCCGCTCTTCCAGGCTGAGATCGGCGTCTCGGAGTTCTAGTTGGCCAGCGTGCACCCGGTTGAGTTGCTCGTCATGATCTCGGAGTTTGTGGTATATTTGACGGAGCTGTTCGTCCTGCTGCTGGGTTTTGTGCTCAGCCTGCTCGATAGAACGCCAACTCATGCTGACATTGCGGTAAGCCCCCTTGATCTGCTCGCCCACCTCCTCCTTGCTCTTCTCTAGATGGTCCTCAACTTCATTCAGACGGTTAACGACGCTAGCCAGAACATCATCCTGGCCCTTAGAAAGCTGCTCCTCAAGGTGCTGCAGGCGTCTTTTCAAGAGGTCCAGTTCGTGTCTCTGATCGGACGACGCCTCGGGATCTTGGTTGTGGAAGCATGCCAGATGTCCACAGTCGCAAGTGGAACCAGGGATATCCTTATTGAGTGAGAAGGTGGCGCAGGCGCAGCGCTGACCCTTGATCTCGGGGTGAAGTAGGATGTAGCGGCAGTGTCCCCTGGGCATCGTGGCTTCATCCATATGGCCGTTGGCGGCCATCTGCAACGGCGACGGCGAACCCGAATGTAGGGACATATCGAATGGGCACTGAAGGACCCGGTGATGATCCAAGGGTGGTAAGTAAATATCTTGCGGCGCCTTAGCGGCCGCAGGTTTGCTGGCGCGGGAACGAACTGAGTCGAAAAGTTCGTGGTTGGCGGTGGTCGCGTGACGTGAGGATGAGACAAGCGGAAGTCGGGCTTAGAGGATTTGAGCGAGACTAGGACGAGTGACCCAACGACAACGGCCTATCGGAAATCACACATGGCACGCAACAGACGGAGTGGCCGAGATATATCCATGGAGCAGCGGTGAACTCGAGTGCGGGTCGTGGACGATTGTTCCCCAGCGTTTTGTTGTTTCGCGGGAGCCAAGGGAGAAGAGAGCACCACCTGAGATAGGCCCGGGGAGGGTGGTGGGGAAAAGGGCACTAAGAGGAGGGGCGAAGAGGTTGTCAAGGCCAGGGAGGGAGGAGAGAGATATGGGGTCCCGGCCGTCAGGGTCCTCGAGAGGCTCCGTGCAGGTAGATATGCCGTGCGACCAACCTGCAAGGCCAGCCAGTAGAGGAAACGGGAGGGGGGTAGTAAAGCCGCCGGCCAGGCGGTGCTGGGCGTGTTGTGTTATCGGGCGTCAATATTGATGCGAAGGGATCAACCCCCGAGACAAGGTTTTGTGGGCGAGATGGGTGACTGATAAACGATCTGATCTGGGGACGGGCGGGCCCCCCGAGAGGCGGGGAGGACTGGGGAAGAAAAGGGACAGACAGGGACGGCTTCGGTGAAATTTTGGTGCAGCGGTGCCAAATCCGGTGGTATCTGATACCGAGAATGCAGGCGGAGTACCATGGATTGCTGATAGGCAGGGAGACGGGCCCAAGTTCAACAAGCCCAGTGCGGCAGTGCGGCAGCTTCCCGTCGCAGCGTAGATAAGGCGGCCAACCGCCTCAAGTACCTTGGGAGGAGCGCTGATGTACGTGTTGTGTGGAGTATCCCGCGGAAGAAAAGTAGATAAAGGTCAGAGGGCCGCACGGGCCGGCCAGTAGGGGCTAAGAGATCAAGATGCCGTCTGGCGTTTGTCGCGGCGTTTCGTGAGATATGCCCAACGGCAAAAGCTACGGGCGAAAGGGAAGTCGTACAAAAAAGAAAAGAAAAGCAGCACCACGGCTGGCGAAAGATGTGGGAGATGTGGGCTTTGTGGGCTCTCTCGGCGAAAGAAGGGAAGGGACGTCCCGCGAGAGGATTGACTGACAGACAGAAACACACCAGACAGAGCGGCGCCCGGCTGCTACACGGATTTGAGCGAGATAAATTGCCTTTGCCCGGCCGGACGAGACGAGCAGGTACCAGCCGTATCAGCACAGGGTCCCTACCAATAGCCAGGTACCGATGGAGCCCGTGTTGGGGTACCATGTGGAGAAGTCCTAACCTATGTGGCAATACCCTGCACCTCCACGATTGTGCGGCGGGCATACCTGCCGGGTACAGCTGCAGAGCTCCCTCACCTTTGCCCCCCCCCCCAGACCGTTTGCGGTACCTTGGAAAACCCCCCCACCGACGCAGCGATTGCGCCAGGTGACGTGACAATTGTTTTCTGCAAGCCCGGGCCGCCCAGACAGCGGTCCACGTCGAGCACCGACGCGGTTTTCGACAAGCAGGCCGAGCAAATGTTGTCCCTGGTCGCCAGATGCTGCCCACGGGCAGCGGTCTGACCGGTGGGGAGTCAAGGAGGGTCGTTGGGAAATTTAGCGCTCACAGGAGGTTGAGTAGTATATCGTGAGTAATACATTGCGGATCATGTGGAAACGTACGAACCCATCGAGTGAAAGCGTGGGAGGTGGGACAAATTCGACGTGGAGGGAAGTGTTCCAACATCGAAAGAGACTCCGCCGGCTTTGCACATGGCCGTGCTGTGGAGGGTTTGCGGGTCCATCGGCTCCAGCAATTTTTTTTTTCAAAACCCTGAGCACCGCTCAGGAGATCCGCCCCCGCTGGTGGAATGGGCTCTCCCGCCTTTCCGTCCTCTCCTGGGGATCTCACTGGGAAGGCAACACCTCAATCGGTACGATCGGAGTGTGAAAAGAGGCGGGCGGGCAGCTGGCAAGGATCCACTTGCCCATTGCGAACCACTGCGGGCCAGGGGTCATTGCTCCTTTCGAACGAGCGACGGGCCGCAAAACTTTCTCAGATGCAGGCCATGGAAAGGACAGGGGTCCCTAGTGGGGACTCGACTGCCACATGGGGCCAACAGCGACAAGACTGTGGGGGTTAAAGATAAGAGCGTTTGTCGCGCCAAGACTCCAGATTGGCGTTTGAACGGGCAAGAACTGCCCGCAGCTTGCGGTCCAGACGCAGCCCAGTCGGGCCCCTTCTTTTTGGCCCCGTTTTTTGCTGGAAGCTCTCAACAGCGAGAAACTCGGGCATCCAAGAATATTCGCACATCAACAAGCGATGCATGGTTCCAGAAGTCGGGAAGAATCGTTTTACCCCGACTCATGCATCCGGCTGGCCCCCTGGAAATCCCGGCCGCCCGGGGCTCTTCCTATTTGGCCCCAACCCCAATGAGCCACTCCTCCCTCGAACCCTAAACATGCCGTCAGCGGAGGAGTCGCACCCGCAACCTTGATGTTGCCCGTTAACACCGGTCAGCTGCACGATAAGGCCGCCGTCGCCGCCAATCTAGCAGGGGGGCAGGGGCGATGAGACGATTAAATCTGAAAGCTGCGGCGCATATGGTGGCCGTCGCAGGTTCGAAAACCACAACCGCCATAACAACTTCGATACTTCGTACAATGGCCAGCTTTGGCCAGATTCGATAGCCAAGGTGTCACCTCCCGTCCTGGGCAAAAGGGGCGTGGTGCACAGTGTGACTGGCGCAATTCTGCTTCCGGCTGATGTGCCGATAATCCCGTCGCACAACATTCGCAACAACCGAGCAAGCTTTGTTTGTGATACGGACAGAACTCGTCGACGAGCCACCCCCAACTCCGCCTCAAGGCAGGGCAGCGCAGAACTTCGGATGCTGCCAGTTGAGACAACGGCGTCAAATCTCGCGGTACCAAGCGACGTCATCTCCGAACCCTATCAAAGACCTGGGGAAGGTCTTGGATTCACGATAACAAGACGGTTATCGACAGGCAAACACCGCCCGCCGACCCATCCCTGCCACCCGGGTACCGCAACAGCACACACAAACCGCCACGTCTGCGCTCTGAGCCTCTGACGCCAAGGGGTTTAGACATAGCGATCGCGATAAGAGGATGATATGATGCCAGAGTTGCGGTGGCAGGTCTGTTTCGGGTCTCACTGAGCCTTTGAATGGCTCTATCCTCACCGTCGTCAACATTTGCAGCAAACTGGGACCCGGGAAAGCCCATCAGCGAATGCGCCCACGCACGCCTTTGGCCAAACAGATAACGTGCTTCGGCCGGCTGTCCACAGCCAGCGTCGTGATTTGCGAGGCGTTGGTCGCCATTCAACGCTGACGGATCGACCCGGCCTTAACTCGGCCAATCGCAGCCCCCTTCAAGGAGGCATGGATGGAATGCACAGTCAGAGGTTGCGACAACGGGAAGAGCGCGGGCAGAGCTGCACCGGCCCCGGATGGCACCCACATCATGCCATGAGAAGGATACCTGACGGATCATGCAGGTGGAAGCGTTCGTCATCGGTGAATCCTGTTCGTTTCCCTGGACCAAACGCAGTTCATGACACGCACCTCGAATACCCGACGACACAGGATGGGAAACGATCACGAATTTTTTTGTCACCGGCAAAATCGCGACAGCCGCGACATTGTTTTGCGTAACGACTTCGCGATCCCACAAATCCAGGAAGGACCTCCTTCTGGCCCCCTGGGAAGTACATGAGGACCCGGGTCCATCGGATGCCACTATGCACACGATTTCCCGGAGACCGCACCGGCTCTCGCCATCAATATCAATTATCAAGCGTCAAAAAGATGAACCGGAAACAAACTCTCTCTCTCAGCCTTCTCGGGGACAAGGTGCATCATCCGCGCCGTGGGCAAGGGCCCAGGGGAGAGATGGAATTCAGCCTCAGACGAGTACATCCCGCCGCCTCATCTTGGCGGGCCGCTGTGCCCAAAACAGGCCATTACCTAATGGGACAAGAGAGCAACGACCACTGTCGTGGGGTTGTGTGGGAACCAGACAAATCGCGTTGCGCGCCTCTGCCACATGCTCCCCCGATTTGGACAGCGGATCTGGGCCCGGCCCAGTTCAGATCCCAACGGCTTTGTGGCGATTTGTCGGGAGGCCGGCTTTCGTGGAACCCTGGCTCGCCTGTCTCAAGCCCGGATGAAGAAAAAATCACACGATGTGAGTGAAGCCGCGGCGAACGGGCCGAAATTACTCAACGGGCGAGGGGAAGTGGAATGTAATTTCATTCCCCGGCTTGATTCCGGGTTTGACTTTGCTCAGCCATTTGCCCCTCTCGAGGATGTAGTCATGTATGTACATACATACACACATACTCGGTAGTATTCGGCTGACTGCAGCGACGTCTCCATCTCAAGAAAAGACTCCCAAGTCCGCCTTATCGCTCAGCCGCCACAAGCGCGGCAACCATGTCAGGGAACTACTGGCATCACAGCCCAACATAAAATTCTGGTGGGGTGATGGCGGCGGAAATACCGGCCCAATACGGATCTCATGAAAGAAGCAAGAATTTACCTCGATTAGCGACGATAACAGTGAGTCAGTGAAAAAACAAGCTCAGCGACGCCCAACGACGAATGCCCGGTGTGTTGTTGAACGAAAGTCCTTTCAGCCAGCCTCACCCACGAACCTTCCCAACGAGGCAACTCGATCCACGGGGTGTTACCAGAAAAAGTGGTTGCTTCTTCGCTGACCGGTAACGTTATCAGCCCTATCATTCAACAATTAGGTGCAAGCACGTCATCGTCCAGACAATCGCCCGATGCATCCGCCCAGCTAGTGAGCCAAGTTTTCTTCACTTCCTCCTGGAATCTTTTAAAGCTTGCTTCGAACCCAAATTTCGAGAAGGGACACGTCCGATTGGCAACGGCACTGGCCAGGGCCACCTCAATTGCGCCACGGGAGCTCCCGCCCCCCCTTTACCAAATCTCATGTCATCCTCTGTCGTCTTAGTGTACCTCATTTGGGATAATTTTTCCATGGAGAGATTCAAGAGTAATCGAAAAATAGGGACGAAGCAATGAAGCAGACGGGGGAAGGGGCAACGTACTTGGCCCCAAGGTCGGTGCTTGGCGTGAGATATGAGCCGGTCTTTGTATGAACGTGGGTGACGAGACAAGACGAATCTAATCCGGGCAACCCACGGAGCACGCGCGGTGATTTCGAAGGAAGAAACCCTCACATCTGCACCACGATTGCGGTGGGCGGGCAGGGAATGTGATGGCGTCTAACCCCAAACAAATCACCGAATAACCCCCCGAACAGCAAAAAAACATCCCGCTCAAAGACGCCTTTACTACGGCACCCGTATTGTGTAACAGATCTCTCTCCCACATCTACCCTCCCCCCTTGCTCATGAACCCTGGAAGGGAATGGGGGTTGTTTCGAGCCATAGGTAGACGAGAGAAAGAAACAGCAGCATTCCCAAACATGACGGAAAATATTCCGTTGTATGTTTTTTCTTTCTCCTGATGCGGATTACAGGCCGCATATGGGCTGCATTACATACGACCCGACCCTCACAGGCCTCTCAGGGCAATGGATATCGGGGTTTGTGTGGGTTGCCGAGACAATAAATGAACGGCACTTCTGGACTGCGGTGCTTGGAATTTTACGCGAGCGGTACCTAACGCACGTGGTTGGCTAGCGATGTTGACATCGTGGGTGAGTACGCTCGCTTGGGGGTTGTCATTGTCTTGGGGAAGCCACGCGGGATGGACGATAGGAGAGTCCGTGAAAAGCAAAAGTCTAGGGACGCGGCTCGTAAAAGTCATGAACCGGAGCTAGTGAGATATGAGTGACCTCTCAAAAGTTCTCATGCTCACGGATACGCCAAGTCAGATCAGTGACAGGGGCAACAAGTTGAGGAATGCGGCCAATTCTCAAGCGAAAGAACCAAACGTGTTCCCCCTCCTCCCTCGTCAAAAGAAACGAGCTGCGAGTGAGAAACTGAAATCGATGTCTGACCATGGAAAGATAGCTCCCCACGCCACATTCGAAAACATGCCCAAACGGGAAAGTGCGAAAGTCGTGTCGTACATACGATGTCATTGTCGTCGTCCCTCCCTTCTTGCTCGGTGTGAAAAAGGTCTCAACCAGGGGTGATGATAATCGGGGCGCCTCCGAGTGGCTGTGACCATCTCATCTCATCTCACATCCAACCTAGCGGAGATCGGGGCTAGCTGAGGCATCCACAGCTGAGAATTTGACCGTCGTTGAACAGGAATAGACAGGGGACGGCTAGTTTATTGTTCTGGTTCTTTATTTTTTGCTGGAACAAACCATCACAACCCCCTTCCCCGTCCTTAGCCCGTCCCGGCTTCCCGGATGACCACATCTATACGACACTTGTGGGTGCATACTATGTATCTCAATCACACTCCTTTGGTTCCCGAGTATCCGGAGCCGGTGAGGAAAAGCTTATCTAGACCCTTGTCATGCCGTCGAAGGCGTGCTTATCAATGGAATCGTGGGAGGGTTGGGCGGTGGACGAGACCGACAATTCGCCTGCCGGCTTGGACGATGACTATCATTGTCGACGTGGGCTCGAGCTGAGTGTGGATGATAAGGCTGACGACGTGTCCACATCAATAGAATGAGCTGAATAATTGCCGTGAATACTCTCCCTTCAGCATCGAAGGAGCCCCACACGTTTCGTCCGCCGTTCTTATTAGATATGACCTGGCCTAAATTTGACGGTTGCCTCTGATACCACATATATGGATGGCATGAGCTTATTAGGTGTTATTGGGTGACGGTTTGGTCCCAAATACATCCAAGGAAGCAGGTGTGCTCCATGGCCTCCTTCCCGACAATTTGCTCACCAGGTCACATCAAGTTCATCCTTGGTCATTCGTGATCCTTCCGTAAGAGTCCAAAGGACAAGACCTGCAGTTGCTCTCATCCTCCACACCAGTTAGTTTGTATCACAATCTCCTCCCTATACCCCTCAGCGGCTCGTAACACCATGGATACCTCCTCCGTCACAATCACAGCGCAGCTGCGAACGACCGCAGACCTAGTGTAGTTGCTATCGCCAAAAAAGAAGAAGTTGGACAATGAGGAGTATTGCTACTTAGTAAGGTTTGTTGGTTCATATACCTTTGAAGTCACCGATAATTACGCATCAATACACGTACCTTACATGATTGACCTTCCAACTGGCCGGATACATCCACCCGTATGATAACTTTACGCCGTGATTCACACGTTGGTGCCTGTAACCAACAAACCAGTTTCCACAAACAACGCAAACAACGTGGGCTCTCCGTCAATTTCTCCAACGTCTTCACTTTCACCGTTATCATCATCCAAATAAGCATTCTTCAAAGCTTAGCCCCGCATTTGGGTATTCCCGGGACGATGGCGACCATCCAGATCGTCTCAGACCTCCATCTAGAGGCACCCAAGGGCTACGACATCTTCGAGATTGTGCCGCGGGCACCACATTTAGCCTTGCTCGGTGACATTGGGAACGTTGCCACACATAAGGACGAGCTTTTGGGGTTCTTGACCCGGCAACTACAGCAGTTCCGCACCGTTCTTTTTGTGCCAGGAAATCACGAAGCCTACCACTCTAGTTGGGCTGAGACGCTGGCTATCCTACGGGACTTTCAGGACCGAGTCCGGGAGGGCTTATCAGCATCAGAGGGCAGCGGCAGCGGAAGTGGCGAATTTATCTTGATGGATCGTACTGCGTTCCGGATTTCGGAAAGTACCACCGTTATCGAGAACCCAACGGGAGTGAAAGCCGTCGTAGTTCTCGGCTGCAGCCTCTTTTCCCACGTCCCCGTCCACCAAGAGATGGCCGTGAGCATCGGACTAAACGATTTCTTCCACACTGACGAAGGGCATTGGGATGTAGCCGCGCACAACGCAGCGCACGCGCGGGACCTGGCTTGGCTCAACGAGCAAGTAGCCGCTCTTGAGCGTGAGGCTGAGACATCTGGGCCGTTGGACATTGTCATTCTCTCACACTGGAGCCCGACGCGGGATGTGCGTGCGGCCGATCCGAAGCACGGGACAGACAGCCCGATCGCAAGTGGGTTTTCGACGGACTTGTCGCGCGAGCGGTGCTTTAGCAGCTCGCGGGTGAAGGTGTGGGCGTTTGGGCACACGCATTACAACTGCGATTTTTTTGTCGAGCGTGCGGCCAGCGGTGTGGAAGGGATGCCGTTACGGTTGGTGGCGAACCAGAGGGGGTATTACTTTAACCAGGCCGACGGGTTCGATGGGGAGAAGACGATTGAGGTATAGGGTACGCTCCTGGGGAAGGATGAGATTTAGGACTTTATGAATGCACTACGGTACGATAGCGGGGGTCTGCCGTTAACTTTGTGGATGTTGAGCGGCTGGTATCTGAACAGAATATGATGCACTCGGGAGTGTTGGCTTCCGGATTTACCATCCCCTTACATAGTAGCTTAGGGTCTTCCACAGGTGATAAGGATCTAGCATGGGAACTGCGTGTAGTATAAGTCCCACTAAATAAGATCGAAATTCGAACGTCCAATGGGTTTGATGAGAAGAACTCGTTTTTCTCTCTGTCTAAAAGCCCCATCCCTGCTACGTTGATAGTAGGGCGGAGAAAGAAGATGGGGTGTACCATTGGCAACGAGATGGATAGGTATTACGACTGCAAATGTAGTAGCCACCAAGACCTTGGATTTCACCTAATCAAATATAGTAAGTTAACTAGTTAGAACGGAAATAGGGAGAGAGATTCGGGGGTAGAAGGACAAAACTTTGGTGTTGCCGAATGTTTCCGGACGGTTGGCGTTAAAGATTACCGTACGAATACACATAACGTTCACTTACACTGGAGTATCTTGGTGTCTTATTGGCCGAGCGGATCGACAAATACCCGCCTGCTCCCCCACCGCCAAGATTAGTGGGGTGAGCGGCAGAAAAAGTTGACAGGGGGCTAACAAGCAATTGTGTAAACCGCGTCTTCGGCATTTTCCAAAAGTTTTAGTACCTGCAACGCCCAGCAACACAACTCGAGGTTCTGATCCGACCAGCGACCCAAGGCCATTGCCATGTTACGACTGGCGAGACACGGGAGCAGAGCGCTAAACAACCCATTTGTATGCACATCATGCCGTGTGCTTATCGCACGAAGCGGCGCGGGGCTGCCCACTCCAGCGGCCCGCCTCTGCGAAGCACGCCACGCTTCCTCGGCGTCGTCACCTGGATCGTCTGAATCACCTGAAGAAACTCAATCAGAACCCGGCGCAACTGAGAAGTCTCAGGACTCGGATACTTCTGGACGAGTCCTCTCTCAGCTCAGGCAAGCCCTCCGACAATCCCTGAAAGATGAGTCCGCAACGGGTGGTTCGAAAGCTGCACCGAGTGCAAAAGCAGCCAAGTCGAAAAAGAAGAAGAAATCGGCCGTAGCGGGAGAAGAAGCCTCCGTGGCGGGACAGAAAAAGGGGACGTCTTCTAAAAAGGAGGCAAGAACACCAGCAAAGAAAAAGAAGTCTTCAGCCAAGAAACAGGAGATGTTGGGAAAAGCGCAGGATGAACCAGAAGAAGCAGAAACCGAAGGCGTAGAACTGGAAGAAGGGGGAGTAGAAGAGGCAGAAGACATCACGCCGTTTGGAAGACCGGCTTTCAAGAAAGTGGCAGCCAAGTCCGCCCGCCTCCTCAAAAACACCAAAGAAAACACCAAAGCCCCGAAGGCTTCCAAAGCCACGGGTACAACCAAACCTTCCAAGGCCGCCAAAGCCACTAAATCCTCCAAGGAACCCAAAACATCCAAAGCAACAAAAAAGAAGGTTCCCGAATTCGTCGTCAACCATGTCGACGCAGCTGACCTCCCCATGACTCCGGTTGACAAAACAAAGCCGGTGGTCCCCAATCTGGCTTATGGGCTGGACCGTGTGCTCTTTAACCCCGGCGTCTATCGAATCCAGGATCCTCGTTCCCGCGTCTTCAACTTCGACCCTTACCTCGAGCGTATCATGCCTGTCAAGGAGTTCGATTTCAACGCTCTCAAGCCGTACACTACATCATCTAAAGATACCACTCTCATTCAATATGCCGCTGAACACGGGGCCAAGTACACTGGCTCGACCTCGAGCATGACCTCTACCCTCGCCCACTTTCACTTCCTCCTCTCGGCCTGGCGCCCCATTAACCCCTCGATGATGTCCAGGGATTTTGAGGTTGACTCGTTCCGCTTCAGCCGCATCATGCGCGCGCCCGCCGCCGCCTTCTTGCACTGGAAGGATGGGGTGTATGCTATCGATGCCGACAAGGAGTTTGACTCCGGGAACATTCTCAGCATGCTCGGCAAGTCCATGGAGAAGTTTTTGACCATGCCTAAGGAGGAGTTTGAGAAATATCGCCGGATCAATTCTGACCAGTTAACTGAGGAGGAGCGGAACAGCCCGGAGTCCTTCCACTACACCGCATTGGGAGATTTCTTGATGCGCTCTCAGCTTGACGCCCACGACCACAGGTTGCCCGGGACCGGTATGTTTGATCTCAAGACGAGAGCTGTCATTTCCATTCGCATGGATGCCCATGACTATAAAAAGGGCCTGGGTTATGAGATTCGCAACCTCTTGGGCAACTGGGAGTCGTTTGAGCGCGAGTATTACGACATGATCCGTTCCGCATTTTTGAAGTACTCGCTGCAGGTCCGCATGGGGCGCATGGACGGAATTTTCGTTGCGTACCACAATACTGAGCGACTCTTTGGCTTCCAATACGTTCCCCTCTCTGAGCTCGATGTCTCCCTTCACGGCCAGTCGGTGACAGCTCTCGGTGATCGCGAGTTCAAGCTAAGCTTGCACCTGCTGAACAAGGTCCTTGACAGGGTCACAGCCAAATATCCCGGCCAAACCCTGCGCCTGCATTTCGAGGCCAGAGGGGAGGGGTCAGCCCGGGCGGCTCCTTTCATGTACATTTTCGCCAAGCCTGTGACACCGGCCGAGGTCGAAAGTATCCAAGGAGCCACAAGTGCCAAGATCGCGGAATTTGAACGCGAGATGATGGGTATCGTCCGGGAAGGGGAGCGTGCCCTAGACAACGAGGATGGAGAAGTGGACGAAGGCCTCGATAATACCGATGAGACCGACAGCAGAGAGGCGATAGGCTCCGCCTCCGCCACATGGGATGAGGTTATGCTCAAGGTGGAGGATGAGCTGGAAGACGAAGAGCACGGCGATACTTATGTCCGGGAGGCTATCGAAGACGCCCTTAAGGAGTGTGGGCTTCTTCAATCTTCATCCCACGAGGAGAACCAGCGCCACGTTGATGCCTTCCTGGGTGCGCTTACTGACAACAACAGTCGGGACGCTTTGGAAGAAGAGGTCGAATCTTCTGAGGCCGCCGAGCCCAGTGAGGCTGAGGCGGAAGCCGAGGCTGAAACTGATGTTGAAGAGGCCAGTGAAAGTGAAGCCCAGGAGGCGGAGGAAACTGTGAGCGTGGAGGAGGGCACCGAAATTGAGGGGCTCAAGGGGTCCGAAGGGGCCAAAGAGATCTCAGAGGCCGAGGAAGCTGAAGAGACTGCCGAAGCGGTGGAGGAAAGGGAAGTGGAGGAGACCGAGGAGTCCGAAGAGGAGGAGCAGGAAGAGGATGACGCTGCGGAGTCGCCCACTGCGGAAGACTCATCCGCCGAAGAGCCCACTTTGAAGGACCTCATTGTCAAGTTGGCCGCGAGGATTCGGGCCGTCCCAGACAAACAACGTGCTCCCGCACCCGAAGATGAAGAGGTTATCGGCGAGGACGTCCCCAAGTATGTCCTCAAGCTCCGTAAGATCGAGCAGATCCTGTCTGAGCTTGAGGAGCAGCCGCGCGAAGGGGATAGCGTTGTTGTCGACACCGGCTCTTTTGTGGTTCGCGGGGAACCGGTAGACGATTCGGTCGGGGCGGACCAGCCGGCCGAACCCGCTGCCGAGGCGGTTGAATCAGCCGGCTTTGTTACTGATGCCGCGGAGTCTCTTGAAGCTGCCGAGGAAGCCAAGGACGAATCTACCCTCAACACGCTCGCTGCCGCCCAGGACTCGGCCGAGACCGGCGAGATCTTCGGACTGACCCTGACGGCACGCAACCTCGTGAACGACACGTATGTGACGCGGCCAGAGAATCTCAAGGAGAGCGACTCGTGGAAGGTAGAATACACCATCGAGGAGATCAAGCCGGAGCGCGCCAAGGCGCTCTACAGCATGGTTCTCAAGCGCCGCCGCGATAACCTGTATGCAGAGGACGTCAGGGAGCGCTGGTACTCTATGTTCAAGGGCAACCTCCACAAGTACAGCGCTCGCGGCCGTAGCTTCCGCCGCGCGGAGGACGAAGTCCTGAGCACCACCCCCGTGCACGTTTACGGGCAGAAGGGCCCTGTGTCGTATCACGAGGCGGCGGGCGTGGCCAAGGGGGAGTTCGAGTGGCCTGTTGACGAGATTGAGCCTGGGTTTGAGGTCGAGGAAGGGGGCTTGACCCCGAAGAAGGCTAGGAAGAAGGCCGAAAAGATCGAGAAGAACGTCTTCGCCGAGGTTCGGGATGAAGGCGATGAGCTCGATATTATAGATGAGGATACGATTGAGGACGAGATTCAAGAGGGTGATGAGTTTGAAGATGAGTTCGAGGATGAGGTCGAGGAAGGGGAAGTGGAAGGAGAGGAGATCGAGGTTGAGGACAAGGACAAGCTTAAGACAGAGCTTAAAGGGGCCTCCAACAAGAAGCCTACTGGGTATTTAGGCAAGAAAAAACTCAGTGCGTCGAAGCAGATGACGAAGGCGAAGACGAAGGCGAAGAAGCAGGCAATAAAGGCCAGGGCAAAGGAAAAGTCGGAGATTGCCAAGGCGAGGCGGTTGATGAAAAAGAAAGAGAAAGAGCAAGCCCAGAAGGCATAAGACACAAAAGCGGATGTGAAAAGTCAAGTCTCGCCACGGAGAGGCTCCCGAAAAGGAGAACGGGAGTGGGGAGGCAGCAAAAGTAACGAAACGAAACGAAAGCGGAAGTACAATTAATGTTTGGAGTCAGAAGCGGCAAAAGTTGGATGAGGGTAAAAAAGGAGCCCCAGAGGCAAGAAGCGTGTGTATGTTTTGTACCAGTTTGTACGATCGATGTATGTTGGGACCACGGGGTTGGATGGGCGAGATTTCCTTTTAAAAGTTGTGGCATATTACCTAGGGGATAGACGGACCGGTGCTGTACCATTAGCTGTACCACTACATACAACCAAACGACGCTCACTCACACGACATTTGTTTTTCTGGCATACAAATCTCATACATGGACTGGATTCACCTTGTTTATATTGTCTTGGGTCACATCACATGTGTCGGCTGAAGGTAATTCGAGTCAAGCCTGACCTCGATGACACTGAGTGTCCTCACCCGCAGTGAAAATTGTGCTCATAGAAGGACGATCCCATATACACAGTAAGGCGAAAGTGAGCTCAAAAAAGGGGCGTGGTTATCGATGATATTGGTGGCTAGATTCGATGATAATAAGCGGCGGGTAATAACAAGTCATCCACCTACCAACCACCCTCTGGGCCAAGATCCATAAAGCGAGAAGAGCCCTCCCCTGCCCACCTACCCCTTTCCCCGAACATAAAAACAAAACGCCGCTGCTATGCATGCTTAATTTGCAGAAGAATTATTGAGCCTCCCTCAGCAAGTATCCTGCCTACCGCCGCCGTGTATGCTCTCTCTCACGGTGTGCGAGGTGTTCCTCTCGCAGAAACACCCTTCCACTCCCAACCATCGCCCATTCCTTGTTTTGTATTATTTCCCCTTACTCTAAACCAGGCTGTCTCCAACTCAAGTAAAAAAAATTCCCATAAAATAGTGTAGTAGAACTCGGAAGAACGTCCCCACGCTGACCGCTTTTGGCTCACTTCTATGCTGGGGCTAAAAATAGAAGCAAAATGGGGTGCCGGTTTAAGCATGCTTCCAATAAAAGCTTCTTTATCCCGGATTATAACGTTAGGTTTCCAATCTCGCACCAGTTACTGACGGGCTGCACAGCACATGTTTGGTTAGCCTATAATCCAGATCGAGGGTGGAAGAAAAAAACCTACCAAGCAGCTCAGATACCGACACCAATCGCAAGTCTTGCGGTCAATGTAAAAGTTATTCAACAGCAAAATAAACACAACCGTCACCAGCACCAACGCGCCGGCCCGAACCAGCCACCACGCCCACCACAACGGCTTGCGGCCCTTGAAAAACCCGACGGGGTTCTTCAAGAACGACGGCGGCGACCCTTGCGCCGCATACCCACCACTAACCCGCTCACTCGCATACGGCGCCTCGTTATCGCCTATCCTGCGACGCAACGAGTTGGGCGAGTGCAAAACACACACGCCGAGCCCGAGGCCCATGAGGAAGCCGCCAATGTGGGCGAAGTTGTCGAGACCGGGGAGCAGGCCGAGGACAAAGGAGATGACGATGTCGAGGAGGATGAAGAGCAGGTCCTTGACGGGGCTGACGCGGTCTTTCCAGGAGTAGAGCAGGTCGAGTAAGGTCAGGGCGATGATGCCGAAGAGGGAGCCTGAGGCGCCGGTGGAGGCGATGGCGGTGCCGGCGAAGTTGCCGCCCATGACGTTGCCGAAGATGCCGGCGGAGATGTAGACGAGGAAGAAGCGGATGGAGCCGATGGATTTCTCCATGTCGCGGCCGAGGGTCATCTGGAGGAGCATGTTGAAGCCGATGTGGATGAGGCCGGCGTGCATGAAGATGGGGATGATGAAGCGGAACCACTGGTTGGGCGCGGGTTGGGTGTCTAGCGGGGTGCCGGGGGTGTAAGCGGGTGGAGGCACGCCGCCAAAGCCACAGAGATCCGAGAGGGTGCATTGGTTCTCGGGGAGGTTTTCGTCGAGGCTTTTAGAGCTCGGGCACGGCCAGGGCAAGGTGCGGTTAGCGTCCTGGACGCCCTTGACATTGTGCATGCAGGGCACGAAGCGGGCACCCATGTTGATAAGCACATAGGGGGAAGGGCCGATCATGGGGTTGAAGGAGGGCTGGGTCATGATGGGTGAGCCGGTTTCGGTTGCTGGGAGAGAACATGCGTTAGCTTTCGTTACAGCGAAACAGTCTTGGGGAAACGCCGCGAGGTATGGAAAGTAGGTATGGAGAGCTCAAGAGCGGGTAAAATCATACCGTTCCTGACAATTTCCCCGATAAACACGCCCACTTGCGCAATAGTCAACAGATACACCACAAACGGAATCTTCTTTCGGCCTGACCCGGATCCAAGCATGCCCAGCTCGCCGAAGCGCACGCGGCCGTTGCGTTGTCGTCCCCCGGATCCCCCGGGCGAGTCGTAAACATGGTCCTGCATCTCGGTATCCTTGAGCGGCGAGTGCTGGGCGTGGTCCTGGAGAGGTATATTATCCCCGGCTCCCAAGTTGCGGCCGTATAGATCGTCTTGCGGCGAAACGGGCGAGTGGCCGTGGTAGCCTGTGTCCTGGTGGCTCAATCGGTGCATGCTCGAGTTCGGCGTGGGCTGGCGCGTGCTAGCGGGGTACACATGGTCGTCGAAGACGGTGTCGAAGGGCGAATGTGATACCGGCGGCACGGCAGCAGCTCTTTCGGCTCCGGGAGCAAGATGTGATTGTGAGCTGTACGGCGGCGCCGGTGTCGAGAAGACGGAGGAAGAGGAGGCCGCTAGCCGCGCGCTGCTGTCGTACGGCGAGTCGGGTGATACTGCCGCTGCCCCTGCCGCATCGGGGCGCGGTTTTGGGTTGTAAAAGTCGTTGGCTGCCATTTTTTGGCTCGTTCGTTCTCGTCACTCTTTGATCGCTGTTTGTTTGTTGGCGGCCTTTCGGCCTCTCGAGGGCAACGGAAAGAGAATGTCCCCTCAGCACAGTAACTATTGAGGAACAGCAAACGGATCGGGGGAGGTGCGTGTTGGTGGGCAAACGTGTGCTGGAAGCAAAGGAGAAAGTGTCGGTTTGCGTTTGGGTTGGAGGCGAACGGAGGAAGTAGATCAGGATTACGTCGGCTACAATTCAAGAAATTGTTGAAAGTGTGTTGCTTGCTCGGCCGCTGGCGGGTGTTGCAGGAGGCTGTGCAGGGTTCTCCGCGTGTTTTGGGTCAGGGCCTGGCCAGGGCAAGTGGTTCGTCAGCGTTGCACTGTCGCAGGCACGCTACGCAGCAACTAACGGGCTCCTTTCGCCTATCGCAAGGGCACTTGGCGGTGCCTGTCAAGTGGATTAAATAAGGTTGGACCGAAATGTCGGGACTGTGGGCGGGAAGACAGGAAGCCCGAAAATGATTAAACAGAGAGAGTAATGTCGAGTTCCCCCAGCCTTAATAAATTCCGGACGCCCTGACGTGTTCACTTGCTTCTTGCTAGGGCAGAACTTGTCGATCAGGCCTTGGGCAGTGGAAGTTGTTTTTCTGCAAGTTTGAGTGGCAGTTGGTGGGGTCCTTCTCACTGCCCGCTCGGTTGGGCAGTGGGGCCGTGTACGAAAATCGTTGAGAATAAGACGGAAGCAATACGAGGAAATGCAGTGGGGGAGGGTTCAAAGAAAGAGAAAGAAAGAATTATGCACAGAAGACGCGGTGAGGGAAAAACAATCCCAGACTGGTTAAAAGTGTTCAATCACGGCAGTGTGAACACTGTGGTGGCCGTGAAGCCGGTCTCGTGGCTGCGTCACTGCCGAGCACCGCCGAGCCACTGCTGACGTCTGCCCCGAAATATGAATCCGGCATCCGGGCCCGAAGATCGGTGGAGGTTGGCTGTTGGGTGCTGAGTGAGGCCTCCGGCCGAGGAGAAGGATATTATACCTTTTTCAAGTTGTCAGGCATCTGAAAATGGAATATTGAAAGCCGAATGCGGTCGTGGGCAACCCATCTGCTTTCCCTAGCAACTGCTTAAATAGGTATCGGGTGCACTGCGGGACTTGCACCGAGTGACGGGAGTCTGTTCTCAGAAACAGTGGGGATTGATTAGTAGGCTGCAAGTGGTGGGTTGTCGTTGGCCAAATGGTTCAGCCCTTTGTCGAGTTTCAGGTTCGCGCAACGGAACCGCCTTCCAAGTTTTTGGGTGTTGCAGGACATGAGACATGGTAGGTCGCCAGCGGAACCGATCGATTGCAAAGCTCGAGAGCTGGGAGGAGACAAGTGAGGAATTCATTTTTTTTTTTTTCCGAATCATCCACTACGTGCGAGTCGAGAAGACGTTCATCCCCATTTAAGAATACCATTTCAGAGGTTCAACAAGAAGCGTCTGATGTTGGCTCAGTGGAAGTTCGAGAAAGATGGAAGCTTTCGAAAGTGGGCCAGGGCCAAATGCGAACCTGAAGGCCTCGGCCCGTGAAGGCCCGAGCTTTCAAGGCTTGGCACAAGTGGGACTCCATGGGCGATTGAATTTGACTTCGTCTCATTTTTTGAAGATGCGCCCCGCGCATCACCACCACCACACACCACGCTGCCGTTGCGGCATTCTTTGACCATGCGCTGCTTTCGCAATGTCGGGCGCCAGGCCTCCAGCTCCCTAATCTCAACCGCAAGTCCGCAGCTAGCCAGCCCAGTACGATGCTTTACACAATCCGCTCTGCGGCCCCCACCTAACCAACCCAAACGCGGCATCGACGACAACCCGCCTGCACCTCGACCCAGCAGCCAGAAAGACAACTATCGCCGGCTTACCGCTAAATACAACCCTCGGAAACACTCCCGTCGACCAGGGATAGATGATTCTATCCGGCCGTTCCATAGCAACCCTACGGAGAACAAGGGCCAGCAACAGCAACCAGCCCAGCCGCAACCCCCACAGCCACTGTCACAACCACAGGAACAGGAGCAGGAACAGGAACAAGATCAACAAGCACCGCAGCCGCCGCAACAGCAACAGGGACAGCCCGAGTCGGAACAACAACAACAAGAACAACAACAACAACCACATCCCAACGCCCAACCGAGAAGGCTGGCAAAAGAGAGACGCACTCCCGTCAGCGAGCTCAGCGCCGTCCAGCAAGCGCTTGCAGCTACCCCAGAAGAAGAAATCCCACCCATCGACCCCTTCGAAGTACTCTTCTACAAGCGGAAGGTATCGATTCCGGTCCAGTTTCGCGGGCCGCAGATGCAAGACGGCGGCGAGCGCATCGTGAGCATCCAACACGCGCAATCCGAATCCGGAGACTTGGCTGAAGCAACAGCCGGGGGAGATGGGGAAGCGGCCAATAATGGCGGGGTGGGGGCCGTCGGCAACAACATCAATGACATTCTGGAAACCCTGGCAAAGAGAGACGAAGACTTAATCGTCCGCGAGAAACGGCTCTTAAAAGCGGAAAGGAGGGTTGAGACGAGATGGGAGCTCGTGAAGGAGTCGATGGCTGTGTTCAATACTAGGGTGGACCACGTAATCAAGCTGTGTGATAAGTTACTGGAGGACCAAGGGAAAAAGCCTGAGGATACATTGCCTGGCGAGGACATCATGGAGATGCAAGTTGATAAAAAGGAGGAAGCGGAAGCCGAGATGCCGGGTGTGCAACAGCCCACTACAGAACAAGTTAAGACTGCAAGAGAAGCACGGGCGAGGAAATTAAAGGTGGAACTAAAAAGGCACGCTGGAGGGGAGGGTATCAATGCAAAGGCCCTTGATTGATCGCCCCGGGTTGAGGTCCGACACGGATTCGACGCGATACCTCACGATGGTTACGGGCAAGCATAGTTCAAATGACGTGCGAAAGCTAGTCATTCAGCCTTGCTAAACGTAACACCTGAAGGGTTCCCAGGGGTTCTTTAGGGGCCGGCGGGAATGGCCATCTGCAAGACGCTGATGGGGTGATGGGCTCCAAACAGTGTGAGAGACCCACACGTACATAAAGGGCCCGCGTCGGTAGAGGATATAGACGGAATTACCAGCGGCTATTGTACATAAAACATTGCGATGCGGACCTATATCCTTGTAGGCACACCCATGTACTATATCATACACATGAATCCATCCGTCCATGCCGTTCAACCACCTTTCCCAACTGTACAATGCCCCTCCATCCAGAATCCTCCCGATGCCCCTTATTTCTTCCCATCTCCCCCCTTGTCCTCCCCTCCCTTCTTCCCCTCCCCATTCCACACCTCCTTCACCTGCTCCACAATCAAATCCCCATACCCTTTCCCGCTCTCCAGCGCCTGCCGTTCCTCCTCAAGCCGCTTCTCCTGCCACCCATCCTTCTCCCCGCCCATCCACACCCGCTGCCACCAGCCACGCCCATCTTCCCCGCTACCACCTTTCCTAGGCTTATACTCCCTTCCCTCCGCCTCCGCCCGCCGTTTCCGCTCGGCTTCCATCAACGCCCGGTTCCGCTCCGCCCGCTCCGTCGGTAAATGCCCAAAGAGCCCACCACCAGCCGATTTCCCGCCAGATCCAGCCCCAGCCTCAGCCGAATTCTTCTTCCCATCACCATCAGCAGCAGCAGCAGCAGAAGAAGAAGAAGTAGAAGAAGAAACACCCAAAACCGCCCCCCATCTCTCAATAGACCGTGACGAGATCGACTGGCCCGTGTAATCCGCCGCCAGCCGGTCAAACCCCCAGAAGGCGCCGCCGCCGAGCAAGAGGTTTTGGGCGGTCGGCTTGAAACGGCCGGCGCGGCTGCCGCGGGGGGAGCGTGTGGGGAGGAGTAGGGCGATGGGGCAGAGGATGGCGGAGGCGATGGCGGCGGCGTGGAAGAAGGTGGCGTAGGGTTTTTCTGGTGGGGGGGATGGTGAGGTTGGTGAGGGTTGTGATGGTTGTGATGGTTGGGGGGTAGTGTTTGACATGGTGGTGTTGGGTGGGTTCAAAGGGTTATTAGGTTGATGGTGGGGTGTATGTGTCCCTTATGTATGGATGCTGGAATTGTCCTGTTTGGCGGTGTATGGGGATGCGGATTGTACGCCGTAGAGGGGTCGTTCGTGATATCATTTTAGCTTGGTGGTTTTGGAAAAAGGTTGCAGGGGTTGGGCTTTGGTTGTTATCGATAAGGCTACCTGGTTAGAGCTCAGCTGGGCGCTCGGTCACCACACACAACCCCGAACCAATCCTGAGCTGAACTAACCCTGGCTGAACCAACTCTCCAACGACATAGCCAGAAAGGAGCAGAGTCACGACAGCAGTGCCACAACCAAACCACACCTAAAAATATCTTTGGCGGGAATACGTCATATGCAGCTCTTCCCTAACCTGTCTTGCCTGTTCTTTGATGAAGATCGACTATAACGGCCACTCCAATAGCGTCTCTTGTTGGAAAAGGACCGCTATTCAACCGCAGTGAATACCCTTTCGGTCAGCTTTCCCGCCTTCGCTTCTGAGAACCGGCCCGAGAGGAGTCAAGGCCACCGAGAGATCACCATTCAGCTCCGAGCAGCCGAGCAGACCAGGCAAGGAGGCAAGCCAGGATTAGGCGGTGACCTTGGGAACTGTGACGCTTCTTACGAAAAACAAACAACCAATGCAAAGCTGCATTGGGTAAACAACCAGCTGGTGTAGCCCCTTCTTCCCCGGATCGACTTCCCAAGAGATGAGTGAGGTGACCCCGACTGCACGTATACACTACGTCCGGTTCGAAGCCCGAAGACGGGAAACCTCTGCGAGCCTGGACGTCGGAATAAGGTAACGATTATCCACACTGTAGTCCCATCCTTCAACCGCAGCCGATGTCTCATCTGACGCGCCTGAAGGCTCCCCAAAGCTAGGCGGCGATCGTACAGGTGTAGTTAGCCAATCATTCTAGTGTACACTAAACACATGAAGTGCCGGTGCCATGGCACCGTGCCACATTACCAGTGCCGGTCCCCCCCAGTTTTTGGAACTTGGCTTTTCAGCCCTGCATGCTCACCGTTGCGTTTGTGGTTCGATCCCTTGGCGATCACTTATTTCCATTCGAAGTGGTGGGGGAGATACATGTGTACACTAGGTAATGGTCGGAGAGACAGATCAGATTAAGCAACCCCTCAACTAGCTAGTAGCTTAGTCGCATCTCTTGCCCCAAAGTCTCAAACAGCGCGTTCTTGACTGCCCCAAGGGCATCCCTGGAAAGTCTACGCCGTCGAATTTGGTTGGCATTCAGGCATGGTCCAGCAAAGGCGGGATTGTGGCGAGGAAAGCCGTGTTTGGAAAGTCGAAATTATACGGAAGGCTAATGTGGTTGGTTGTTACATTGCCCACGGCTCTGTGTCACGGCCTCGCGCAAATCTTTGGCAACTCGGACAGTTGCTGACCCTTCTGTCCCCAAAGGAGCCCATGCCAGCCTAGGTATCTAGGGTTGGCCGGCTTTCTAATTGAGACGATCGACCCTGAAGCCTAACTATGTCAACCTTGTTCACTAAACCCATTGGTCTTGTACCGGATGACAACGCCCCCAGGGACCAGGGGATCTCAGGGATCAAGCCAACCGCGATGAAGCACTCGTTCTCGCTGTCCCAACAAGCAACACCAAGTCGGCCACCTTACGTCTCGGCATTAGCCCACTACAACTCTGTGACACTTGCCACGGACAGAAGAGGGCAAGAAACCACCTAGAAGGCTTACTATCACCCCAACATGGCCAGCCAACCCCCCGGAGCGCCAGCCACCACTGACATCACCGCGAGAAAGTCGATCGGCGAACCAAAACCCAAAGACAGTGTCAAGGAGCCTTAAGCTTGTACACCGAGGGCCATCGTTGGCCCGCTTACGTGTAGAATCAAGGTCTTCGAGACGCTCAGGGGGTGATGATCGTCGTGATCGTTGGCCCATTGTCGCTGTATCACCGTCCGTTGAGCTTGGAAGGTTGAGAGCAGACAGAAGTTCTCCCAATGTATCTCTCTTCTCCCAAGTGTAGTGTTCCCAGCTTCCCTCTGAGATATTCTCCAGAAAAAGTATAAAGCAAGGCAACATCTCCCGAGAAATCACAACATCTTTTCCCCTCCTTCTCAGCATCACAACCCCCAAGCCTTTCCAAACACCACCAAACAACCAACCATCAACGAACCAACCACCACAACCCACCACCCCCTTTTCGTTAAACCCCCCCTACTCAAAATGAAGACCACCCTCCTCCTCACCCTCACCGCCCTAGCCGTGACCACAGTGCATGCCTACTGCGACGGCACCCCCGACAGCACCTGGTGGCGTGACGGCGACTGTTCCGAATCCACTGACCCGACCTGCTACAACCGTTGCCGCGAAGCCGGTTACGGTTGCGGTGGCTGCGGTGGCTGGCTGTATGGCGAGTGCTGGTGCTGTAGCAATGACTGCGCGGCGTAGATGGGGAAAGAGGAGAAAGAGAGAGAGAGAGAAAGGGGCACAATTTGATGTAAGTCGGGCGTCTTTTTTTGGGTTGTCTTTGTTGCTATTCTTCAGGTTTACTGACGGGACTGTATGGTAGGGCCAAAGTGGCAGATATCTGAACGGATGGGGCTGCTGGTATACGTGGGATTGGGTGAATATTAGGTTTCTGTCGTTTGCGATGTTTACGGGAGAAGATATATGCAAGGACATAGTTTGTTTACCTTGGCTGCTTCGCTTTAGTCTACAATCGAGAGAACTTGCAGTAGAGAACGAGCTTGAGAACGAGCTTGAGAACGCGTTTGCTGTTAGATAGGACACACAACATTGAAACTGTTCCGACAATCGTAGCTGCCAAAATCGCAGTGACTGTGTCTTCGAATCTCGGTGTTCCCGGTGTAACTTCGACACTGACGATGTAAAAGGACTGAAGTCGTTGAAATCCAATGTTGCAATTCCAATACCCGGTTGCGCCATTCCTCCCCTCATAATAGTCTACAGCACTGGGTATAATACGCGATGCCATTAACTTCGACCGACCGAAACAGCCGTTTTTCCCACAAGCAAATTCCCCTTGATACCCCAGTACGCCGTTCCCCAATACCTACTTCCCGTAACACAAATAGATTCCCCCCATCAAACATCACAAGCAAAAATCAAAACCGCGTCTTCGCAAACGCCTCATTCGCCAACTTCACGCCTGACTCATGGGCAGCTCTCGCCTCGGCCAGTGCCCCCTGCATCTCGAATGACTGCGCCAACATACCGTCGGCCACACTCATCCACAAAACATTCCCACTCTTGCGCGCTTGCGCCGCGCCCGCACGCGCACTCTTAAGCGCCTGCTCGCCGACGACATTTTCAAACAGCCGCGCGCGCATGATATTGAGCGCGATAGACAGATACTGGGTGTTGCTCGTCTGCTGAGCACCGCTCAGCGACTGCTGGATGTGACGTTTAACTTGGTTGATGGACATGGGGGGGTTCACGGCCGGGCCGATCGCGGCTAAAACCAAGTTGTAGACGGTGCGGATCTCCTGATCTGGGTTGTCCTCGCAGATGGGGCGGAGCAGGTCGATCAGGTCGGCGGTTTCAACGTCGTCGACCTGGAGAGGCTCTTGCAATATCCACAGGCGGTTGAGGGCGGCGAGGATGGAGAGTTCCGTTACGATGCGGCTGGTGTCAGGTTTGGGCGCACCGGACCAATCCATCTCAAACCTTTTGTCTTTCCAAACTTCTATTGCTTTGTCGAGAGCCGCCGTACCCTGGTACAAGACGCCTTGAAGGTAGAGCGTCAAGGCGTCGAGGAAGTTTGATTGAGGGTCGTTCCGGTTCACTGTGTCTAAACAGGCTTTCACTTTAGCCCAGTCGGATAACGTCGAAGCCTGGAGTCCAGTAAGGAGATGTGCATAGGAGGAGAGCTCATTTGCCCACTCGGCTTGTCTAAGTGCTTCCGGAAGACTGAACGACGTTGACGTGGGTTTTCGTTCTAGGCCTTGGTCAGCTTGGGAGGTATATTTTGAATCTAAGACGGTTCATCTCACCTTCTAATAACCTCACCGCTTCGTTCCACATACCCGAGCTACGGCCGGGTGTCGAGGCTTTGTAGTGAGCCACGATGCCATTGAAGACATACCTATGGTCGGGTGTTAGATGAAATTTGAAGTGTGGCATAGGAGCTGAAACTTACGCCAACGCCCAAGCTTCTTGCTTCCCTAGTGTCGTTAACACTAGATAATCGACGCGCTCTTCGCCAGGCCGGAGTACCGCTCGCGTATCAGCGCTGATTATCTGCTGCTGGTTGGGCATACGGTTGATCGGCAACAATAGCTCGCCAGATTGCGAAGTCCACTCCGGGGACTGTTTCAATTCTTCCAGTCGTTTCTGAAGCGCGCTGAGCTTCTGTGCTGCGATCTGGTGAGCTTTTTGGTGGAGGCTACACGCCAGATCCAACAGAAGAAGTAATACATCTGTCTGAGGTGTACGAATGGACTCGTCTAGCTGCAATTTTGAGACCTGAGCGATACACATCTGTACACGTGTGGCCCAGTCGTCCTTCATAGTGGTGAGGTGAGCGAGCCCCTCAAGAAGCATGGCTATGACGAAGACTCCCTTGTCATGGCGCTGGTTTGCGATTCCTGCGATTTTCCGTAGGTTTTCGATGGCGTGGTTATCAGCCGCCGTCCCGGATTGGAGATGGAAAGAGGCTTTCAGAAAACGGAAAGCGTAGATCCAAGGAACGTGTTTGTATCTAGGAACACGTTAGCAGTCTCTTCCAACACTGAATGCTGTGGGGGGCCACGTACGTTGTGCAGTCGGTGATATGGCCTTCTATCGACTTGAAGGCTGCCTTCTGATTGCGCTGGAAGAGCGTCTTCATCAGGAGAAATTGGGAGCAGTACTTCAAGTCGAGGAATCGATGCTGTACCCGAAGTCAGCCTGGTATCGTGGAGCAGTCACCTGAGCGTCGATCTTACCTTCTCGCACACCGATATGCCTCTCGTCAAAGCTGTCTCCGCCTCCGTGATGTTGTTTGTCTCCTCAATAAGAACACCGGTGTAACGTAAACATAGCCTCGCCTCGAGGCGTGGCCAGAGTTTATTTGACTTGAGCGCAACGTCCAGACAACCCAACCCCGTGGCTACTAGCTTGTGATGCTCGGCCACCTCTTCTGCATTCATGGTTCTTGCAACTTGCTGAGCCGCCGCATTCGCCTTCTCGAAGCAGTCCTCGGCTACACACAAAAGAAGTGGCAGCGTCTCGGCATGAGCCGATGCATGTGGCGTAACAGGTGAATTCGCAACGCTCGCACTCGAACTCGGCCGTCTTGGGTCTTTCGAAAGTAACTTTGGTGTGCCGCTTAACGGTGGCCGCTTCTCTAATTTAGGGCTCGCTTTCACGGGTATCGGTTTCGGGGTCTGGGTTTGCGGTTGAGCAGCGCGGGATAGTTGTGGGCTCGGGGTACTCGCGGGATGAAGCGGCTGCGCTGCGGGGAAGGCCTTGCTGGGAGGTTTCGGCATCGGCGATTGTTGGAGAAAGGAGGGGTCCACGAACTGTACAGGTGGCGCTGACATCGGTGCGGGCGACGGTACAGGTTGAGGGGGTGGGGCGGGCTGGACCACCGGAGAAGGCTGAGGGATCGGGGACGGCCGGGGAGCTGGGGATGGCTGAGGAAGCGGAGCTGGTTGGGTTATCGGAGAGGGCTGGGGCACGGAAGACGGTCGAGGAATCGGCGATGGTTGAGAGATTGGGGGCATTTGACTAGTCTGGGAGGGCCGAGGGGCTGGAGATGGTTGAGCAATAGGGGAGGGTTGCTGGTGGAAGGAACCATGGTAGTTTGGATACTGTGGTTGTAGGGGAGCGCTGCCGGGATAGAAGTGAAGCGGCTGTTGCTGCTGTTGTTGTCGTTGTTGTTGCTGATGCTGCTGCTGCTGCTGCTGCTGCTGCCGCTGCTGCGGCGATGGGTGTTGCGGGGCATAGGAAGGATGGGTATACTGGGCGTGTTGTTGTTGATGCTGGTACTGATGCTGCTGTTGCGGATATGGTTGGTGCCCACCGGGGTAGGCGTTCGCGAATTGCGGGTGCGGCAACGATGACTGGGGTTGCAGCTGGGATTGCAGCTGTGGTTGCAGCTGTATTTGTGGTTGCGATTGCGGGTATGACGGGTGTTGGAGTTGGTGATGTTGCTGGTGTTGATACTGCTGCTGCTGCTGTTGCTGCTGTGACAATAGTTGAGACGGCGCTGGTGGGTGTCCAGGGTGCATCTGGTGCATTGGATGGAATTGGCGTTGTTGATAATGTTGCTGGCCCTGGCCGCCGTATACCTCGCCGGGAGGCATGTTATCGGAGCACCGGGTGATGGCCCGTTGTGCGTTGCGACAGCCCGACTGCGGGAAAAAGTTGAGCGTGGATCGTTGAGAGTGGTTTTCGTTCTCCAAGTTGGCACGCGCCAGTCGCGGCTCATCGCACTTCGGGAAGGCGCTGTGTCGTTGGTTGGTGGACCGTGCGTCCAGGCACTGGTGGAGAACAAGGGATCGGACTCGAACGGCTTGGCATTATCTCGGTGGGCCGGCGTTAACGGCCCCGACCGCCGTTCCATTGCCCCACCCTTCCGGTGTGCCTCGGTAGGTCCAGACCTTCCAGGTTTGTTCATCCTCGTCTTGTTTCCAAATTTCCGGGTTCGTTTAACCAAGACTCGTCGTTCTGGGATAGGAGGCGCATTCTCGCCGCTTCCCGACCATATTCTACTTCCATTGATCGTAACGTACAGCGTGTTTGGGCGTTCGGCGTGGCGTTGCAATTATCTCTTGCATTGTGCTTCATTTGTATCGGTTTCCGCCTCGCCCCCTATGATATGATCTTCAGCCCATTCCTCCGTGAGGGTGTCTACAAGTTGCAACAACGGGAGGACAGAGAATATTCTAGAGGCCCCACCTTCGCCGTGTCTTGGCCTGCATCGGCATTGAGGATTACAGTATCTTGAACTCCGGTCCGCCGTCCGACCTCCAAACCGTTAAATAAGAACAGCAGGGTCAAAGATTATTGACCGGACTCCGATCAGCCAAGATACGCCTCCTGTTTCCGATTTACATTCGTTTTTCAGCACCATGGACTGGTTTGGCCGAGCCAAGATTGTCTTCACCCATGCGACCTCACCGCTAGCGTTGAAGAAGAAAGATGGGACATCGACAGACTTGCTTAAAGTCTGCGAGGCCAGCACTCCCACTTGCCAACTGAACCCGCTCCTGTTCAATGGCGACCTTCAGACTATGTGGACGGCAGTCAAGGAGCATGGTCCCCCAATCTACTACCGTCGGAGGATATTCGACGCCGACCACAAGGTTTACACCGGTACCTTCACCGTAGATTTCGCGGTGGACCCACACAAGGACGTGGACGAGGAGCTGCCGCCCAGAACTGCTTTCTTTTCCGACGATGATTTTGCCCAAATCGGCTCTGACGACAGCCGGCCCATGCTCATCGTTCTTCATGGGCTGTCTGGAGGCTCTCACGAAATATACCTTCGCCATACCATTGCGCCCTTGGTCTTAGATGAGGGTAATTGGGAGGTTTGTGTAGTCAATGCTCGCGGATGTGCCAACAGCAAGGTGACAAGCGGTGTTCTTTTCAACGCCAGGGCTACCTGGGATCTCCGACAGGTGGTGAAGTGGGCAAAGCAAACCTTCCCTAACCGGCCGCTATTTGGCGTCGGGTTTTCCTTAGGGGCTAACATTCTAACCAACGTAAGGCTATGGACTAGCGTGATCCTATCCTGTGATAAACGGCTGACCGACATGTTTCTAGTATGTTGGCGAGGAAGGCGAAAATTGTCTTTTGAAGGGCGCCATTTCTGTGGCCAACCCATTTGACCTAGAGGTGGCAAACAAGGCGCTTCAGCGGACATTTCTAGGCAAGCAAGTGTACTCGAGGGTCATGGGAAGTATGTTTCACCAAAATGGAGTTATCTTTACGTTCTGCAGAGTGTCTAACAAGTAGGCAGGCAGCATGAAAAAGCTCATCGCCACGCACAAGGACGCGGTCTTGACGCACACCAACTTGGATTATGACAGCATCCAAAAGGTTACCTACCTGCACGAGTTTGACCGGGAGGTTCAGTACGTCGACCACATTCCATGCGAAATCGGGAGGGTTACTCACAATATGCTTCACAGGACGGTCACCTGGGGATATCCTACCGAAAACGCCTACTATCGCGACGCCTCCTCCTCGGACGCAATCCTGGCCATCAGAATCCCGTTCCTTGCCATCTCTGCCTTAGATGATCCGGTAATTCAGCTACCTCTCCTCCTAATTCGCCCTGTGGCTAACACTCATACACAGATCGCCGTATTCGACGCGATTCCATTCCAAGAGTTCACTCAGAACCCGTACACCGTGCTCGTCACCACTTCACTCGGCGGACACATATCGTGGTTCGAGATTGGTGGCGGGAGATGGCACCCCCGACCGGTATGCCTATTCCTAGATGTGTATTCTCCGGTAAGAGCTAACCTCCTGTAGATCTGCAATTTTCTCAACTACATGGCCAATGAGATCAACCTTGATGCCATCACCCCCAGTGACAACGGCAAGAAGGCCGAAACCCAGTTCACGACGGAGTTTAACCCCGTAAGGAGGAAGTTGCGCATTCTAGACAATTGAGGTGTATTTCGAGGGGGGTGGGAATGTGAGCTTGTGCTAGATATGCTAGTGTTTGGGATAGATGGATAGAAAGCGAGAGTCTCCCTGATAGACTAGAGGATGATTTCAATTTACCTGTCATAATACCTAGGACATAGTATCAACCAAGCGCGCATAGCAAATGACTTACTAGGTATTCGTTTCCCCATTTTATACAACCCCCCTTACGGATAGGAAGGCTGCAGCCACATGGATCCGTTTGTTGGTATCCGTCCTAAAACCGACAACCCCAAAATTTTACCCTTTCAACATACAACGCCAAACGCCCGCCATGCAGATGAAAGACCCACCACAAACGAACCACCCCCCAGAAAAATACTCGAAAACAGAATCCCTTCTCATCATAAAAAAAAGTCGCCCTCTTCCCTACCCCATCGCTCAATCCGCCCCAGCAAAAGAAACCCTCTTCTTCTTCGCCTTGGCCGCCTTCGTCCCCGTCAACGCAACGGCCTTCACGTTCTCCTCCCCATCATCCCGATCACCACCGCTCTTCCCAGCCGTACGCTTCCGTTTCCGCCGTAGCGACTCCTTGGTGTCCTCCAACCGAGCCTTTCGTTCGGCCTCCTTCTTGTCGGCCTCGGCGCGGCGCGCCTCGCGGATCTCTTCCATTTGCCGCGCCCGCATCATCTTGGATTCGATCTGCCCTTCCTTTTCGGCTTGGACGAGGGCGAGAATGGTTGTCATGCTTTCCTGAAGACAGAGTAAGAGCAATTGGTTAGCTGCGGTGTAAAACGGGAGAGAACGGGTGGTGGCGGGGAAGACGAACCCGATCATCAACAAACACCTTCCCCTTCTTCTTCCCCTTGGGCTTCGTCACGCCGACGGGCGTGATCATGTTCAGCTCTGGGATCCCAAGCTCTTTCTCAGTGTACGACTTCTGCTTCTTCTTCTTGTCGAGCCCTTTTAGGTTCGGCCGCCCCTTAACCTGTGTCGCGGGCGCCTTGGATTTTGAGCCGGCCTTGCCTTTCGATTTTGAGATGCCGCCGCCGCTGAATGATGACTTGCTTCCGCCCGTGCTAGTGCCCTTGGGCGCGGCGTGCTTGTTTTTTACTGTGCGTGTTGGTGCCATTGGTGTGTGTGGGGATTTTGTGATGGGGGGTGGTGAAGATGGCGAGGTTCTCGAGATGTTGGGGTTTGTCCCACGCGCTCAGGACACTGGGAGCGCAGCGAGCTTCGAAAATTTCGGGGTCGGCTTCGTTATCCGCTGGGTTTGGTCCGTTATCGAACGGTTAAAGTGGGACCAACAGGGGTGGTTTTGGCGGGTCTGGCACCTCCCGGCAGGCAATGTAATTATTGGAGCGCGGGGTTCACGATTGCTTTTGGTCCCGCCGATTGCGGTGCAAGAACCTCAAAATTTACTGGGACAGGAAAACGAATAGTTTGCGACAACCGGTGTTTCCTTGTTAGAAACCGTGCATTTTGAAGATTTGGACCTATAATCCAGCCAAAATCACACGGAGACAACCCAGCATGACATCCTCAAACCCTGCACCCCGGTGGGCGGCCTTTGCGCGCGACACCAACGAGACCAAAATCCAAATCGCCCTCAATCTTGATGGCGGCGCATTCCCCCCAGACACGGACGCCCGCTTGCAAGTGAGCAACACGGGTGACCACGCTTCCCAAACGAGCAAGTCGCAGACCATCAGCGTCAGCACAGGCATCGGCTTCCTCGACCACATGCTCCACGCTCTGGCCAAGCATGCAGGCTGGAGTCTGGCGCTCGCCTGCAAGGGCGACTTACACAGTCAGTCTCCTCCTCCTCCTTTCACTTTCTGAGTTACGGTTCATCTCGATCTAAACAATCTCCCCCATCCCTCAGTCGACGACCACCACACCGCCGAAGACGTCTGCATCTCACTAGGCTACGCCTTCGCCCAAGCCCTCGGCACGCCCACGGGCCTCGCCCGCTTCGGGTACGCCTACGCCCCGCTCGACGAGGCGCTCAGCCGGGCAGTGGTCGACCTATCCAACCGCCCCTTCTGCGTGGCCGATCTGGGCCTGCGGCGCGAAAAGATTGGCGACCTCAGCACTGAGATGATTCCGCATTGCCTGCAGAGCTTTGCGGGGGCCGCGCGCATCACGCTGCATGTGGACTGTCTGCGGGGTGATAATGATCATCATCGTGCTGAGAGTGCGTTTAAGGCGCTTGCGGTGGCGGTGCGGCAGGCTACGAGCCGGGTTGCGGGGAGAGAGGGGGAGGTGCCGAGTACGAAGGGGACGTTGAGTGTATAAGGGTGGCTTCTTTGGAGGTATGGGGATATGGGAGAGTGGTTGGTGAGTCGGGACGGGACATCTTAGATAGGGTTTATAAGGCTGGATATTTTTGGACCTAAAAGGACAAGATAGAGTGATTTAAAATCTGAGTGATGAGGCACGAAAGAGCATATCTGTTTATACACACCTCTGCCTGCTTCCGCTACTATATCTCGGCCGCCGTCAATACCTCTTTTACTGCTCACCTTGTGGGACTACGTAAAGGGGGATTACGATGTTTGCTTGGCGGGGGGTCTAAGTGAGGGTTTGTATGACATGTTATGAAAAAAAAAAAGGGGCGCTTGAGGTGGTTTTAGTCAGTCATGGATACCAGGTAGTTAAGTGCGAGTATCATAGGTAGACACAAAAGGGGCAAGTTAGGATTGGGGTCACACAAGTGCGCTAATGAGTGGCTCGGGCCGTTGGGTGAGACATTTCGTTATGTCGTTGTACGAGGGTGGGCGTGGCGTTGTGGTGGGTTGGGGATATGTGTACATATATACCACATGGTATAAGTGCGATGTTGTGATTTACGACGGTGTGGAAGTTAAACTATATTACAACGGAGTTAACCTTAGGAACACTCCGTGAGTGTCGAGTAGAGAGCAATCAAAGGTACCTGTTGATGAAGAATGAATAAAAAGACGATGATTTTCAAAAATGTGTTTATCCGCGGACCTTGTCAACTCCCGTGTAGCCATTCCATCTGACTTATCTTGAAGGCGTGCCAGACTCCCAGAATGTCAGCATGGCCGGTGGAGTTGTCCAGAAGCGAGCGGAAAACCCGAGAAATCAGACCAGACTGGTGGAGCTTTTGGATCGACGATCGACAGAAATGGGGGGCCGAGACCGTCCGGGGGTGAAGGACGGTGGTATTGGATGATAAGGTGTCCGAGGGAGGTGAGGTTGCGAACCTAAGTATGGGGAGCGATTCCTTTTTCAACGATACCACTGTGATGGGGAGAAAACGGCAGCGAGTCCATCCAATTCAACAACGGGCATACAGTGGAGCGCAAAAAGCGATCCCCAAGCACGCGAGATTCGGGGGATTTCCCATTCGGTTCAGGCTGCTCTGTTGTCCATTGAGTAAATGAGTGCCGCTAGTAGGCCATTGCAGCGTGCACCTCTCTGGTTGCTCCAGACCTGCGGGGTATCCCGCCGACTTGCATGCCCCGTCCAGTTGGCGCGGATTGGTTTCCCATTTGTTGAAGAAGGGCAGGAACAGCCCATGCATGGATGGTCTTGCCCTGGGTGAGCCCTGTGAGGTGAGGTGGGGAGATGCAAGCACATGGAGCGAAGAGACGGGGCTAGCTCTGTTGGGGAAGAGGGGGGGAGAAATGGGGTTTATGGTGGTCTGATTACCGTCAGTTACGTGTAATGGGGTAATTTACGGCCCTTTTATGCGGAGAGCCCTGGTATCAGACAGGGCCGTTACATCGTCTTTTGTGCCCGCCTGTTCGCCCCACGGCACTTTCCCTCGAGACCGGCGTCTCGGGACGACATAAAAGGTCGAGGCCCGTGTTTTGGCCGTAAATGGATCGCTTGATGATTTCAGAGGTGTATCGGATCTGAGGCTGCTTGGAGACCGCTGGGTTGGGACTGAAACTTTCCGCCATTGTCCTCGGATTCGCCACCTTGGGACTTCATCTTTACCAACAGACCTTACTTTTCGTCGGCAACATGAAGATTGCGTGTCTCCAGTTCGCGCCCAAGGTGGGGGATGTATCCAACAACATCGCCCGCGCCGAAGATGTCCTCGCCCATGCCGATCCGGCCGATCTCAAGAACCTAGACCTCCTCATCCTGCCCGAGATGGCCTTCAGCGGTACGTTCCCTGCGGTCCAACTCGGTTTGCTTCAAGGCTGACTCTGTCCAGGATACAATTTCAAATCGGCAGAACACATTGCGCCGTATCTCGAGCCGACCGGCGCCGGGGTCAGTTCGCAGTGGGCACGCACTATGGCCCGCAAGCACGGCTGCACCGTCGCTGTGGGCTACCCGGAGAAGGCCGAGACAGGAGATGAGGGGGAACCGGAGTGCTACAACTCGGTGGTCGTGGTAGACAGTGACGGCAAGCAGCTCGTCAACTACAGCAAGTCGTTTCTGTACTATACCGATGACACCTGGGCATGTGAGGGCAAGGGCTTTTACGGGGGGAAACTGGGAAGTCTAGGGCAGGCTGCCGTGGGGATATGTAAGTGTTTCTGGCATCTCTGGCAAGTCAATTCAAGGGGACCCGAGCTAATATATACCGCCTAGGTATGGACATCAAGTAAGCAGCGTAACAAACCAACAACCCGAGAAACTAAGAAACCCCACTAACACACCTAGCCCCTACAAATTCGAAGCCCCCTGGGACGCCTACGAGTTCGCCCTGCACGTCCAGCGCGTGGGCGCCAACCTTGTGCTCCTCTCGACCGCCTGGCTGACCAACGACGACCAGTCCACCTTCCTGGCGCCTCCACTCCACCACCCGGACCTCAACACCCTGCTCTACTGGGTACGCCGTCTCGACCCCGTCATCGCCGCGGACAGCCCCGAAGAGATCATCGTGGTTTTTGCGAACCGGTGCGGCACCGAGGACGAGGCGACCTATGCGGGGACCAGCACCGTGTTAGGGATTAAGGGCGGTGAGGTGTGGGTGTATGGACTTCTGGGACGGGGCGTGGAAGAGTTATTGGTCGTGGACACGGCGAAACCGCCATTTGTGAAGATTGTAGAACGGCCGTCTTCGGAGGGCGTGTCGGTGGATGGGGAGGAGGAAGAAGAAGAAGAGGAAGACGAAGAAATCAACAAAGACGCTGTCGACGAAGACATTGAGAACAACAACAAAACCGAAAAAGGAACCGAACCCCCAGAACCGAAAACCGAACAACAACCACAACAACATAACAACACACCAGCAACTGACAACCCCACACCAAATCCCCAACCCAACACCACCACCAGCTACACCGACTCACCCACCCTCCCCTCTTCCGCCTTTGCCCCCTCCATCCGGCCTTACCACTACCATCACCCCCGAGCGGGCACAACCTCAACCAAACCACCACCACCACCCACCTCGGCCCCTATCATACCCCTTACCAGCACACCAGTGCCAACGACAACGACAACCTCAGTAGTCCTACCCCTCCCAACACCACCCGATTTAGAAGACGAGGAATACACAGGCAACCACCACCGACTCGCGCTCCCGCTTCCGCAGCCGGTGATGCCGATTATTGGTGTACCGCTAACACCAAAGGAGGAGATGGATGAGGTAAGGGGTGCAGAGAGGATGTTGCCGCCGCCGGCATGGGGTGTGGCCGATTCGATGGGGGGGAGGGCCAGGGGAGAGGCTGGGTTGGGGGTTGTGGGCTGATGGTGCTGGTGATGGTGATGGTTAGGGGGGTGTTGCTTTGTTAGGTGTTGTTGTTTGGAGGTTGGGTTGGGCTTGGGCTTTAATCTTGGTCTTAATTTAGGATTACGGCCTTTTTGTACCTTTCTGTATCCTCTTTTTTGGGTTTGTCCGTCTCCTTTTTTTGGTTGTTGATAGTCCATCCCTGTGAGGTATAGTTCTATTGTTTGAATGGTAATGGAATGTGGTTGCTCAAGTAAACTTTGTACCAAACAACTCTGTACAAAAACAAGGGGTGTCTTGCACTTCTCAGAGGTTGATTGTTAGTCAAGAGGACTCTGAGATGATACATACGTCAGTCATTACAGCCACACTGCAAAAGCCAAGCTTCAAGACTGAACCACAAGTGGTATGTTCTAGAGTAAAGGCGTTCGGTTCAAAGGACTTGGACATGAAAAAGAAAAGAAAAGAAAAGAAAAGAAAAGAAAAGAAAAGAAAAGAAAAAAAGGCGCACAGTAATTTCCTGTGATGAGCGGGTTCCTCCCAGTCTGGGTGTACTTGACTATATGATATATCCAATACTCGAATTTTAATTTACCTGTGTGTATGCATCATCTCCCAAAAGACCCATGTTATGTTCTAAATGATATCATCCACATCATCCAACCAACATTTCAAAAACATCCCCGCGCAACATAATGCATCATGACAAGGTCGTACCCAACGTTCAAGCAAATAACTATACCACACCCAACCGAGCCAACCTACGCCTTCCCCTTCAACCCGTAACGCCCGCCAGCTCTTATAAAATCATTAACATGACACCCATAAACATATATATGTATATCAAATCACACCTGCACCATCACTACACCCACATCACCATCGTTCCTGCCAGATCTCAGACCCCCCCATTCCCCTCCTCACCAACCCCCCACCACAGCCCCCTCGCTCGACCGGAAAACGGCTTCTTCCCTGCTAGTGAATGGGTTCGATCGGGCAGCAGAAATGGGCGGGAGAGCCTCGCGCCTGGGTCTAGTTGTAGTTCTGGTTCTGGTTCTGTTGCTGTTGCCGTCTGTGGTGCTTCCCCTGGTTCTGTTGGTGCGGCTGATGGGGCTGGTATTGTTGCAGTTGCAGTTGCAGCTACTGGTTTCTTTAATAGTGTCATTGATGGAGTGCTGCCCGCTGATGTGAATGGAGAAGGTGGACTAAAGGTCGCGATGCTCATGTGCCTTGGTATTGTTGTTTGAGATGTTGACGGGACTGTTCCCACGGCTGTTCCGCTATCGTTGGATGATGGGGTGGTGGGCTGACGAGCAGGCCGTGAAAAGTTTCGTTTGACAGGATGAACGGCCGGCGTAATCGCGGCAGTTTCTGCTGCCGTCGTAGGGAGAGTGTGTGATGTTGCTGCTGCTGCTGTGCGGCCCGGTTGACTGTAGCGTGCGTGTTGCGTCTTCGTGCTCTGCCACTGCTGCTGCGGCTGCAACTGCGACTGCGGCCGGGGAAACAACGAAAAGAGATCCCGCGATCGGCCTTCCGGCTGGACCCGTAAAGAGCGCCCCGCCACTGCCGTGACCGAGGTCGGTGTTGTGGGAAGTGCGGGCAGCGGGGCCGCGGGCGGAGAGACAGGCTTCCAGAGCTCGCCGGACGGGTTGCGGTAGGTGGTGACCCGTCCGCTGTTGGCCGCGGTCTTCCGGCTCTGTTTTTGAATTGTGGGCTGCGTTTGGAGAGGTGGTGGAACGGATTTCCGTCGTGGCGGTGATAACCGGGGAGGAACTATTCTGGCGAGACGAGGGAGTGGTGTGGCAGGTAGTTCGGTGAGGGACGGGCGGTGGAATTGTCGTTCCGGCTGGTAGAAGTTGAACGCCGTGGCCGTGTCGATGCTCTGACGGCTGGACGTGGGTGGGGGGATTTTGCGAAGGGGAAGCCGCACATCGTTGCTGCCGCAGAGGCCCAAGTCTACCAATGCTTGGGCCGAGAGGGAGGGAGAGGAAGAGGTTGATGGCGAGGTGCTATCTGTGTGTGGCGTACCCGACTCGGATCCTCCTTGATACCCTCCACCCCGCATGGTCTCGTACGGGGCCGACGCCCGTTTGCGCTTTGCGGCCCGACGGCGGCAGGCAAACATGATGAAGACCCCAGCAAAGGCGAGAAGCGCGGCGCTCACGGTCACGGCCACGACGGCGGCTACTGGAAGCGACCCGTCGGTTGAAGATGTGCTGGCGACGGCGGCGGTGGAAGAGGGACTACTGGTGGTTCCCGTTTGCCGCGTTTGCCCCGTCCTCGGTGACCTCGCCGTCTCCGTACCCAACGTCGCGATGCTCACTGTCAATATGCTGCTGATGAACCGGGGGGTCGGCAACGCGGACTGGGCGGTTGGTGACGATGGCGATTGCTGGTCAAGGTACAGCGTAACCGCAGGAGGACTGTCCCGGCGCGCCATGCATCGTCGACCATTCCGGGAACCTTGGAGTCGGGAAAGCCGCTCGTGTGTGAACACATTGTTCCATGACTAACCCGTCCCGCGCGGCAGCGACAACGGGATGGACTGGATTATATGTCCATCCCTGAACGCGGCCATCCGGGCCACATGACGACAGAGTGCCTGGCCCGGCCCCATCTTGCGGCCACTTGAGAATGCGTATGCACAGTTACTTCCACGGTTACACACACCACATGTCCACTTGCCAGCTTGCCAGCTTGCCGGGCCAACCGCTCGGCATCGTTGTGCCTTGCTGCTGTCGGGGCCGACTGCAAGGAATCACGCATGCCAGGGGCGGTGCTGAGTTGGCCCATGACGCCGATTCTAGGAACAGGAATAGGCCGGCAGAGGGAGGTTCCGCTGACCATTGGCGTGGCGCAGGGGGGTCAGGTCGAGTTGAGGGTGGGCTGGCAGATTGCTAGGGAGACTGATGTCATTCAGGGGCCGTTGGCTGTAGGATTAAGCGCGTTGGCGCTTAATTAAAGTTGTTTGTTGGCTCGAAACCTGGGACTGAGACGGTACTGTGACTTGGTGATGCGTGTTGTGATGTATGCATACGTCAATAAGTCTCATGAGCAACGAACAAGACCTCTTTTGTGGCCGTCGATATTGACTTTCCGGACTGCTCGGTGGTTGCCTCTGAGAAAAGGGGGCAAAGGGGGCCTGGGGCAACCGTGCCGCGGTGTACGAAGTAGAATCATACCGTCATCCTCAGTTGTGTAGCCATGAGCCTCGTACCTACAGAGACGATAGCACAAAAGTTTACCTCGCTGTGGTGATAAAAGTGAGCGCCGCTCGCAGCTGAATTGTCATGCAGTTGTCAAGGCACCCACGCAGCCTCCGGGGGCGGCTTTGCTTCAATCCTCTTGACGGCGAGGAATGGCAAAGCTGAGCAAAGAGGATGTCGGAAATGCAAACAGCCGCGACCATCCTGTTGAAAGTGTGCTTTTTTGGCTTTTTCGTTCTGTTTAGAGGGTGTGATCCCTTATTTATGAGGCTGAGTACCTTTTTGCCGGCTCTTCCGCGCGTCTAAGTAGGGATACAAGCCACAATCGAGGAATGGAATCAATTCAACTATGACTCCTTTGGACCGTGCAGCTTTGCAGGCCGGTGCCAACGGCCCGCATGGCTGCCCGGGTATCAATTTTGAGAATACTAATGCAAAGAAAAAGGGGAGCCCGACGCACCGATCATCGGAGAGTGAGTTGAGGACACGCAACACTCGGTTCATCAGGTCATGAGCCCGTCCGTTGGGTTGTGATGAGATTGTTTGCTTGCTGGCTTCACTGAGAACCAACGACCGAACCCCGCTAAACCCGTGAACCCGAGCCGGTCAGCTGGCCGTGGGAAGTTGGCTTCATCGGCGACCTGAGCCCATGGCCCAGCCGGGCCCAAAGAAATGTTTGCTTAAGGGAAAAAGATATCTCAGCAAAACGGCAACATCCGGGACGACGGGCTCGGTTGTCCGAACAGAGGTCCGAACAGAGGGCTGGGGGGAAAAAAGAAGTCCGGAGTAGAACGGGGGGGCGACGGCGTGGGGCAAGAGACAACTCCCTTTTTAGGACGCAGCTGCTGGGAGGGTATGTCCTAATTGAGGGTGCTGAAGGCTGTATGTTTGCTCTGCCGAGCCCCGTGATTGCATACGATCGAGTGATGTTGGCGAATGCATGCAGCTCTAAGTTTGGTGCAGCACAGCCAACATGCAAGACCCCCAGTTTCAGACTTGGGAAAACAGGCCCAACTGTTTCGAATCTCAGGTCGCTTCAGAATAGACACCACAACAACATGATGAACAAGAAGTAGAAATCCCCAAGCACCCGGACATCGCAGTATCGTCGAAATTGAGGACGCGGGTTTGGCGGGGTTGTGGGAAAGCTTCAGATGAAAGACAAGCAGGCGCGAACGTTGTCCAGGGTTCCATGCCCAAAAAGCCCTGGGGCCCCGGCCCGTTTCTGGTCGTCCGTTTCAACCCCGCATGTGGTTCACCCAATCAGAGCCCCGAATCTCAACTCTTTCCTGCCGTTTTGGTCCTCCCATTGGGCAGGGCAGTTTATTTTTTGGCTCAGGCTCCACTTCGGCGTGCGAAGCCCCTGGTCGGCTGCTGCGGCCGCTCGATCGCAAAATGCAAGAATCAGAGAGTGGGGGGATGGGACGTGATGAGGTCGAGATTCCCCTTCTTCCCTGCTTCCAATCTTCTTTCAAGGGCAGATAACAGGTCAGAGACTCAGAGGTAAGCGTCGAGCTAATGGTGAAAGGCGTCGCATCGCATGGCATCACATTCACGGGCGCTATCGAACGGGCGCCTGTGACCAAGTACCGCAAACTCCGTAACTAACTTGGAAGCTTATCGTCCGAGGTTGGACCGGGTTTCCTCTAACTTTGCTTCTGTTTCCCCGGAAGCACCAAAGCACCGAATCATCAAGATTTCTTCACCCGCGGCCAGGCATCGACCTCGATTGTACGTGTATTCGTACGGCGGGCGGTTCCTGCGCGAGAATGGGATCGAATCCTGCAACTCGGCAGTTAGCCAAGGACGGACCCGCAACTCGTCCCATTCGCTCCGGACTGGCCTCTCTCGTAGCAAAATAGCGAAAAAAGAATGGACCTCGAGAATCATCAAAACCACCATGAGCTGCAGTGTGACACCATCGCACACCGGATGCCGGGCGCTTACAGGCCCGGGAGAACAGGCCGCACAGGTCGCCCAGGTCACCCTCCCCAATCACCCGGCTGACCGTTTCGATGGTGCGACCGACCTGAGCCTGAACCCCCCTTGCCCTACAGAACATGGTACCAAAAATACATCTGAACCCTCAGAACACACTTGGCTGTGCCGCTCGCTCCCGTTCCCCCCCCCGCCGCCCCCTTCCACACTGCTGCCCGCCGTGAGGGATGGACCCCTTTCCGGATTTGGGTTCCCTTTTTATCGGTTGAAGACTCCCCCCCTTTCGGTAGATTCGGGAGACTCTGTCGAGGTGTCTTTTAAACTTTATTCGAGAAACACGGAATGGACATTGTCGTCGCCAGCAACTTCGAGTAATAACGGGCCGTAAGAAAGGGACCTTGCGCTTGTCTATTTGGGAAGATTGAGAGGAGAAGCGGTCGATTTGTTGTTATGACAGGCTTGTCACTTCCGGGCTTCTTCTTCCAAGTTCAACACCATGAGGATCGGGTGTTTGCAGTTTGACCCTCGCCTCGGCGAGGTCGACAACAACCTCAACCGCGCTGATGACATCCTTGACGGGGTAAATCCAGAAGATCTCGATGGCCTCGATCTGCTTGTTCTCCCAGAACTAGCCTTCACTGGTACGTCTAGTTCTTGGATATCATACTAATCCACCTCGGTCCTCAACAGATGGTATTGTGATTGAGATACTAAACCCACCGTAGGCTACAACTTCAGATCTCTACAGCACATTGCGCCGTGTCTTGAAGAAGCCGGTCGTGGAATTACCTCGCTATGGGCTCAGAACACCGCGCTCAAGTACGACTGTGCTGTGGTCGCGGGCTATCCAGAGAAGGTGGACGTCTCTGCCAACTGGCCGGCGTCTCCCGAGTATTATAACTCGGCCTTCATCGTCGACGGCGATGGTGACCTAGTCGGCAACTACCGCAAGTCATTTCTCTACTACACTGACGAGACGTGGGCCCTCGAGGGCGCAAGCGGGTTCTTCCAAGGCCAGATACCCAAACTCGGGAACGTCGCGCTCGGGATTTGCACCGACCTCAAGTAGGTCGCATGAACCCCTTTTCTTGCTAACTGTGACACACGCACTAATAACTGCTCCAGCCCTTATAGACTCGAAGCCCCCTGGGAAGCGTTCGAGTTTGGCTTCCACATCACTAAGGTGCAGGCAAATGTCGTGATTCTGTCCATGGCCTGGCAGACGCACCAGGACTCGGACTCGTTCAACCTCAGCCCCGCGGAACCCGATCTTGAAACCTTGACCTACTGGGTGCAGCGACTCGAGCCGGTGATCCGCGAAAACAAGGAGGAAGAGGTTGTCGTGGTCTTTTGCAACCGCACAGGGGTTGAGCACGGAGTCACGTACACCGGCACAAGTGCTGTGCTTGGCATCAAGGGGGGTCAAGTGTTTGTCTATGATGTTATGGGGCGCAGCGAGAGCGGGCTGCTCGTGGTCGACACCGAGATCGCACCCAGGTGCAAGCTTACGAGTGCTGACGCCGTAGCGGCCGATGAGCCCGTCTACCAAACGCCAAAGACCCCGCTCGAAGCGAAACCTCTGAAGCCAGCGACCCGGTTAACGTGCCAGATTCCAGACAACAGCAACCTGCAGGATGAACACGACCACGAAGACTGTCCTTGTCACCTCGGCGACGCAGGCCTAGATCGCGGCCTCAACAGCCCCCGACAACCCACCTCACCTCGACAGCCTACCTCACCCCGACTCCCCTGGCTTGCGCAACCCACCTCCCCAGGCACGCCCACCGACACCCGCTCACCCACACGACTCCAGATCCCAACTCCGTCCCGACCGCAGTTCGAAGAATTCACAGCCATCGACAGCGCCATCAACGACGACATCATCATCGACACACCAGCCGGCAGCGCCCTACCCGGCACGCCAGCATTTGCGCAGCGTCTGTTGGGCCGGCCCAAGTTGGGGGTCCCTGCGGCCGCTGGCGGCGCCAGCAACAACACACCGTCCTCGCCCTGGCGCTTCCACAACGACACCCAGAGCCCTTACCCGTGGCATCACCATGAGGGCTCGCAGTCGTCCGTCTTTGGCGCGGGCGCGGCTATGACGCCTATTACGCCGTTTGATGAAGACGGGTGGAGCTCTACGCCGATTGAGCAAAAGGCGCCGCCGTCGTGGTTTTGGAGGCATGAGCCGAAGCTGACGGCGTTGAAGGAGTCGATTATTGAGGAGGAAGAGGAAGATGAGGAAGAGGAAGAAAAGGAAGAAAAGAAGAAGACGAAGCAAGAAGTGGAAATTCCCGAAGAAAAGGCGGAGTCAAGCAAGCAAAAGGAGGTGGAAACTAAACAGATGGTGGAACGCACACGGGTATCCGCTCCATCCGAGGAAATCACCTTTTTCCTTGCGGAGGATTCACACACAGGCTCAGAAACGGAAGTGGAAGCAAAGGGGTTCGACAAGGAAGACTCGGAAGAACCGGAACCGGCCGACAACGACTGGGCCAGTCTCACCGATGTTCTGCAAGGCCTCAAAGTCCGCCCCGGCTCGGCGTTCGACTGGAAGTCTTCCTCCGAGCGTCCCAACTCTCCCAAGTCGCGGAACATGTCACGAAGTTCGAGTCCATTCCAGCTTTTCCAGCCCTCTGAGCTGGGATATGGGGACGATGAGCAGACGGCACGGGAGCTACCTAGCAAAGTCAGTCCTCGGCTAAACCAGCAGAGCCACTCTTTTGAGGGCCCAGGACGGGAACGACACCGGCGGCCTTCTGGGCTGCGACATGCGACCAGTTTTGTGGAAGAGCGCGATTCTGAGCCGGGCGAGGACTCAGAGTTGGGATACACTGCTCGTGGTCGAAGGGGGAACTTGAAGCCTGCGACTTATCAGCCGCCCCTCTACCAACCCGACCTCCCTAGGGCCAACGACGACAACAACAACAGCAACAATAACAACAACAACCACACAACTACCCTCTCCACGACGCCACAACCCAACCTCTCCGCACAACCCAATCTTCCCACACAAGACAACACCAACTCCAACACCAACAACACCAACAACACCAACGAAAACAACAACGAAACCACCTCCCTCCCCTCCCCAACCTTCACCTACCCCCTCACATCCCCCAAAACCCCCTCCACCAAACGCAAACCCCCTTCCCCCCTCTACTTCATAAGCCCCACCAACACCGCCATCCCCGCCGGCCCTCTCACCGCCGCCCTCGTAACATCCGGCATATCCCTCTCCACCCTCACCACCCCAGCCCTGACCACGGCCGGTCTGTCCTCCGCCACCTCCGCCACTTCCTCATCCATGTCCTCTGCGCTATCTGCCCTGTCGGCTACCTCGGCGACTTCCGGGCCGTCGGTGCTGTCGGCTATGTCTGGGTTTGGACGGTATCGGGAGGAGGGGGGGGATAGAGATAAGAGTGAGTATGAGGATTATGGGGATTATCAGCGGTGGAGGGGCGGTTGGGAAGCTGGTGGTGATGGTGGGGATAAGGGGAAGGGGAAGGGGGTGGATAGGCGGTACCTAAAAGAGGGGGATGGGTATGAGGAGAAGGTTTGGGTGGATGGAGGGGAAGGGAAGGGTGAAGAGAGAGTTTCTCGGTGATTGTGTAAGTTTATAGTGAGATGGATGGGTGGGTATGGGGTGGACTACGGTTATTAAGCGGGTTATGATATATGGACGTATGAGATGTTATGATGGAGCGGTCGTTTTGCTTGCATGTTTTGATTTGGTTTGTTGTCCCATATGTATGAGTGAAGCGTGGATTAAAAGAGGAGAAATTGATATGCCAAGTTGGGTAATAAGAGTGTATGAGTACCGTCGTAGGAAGGTTCGATTGTAAATGAGGTCTCCAACATCGTTGTATTTGTATCACGCCTGCTCCCTTGCTGGTATATGTGAGTTATGAGAGTAGTTTCTTTTTACTTTGTTTATTTCCAAGAGTCGAGGTTGGATCAACTGATACAAGTCCGGCACGCCGAATACCATCGTTCGACGACCGGACATGAAAATCTGGGTACACAGGAGAAAGTGGGTAGTTTTAACAGTCTTCCGGCGTAGACGTTGAGAGACGACGATGCTTTAATAGACCACGCTAGGCTGCGAGTCAGCTTATATAAGAGAAAAAAAACACCATCCGGTCTTCGCTTTGGTTATTCTTCAAGAGCAGAAACTCTCACGGTTTGTTTCTTACAACAAACCGTAAATTAGCGCCGGAGTTTGATCAAGTCTCTCCCTGATCGGGTTCCTCAGGTACCAAGCGAGGCACTTCAAGTCAGTTGCCGAGTTGACTCCAATGTCACTAGTGTGCAAAGTTCCAATATCACACTGTATCGGATGCGGGCAACCAGCTCGGCGTTTATCAGGGGACACAGTCCACAGTGCGTGTGGGTGGCAAAACTCTTTTTCTGAATCGCCGCCAATTTGGGGGCAACTTGTGCCTTTCGACCTGAATATCTTGCTCGTTTCATCTGCAAAAAAGAGCACTTCTGCGGCGTTGACAGTGGCAGTGAGCTGCACACACAGAGTCGTCGGTGAAAAGACAGCTTCCATCTGCAAGAAGGGGGTGCTGGAGAAAGGCACGAATGGCCAGTGGTGCCTCGACCTGGACTTGGGCCCACTTCAGCTCTGGCCAGATCAGGCAAATTATGGGTCACAAGCAGTCCAAAAACAACCAATCACAGGCCCATACACCCGAGTGACAATCAAAGTGGAGCCATGTGAAGACTTGCAGGGGCCCCTGCAGCGGGCACATCGGGTCCTTGCGCTTGTTCGCGCTGTGACTGGTCAATGGTGTGCGCACCTGCATGGGGCTTGTTGAGTGTGCCGTCTCACGGACCAAGCGGATTTCCCTCCCACATCCGAATTCTGGCCAGTGAGACCGTCAAGAGGGCCGGCAGACGTTGACGAACGCAGCAGCAAAATGGCCGAAAAGGCCGTCGATCGGGTCGGGGGCGGAATGTGTGCGGCATGATTTGCCATGGGCCCTTTTGGCCAATTTTCACAGGCAGTCCCCCACCGCAATCATGCGCAACATGGCCTCTGTCTGCGGCCAGGCCGTTCATTCCAAGAATCTCAAAGGGCCAGAGCCACTCGTGGTGGCCGCTTCATGGGCCGCTGGTTTTCCCCGCTCGCAGCCGAACGGCCTTGTGCGACGACCCGATGTTGGAGTTGAATGTTGCGCTCCGAGGCCGTGGGATTTCGGCATCTCAGTGTCACGTTGTGAACAGCAGCCCCCCTTCTCCCCCGTGTTGGGGCAGACAACCAACACCCATCACCGTCACATTTTTGGTGGCTGTTGGCGTCGCCCATCTGCAGACAAGCCACAGCGCCGACCTGATGAGCTGCGCGCTTAGCAGATCTCGACTTTGCATCAACCGTTGCGCATGCGATTGATTCTTTGTTTCCTTGATATTCCTTATCCTCCGACGGCGACCATCTCTCATTCTTTTCGCTGCTTACCTGGACCGGACCTGTAATCCCCCACTTACGCCTGAGAATAAGCTTTTCTCTCTCTCGGCATGTCGTACGGGGAATCCATGCGGCAATAATCAATCTTCCCCCGGAGCTGCCGTGCTTGCATCCCCGCAATTCCGATCAGACCAGAACCCAGCATTATTTCTTGGAGCTAGAGACAGAGCAACAAAGCAGCTTGACCGCGTCGCAAATCTCGCGGGTGCTGTTCCCGGACGAAAAGACGAATAAACTTCGGCATCGGCCGACCTCCCCTCGGGACGGAGGACAAAACGAAAACAACCGCCACAATGCCGCTGACCGTCGCCCGCGTTGTCCTCGGCGCGTTGGCGTCGCTGCCACTGGCGACAGCGCTGCTGGCTACGCCTGATTCGCCGTGTGCGAAATATTGCGGCAATGTCCAAACCTCCACCGCCGTCGACGAGATGGCTTGCGACCATGGCGGTGTCACCCAGGGCGCAGAGGGTGTTGTGTGGGAGCAATGTATCTCGTGCCTGCTCGGCAGCACATTTGTCAATGGGGAGAAGTCGGACTTGCAGGCACTGCTTTGTATGTGATGCGCCAGTCCTTTCTTTGTTCATGATCACGGCACCTCCAGCTAACGTAATCGCCCACTTAGACAATCTGCGGTTCAACACGGGATATTGCTTGTTCGGAGGCGGAACGAATCCATGCGTCACAAGGTATGTTGCTTCGTTGATGCTTCTTCTTAGTAGCAGCCTCCACTGATAGCGCCCCCAGAACGGCTTGCGAGCCATACAAGGCTGCCGTTTCATACAAGAACATGAGCACCACCGACGCACCATTGGAGTATTGCAAGCACTGGGACACCGACATGTTCGCGAGCTGCACCCCCTGTCTCATGACCTTGGACGGCCCCGTCGACGGCCTATTCCAGAATAATTACGTGACGATTCTCGAAGCCGCATGCGAGCAGAACACCACCGCCGGAACCCTGGTCTCCGTCAACGGCGATCCTTTTGGGGTCTACAACATCTCCATCGTCCCACCCGAGCAGTTGTCGCTTCCAACCCCTGACTACGGCCCCGTCTCGCTCGGCGCTCGCGTGGGCATCGCCTTTGGCGGACTTGCGCTGATCCTCGCCCTCGCCGGAATCTTCATCGTCTGCAATGGTAAGCGGAAGCGGCGCGCTTTCCTGCGCGAGCTCGAGAAGCGCCACAGCGGGCAGGGCTGGCCGCATCCCAAAACCCGGTACGGCGGAGGTGGCGACGGCAGCGGTAGCGGACCCGACATGTTTGAGACGCCCGTCAGCCAGAAGCCCCTTCGTGGCGGGTGGGGGGACAACGGTAACAACGACAGTCCTGTGAGTGCGCACCCGGATAATGCGCAGTCATTCCCGCGCTACTTCAGCCCCTACTCGAGCAACTACACCAGCCCGGTGACTGGGCCCGGCGCTAGCCAGCACCAGTGGCCTGGAATCGGGATGCCGGCGCCTCAGCACCTCGATGAGATGCTCCAGGCTGAGCAACAAGCCCAGAACCAGGCCCAAGCCCAAGCAGAGTATGAAAACCAACAGCAGCAGCAGCAGCAGCAGTACGAGCAGCAGTACGAGCAACACCAATACCAACAACAGAAACAACAGTACGAACAACAACAACAATACTATCAACAACAGCAGCAGCAATATCACCAACCTCGACCCTCATCCCAATCCCAAACCCCCGTCCACAACTCCCCACCCCCAGCCTTCACCCAATGGCCCACAAGCGGCCAAGAAAAGATGCTGATGCAAACCCACACGCACCAAGAGAAGCGCCAGAACGAGCAAGCCATCGGCCTCGCGCTCGGAGGCGACGACGCCAGCCTGCGCTCCAAGGGTTCCAACCTGAACCTCAACGGCAACGGTTACCCGATCGAGGCCAAGGGCAAAGGCCGCGATGAGGCGTATGAGATGCATGAGGTTGAGAGTCCGTACGCCAATGGGAATGGGATTGGGATTGGGATTGGGCAGGCCAATGGGCAGCAGCAGCAGCAGCAGCAGTACGAATATGGGTATCAGATGCCGGCGCCGCCACAGCCGCCCGTGTTACATCATCCGGGGTATGGGAGACAGCAAAATGATGGGGGGTATGAGGAGTATGGGTATGGTGCTGGGCAAGCGCAGAGGTGATGTCGGCGTTTTCGCAGCGTTACTATAAGCTCTTCCCTACTGTTGTATTTTTCTGTGTTTTTTGGTCTTTTCTATCTGTTTATTTTGGTCGACTTTATTCGTTTCTTGCCCAATGTTGTAGTTCAATACCCGGAAAGATGGTCGGAGTTGGATATATCTGGAGGTCGATGCGCCGAGCTTAAGGACAGCCCGCTGGGCTGTAGATGGAGAACCGAGGCGGTGTTGTATAATGTACCTAGCTGCCGTGAGGGTAGAGAGGGGCAAGTGAATCTAGGCATTCCCCTGCCATTATCAACTCTATATCGATGCTTGCTTTCATCATTTGATGTATCCACAAAGTACACAAAAAGATGTTTGCTCAGAATGCCATGTCCAAGTCCTCGGTGCATCGAAGCCCAGACTCGTTATCACCACGTGAGGACGGCCCCACTTTGCCCGAACGCATCGCCAAACTCGGTTAGCGCCGCCTCGAGGACGTTTATCGCTTTCCCCACATCGGTCTCTCGTTCAAAAAAATTTCGGGGCCGACCACTGGACGAAGCTTCTCTGGTGTCAACAACCACGAGACGAAGGGTGGAAAATCGTACGGCGACTGTCCGACTACTCGATCCAGCCCGCCGGCCGACGCGTGAATCTACTCACGGTCCACCTATAACCTTTATCGTGCTGTTCTTAGACGACCAATTGACCGACTAGCCATTCCCGACCCAGCTGCGATTCCGCAATTCGAGCGGGGTGTCATTTTTTCCGCCTCTTTTTTTTTCACCCTTCCTCTTCCAAAATCCGACCTTCTTTCGATAGGACACCAACACACAGCTCCCATCCAATTTAACCCCCATATACCACAATGGCAGACTTGAAAGCGCTGGTCAAGCGACCCCGCGAAAATGACGACGAGGTCGAGGTCGAGTACGCCATCAAGCCGCAAAACACGGTGCCGACGCTCGACACGAGCACCTGGCCCCTGCTGCTCAAGAACTACGACAGGATGCTCGTCCGCTCCGGCCACTTCACCCCTATCCCCAACGGCTCGTCCCCTTACAAGCGCGACATCAAGTCCTATGTTTCCAGCGGTGTCATCAACCTCGACAAGCCCTCGAACCCTTCGTCGCACGAGGTCGTCGCTTGGCTTAAGCGCATGCTCCGGTATGGGATTCCTGGGTGGTAGACACAAAAAAATAAGTGAAAGATGACAGTGCTGACAAGTTGTTTGTGTAGTGTCGAAAAGACTGGACACTCGGGAACTCTCGACCCCAAGGTCACTGGCTGCTTGAGTACGTCGTTGATTTCCCCCTTTGCAATTTGCTTTGGCTGGAAGAGCTAGGTCCAGGGCTAACAACACCCACCAGTTGTCTGTATCGATCGCGCTACCCGCCTTGTCAAGGCCCAGCAAGGTGCTGGTAAGGAGTACGTTGCGGTCGTCCGCTTCCACGACACCATCCCCGGCGGCGAGCCGGCGTTCGCCAAGGCGCTCGAGACGCTTACCGGCGCGCTGTTCCAGCGCCCGCCGCTCATCTCGGCCGTCAAGCGCCAACTGCGCATCCGTACGATCCACGAGAGCAAGCTGATCGAGTTTGACAACGACCGCCACCTCGGCGTCTTCTGGGTCTCGTGCGAGGCCGGCACCTACATCCGTACCCTGTGCGTGCACCTGGGTCTGCTGCTCGGCGTGGGCGCCCACATGCAGGAGCTGCGCCGTGTGCGCTCCGGTGTCATGTCCGAGGACAACGGCTCGCTGGTGACGCTGCACGACGTGCTCGACGCCCAGTGGCAGTACGACAACGGCGGCGACGAGTCGTACCTGCGCAAGGTCATCCAGCCCCTCGAGACTTTGCTTTGCACCTACAAGCGCCTGGTCGTCAAGGACTCGGCCGTCAACGCCGTCTGCTACGGCGCCAAGCTGATGCTGCCGGGTCTTTTGCGCTACGACGCTGGCATCGACACCCACGAGGAGGTTGTCCTCATGACCACCAAGGGCGAGGCCATCGCCATTGGTATCGCCCAGATGAGCACCGTTGAGTACGTTTCCCCTTTATCCGACTATCTATTTCACCCCCGGTAATAAATAAAACATTCCGCTGACCACACACCCCCTACAGGATGTCGACCTGCGACCACGGCGTAGTCGCCAAGGTAAAGCGCTGCATCATGGAGCGCGACCTGTACCCGCGCCGGTGGGGTCTCGGCCCAGTGGCCATGGAGAAGAAGAAGCTCAAGGCGGACGGCAAGCTGGACAAGTTCGGGCGCACCAACGAGGCCACCCCGGCCAAGTGGACGCAGAGCTATACCGACTACGGTGCCGCGGCCGATGCTGCTGGCGCATCCACGTCTGCACCCGCTGCGGAGGCCCCGTCACCCGAGAAGAAGGCCGCCGCCGCTGCCGAGCCCGAGGAGAAGTCGGCAGACGAAGAAAACAAGAAGCGCAAGAAGCATGAGGGCGAGACGGCTGAGGAGAAGGCTGAGCGGAAGAAGCTGAAGAAGGAGAAGAAGGAGAAGAGGGAGAAGAAGAAGGCGAAGGTGGCTGAGGACAGTGATTGATTGAACAGACATGTTCAATCAATCATTAAACACACAAACAGTTGGGGTGGGTGGGCAGGAAAGCATGGGTGGGATGGTAGGGGGGGGGACATGAGCAAATGTTGTATGATCTGGATGTGTGCGCGCGTCTGTCTGGCTACCTTCGAGTCGTTTCTTCTTTTCTTGCCTACCCAAGGCAAGAAGAGTGTGAGAATGGAGAAGGGAAGGGAGAGAGAGTAGGCAGAAGTGGAGGTGGAGGCGGAGGCGGGGAGAGGCGTTCGTTCTTTTGCTGGCTCTGGCTGCGGCCGTTGTTGGTTGCATGGAAAAAATGATGGCGTTCTCCGGGTTGTCGTTTTTTTGTACTTTTTCTTGTTTGAATTGTTTCTTGTTTTTCTTATCTGGCTATTTCGGGGTGGACTCCGCGCTGTTAATATCCCCCTAGGAGATGAAGGTGGTGGTGTTTATCCATCTATTCGTCTCTCTTCTCGTTTCTTGCAGATGCTAGAAATGGATGAAGGTTGAAGCTGATATTTGAGCTGTCTTGCTGTTGTCATGTGTACTGAAAAGTAAGGCGAGAATGTGGGATGGGTGAAGGGAGTTTTACAAATCAGGCGACTGACTCCCTTCTACCCATCAGGTGAATTGCATTGGTAAGTAAGGTAAGTAAGTTGCCTGCGAATCGACGCTGATGGACGACGATCTTATGACCCTGATGAAAAGGTTGGTTGGTCTTAAGATCAACACCCGTGGGATGGGCGTTTTTGTTTTGATCGATGCTAGTTCATGCGTCCCGCTCTCGGGTCATGCGGCCTCGGGTGACCGACATAGGTAGGTATGGGAAGGATGCATCGACATGCATGCATGAGCATTAGGGCCAATTAAGGGGTATTTGTGTGTTGTTTCGTTTCCCCTTTTTTACCCGCCTTATAATATCGGCATCCACTGACTATAAATATTATAAAGTGAGTTTCAAGCTCAATCCCAATACCTGTTTCAATCTTCAAATTTTCAATTTTTTGATTGATTAACCAACCTTCAGTCCAGCCTTAGTTTCAGAACACCCCATCTCCACACCTTATCCGTCAGCAACGTGAGATGCACGCTCGGCCCCATGAATCAGATGAACTCAACTGCATGTCATGTACAGGCGGCCCGCACTAAACGGTCCCGGCTCTCTACAGCAGCTTGACAGCTGGTGACCAGGTGGGTTCAAGGGATTCTGCAGGGTTCTAGAACTCTTTCCCATCGACCCATCACCGTCCATGGCACGGGTGACTCCGTCGTGGTAAGTTCTATTGTTTATAACGGCGGTCATGGCGTGGCCGTGGAGGTGAAAAACATGTACCTAGCAGACGGACCGCCAGCTGGTGGACTAGCTAATTAATTACCTTAAGCTTTGACTTTTAACACCATACAATTCACAATTTATCTCCTTTATCCTTCAGCGGCGGGGGTCGATATTCCCTTATCAACAACCACGGAGGGCATCTCCGAAGGAATCCATACACACACCCAATACAGTACTCCGCATCCCTTCCCAATTTTCTGTCGTTCCTCTCAGCTTGTCTCAGCTTGAGAGGGGCCTCGCCCGCGGCCCTCAATGATTGACGATCCCTCCCTCCGATGTCCCTTGCAATGCCTCTTTTCTGCATTCTATCCTCCGACTGTCGCTAGACCAGGACGCAATGTCCAGTCCCCTCGCTCTCCCGCCGTCTCGTCGTTCGACGACGAACCCGATAGCCTCGCGCTACGCCACCGCCCAGCCATCCAAGAAGAAGAAGAAGAAGAAGAAGGCGAAGACGAAAAAGAATAACAAGGAGAAGAAGACTCGTCGTAGCTATGGTCTTACTGCTGCTTCTCCTCCTCCTCCTCCTCCTCCTCCTCCCACAAAACCCAGCAGTGGTGGTAGTAGCTGCGGCCAAGACGCCGATGCTACCGTTCAATTTCCCCGATCCGTGTATCATACAAGACCAGCCGTCAGGGACGTGGTATGCGTTTGCGACGGGCTGGTGGCCGCCGACGACGAATGGGAGCAGCACCAGCACCAGCAGTGGGAGCGACAGTGAGAATGGGAGTGGAAGCGGAAGCGGAAGTGGAAGTGGGAGTGGAAACAACGGGGGTACGTCGTCGGGGCCAACATTCCGGAATGTGCAGGTTGCTTCAGCGCCGTCGCCGCAGGGCCCGTGGACATATCTACCGCATGCGGACCCGTTGCCGGACCCGGGGAACTGGACGTCAGGGCCGGGGTCGCAGACGTGGGCGCCGTCGGTGATCAGGATCGGGGGGAGCAGTGGGAGTGGGAGTGGGAGTGGCAACAGCAGCAACAGTACAAACTCAACTACCTCTTCATCATCATCGTCGACATCCTCACCCATCTACATCATGTACTACGCCGCCCAGCTCGCACCCGACCGCACAAACACCACCACCAACACCACATCCCCTTCCACTTCCACTTCCCCCTCGTCAACCGACCCATCCTCCTCAACCACCGACACCAATAACACCACCAACCCCGCCCTATACCACTGCATCGGCACCGCCACCTCCTCCACCTCCTCCATCCTCGGCCCTTACACCCCCTCCCCCAACGGCCCGCTCATCTGCCCCCTCCCAGCCGGCGGCGCCATCGACCCAGCAGGTTTCACCGACCCCCGCACAGGTCGACAATACATACTCTACAAAGTCGACGGTAACGCGCTGGGGAACGGGGGGGAGTGCAATAATGGCGTGGAACCGGTTCGGGGGACGCCGATTGTGTTGCAGGAGGTGGAGGTTGTTTTGGGGTTGGGGGGGGTTAGTAGTAGTACGGGGGGGACTGGAGGGGGTATAACAGCGGGAGGGGGAAATAGTAATAATGGTGGTGGGGGGTTACTACCGGGGGTGAGGCTGGTGGGAGATGGGGTCGAGGTGTTGAATCGGTTGGGAGAGGTGGATGGGCCTTTGGTGGAGGCTCCCGAGTTGGTGTATTTCCCGCCGAGGAAGGGGAATCAAACTGCTAGCAGTAGTAGTAGTACGAGTAGTAGTGGTGGTGATGCGACGACGGTAACGACGACAGCAACGACGGTAACGACGACAGCAACGACGGCAACGACAACAACAACGTCAACAGCGAGTGGCCAGGGTACCAACGGCGACACCGGCCCCCAAGGCAAATACATACTCTTCTACAGCAACCACTGCTGGGACGGCCCCGGGTACAGCGTCAACTACGCCGTGGCCGACGGCAACAACATCACGGGGCCGTATGTTCGCGGGGGACCGGCCAACAACGGCTCGCTGATCCGAACGGGCGACGCGTTCAACGTCACGGCGCCCGGGGGTGCGGCCAGCGTGAATGGGGCTGACTGGCTGGTGTTTCATGGCGATTGTCCGCAGGGCCGGTGTCTGTTTGAGGCGGGCATGACGTGGACGGGAAGTGAGTTGGTTGTGTATTAGAATGGTATGTTGTGTATACCCCTGTCTGTTGAGTCTATAGAGATGGAATTGTAAATGGTCGGGCATTGTGTGATATCATGATGCGTTTCTCTGATCGTTTCTTGTTGGGTATGTATGTACCTCACAAAACGCTGTTGTGTTTCGAATCGGTTGGTGTCACTTGTTCTGCGAGGCTCGTGGTGGATCGCTTGTCAGAAAACGATATCTGATATCCTATCCTTGGAGCCTTAGACCAGTACGTCCAACTGTTTGTCGAGACTGCATCTCCTCGAGCGCCGGCCGTCAACAAACCACCAAGTCATCAAAATACATCGCAGATGGACCAAAAGCTGTCCTTGCCGCCCCGAAAACATTCGCAACGGCAAAATCCTCGTTTGTCGCCCCGATACTCCCACCGAGCGACGAACACATTTACCGTGAGCCAGCGCGTGATGGCTTGGCGCCCTGACGGGCGGGTGCTCGGTGATGCGACGGTGACCTGCAGTCTCTTGCAGAAGATGATGGGGGGGAAAAGCCAATGGGAGACAGCCGCGGCGATGGTGTTGGCCAAGAACGATGGGGCTAGCGGTGGGGTCCAGATCGCCCTACCCCAACTAGGACTAGCGCATCTTTGGCGGGTCCTCGAAGCGCCGGCCAAGCCCTGCCCCCACATGCCCCACAAACTCTTATCCCACCATCGACCAGTTAAATCATCCATCTCGAGCTCCAGTTTCTCTCTGCTGTGTTTGAGTCGCCAGGAAACAACAGAAACCAGAGGGAACGGAGAGCAAGGTGAAAGAGCCATCGAGACGCCGTGGCCGGCCGAGACGCAACCGGGCAGCTGGATCCCCTCGTGGGCCGCCAACTTGGCCGGCCCAACCGTTGTCGACCTGCATGTCGTCTTGTAGCTTCTGCTTCTTTTTTTGATATCCGTTCATGTTTCAGTGGTTCACACTGGCCCGTTTGCAGCCCTACGGCCCGGACTCAACATAGCGCAGCACTGCCTCGCCCAGATGCTGCAGTCGAGCGAGCTAGACAAGAGCCACACAGAGCTCGATAGACCCCGAGGATCGACATCCGACGCTGCGAGTCGGGGTCCAAAATAAGCGCGCAACGAACCCAGCTTCGTCATGTGTACGAGATTCGACAAGGCCAAACGAGCAGATTCAACTTGAAGGAACAAGCATCCTAGCACAACAATCAGCCAATCACCTCCGTCGTTGCACCAAACGCCTCGCCAGGAACAGCATGTCCTTCAAGGAACCATCGGCCAGCCGCAGGGCTGGTTACCGCTATCGACATGTCACACACCCCGATCTGGCCTAGGAAACCCACGGAAAGGAACCTTGGATCGGTGCCGTACCTGAGCAGTTTCTCTCACACGCCTTCGCCGCAGCGTCCATACTCCGTAGTCGACCCCCACTTGCCGGATTCTGCTCTGGCCCTTTTGCTGGCTTGTCCAATGTCCTCTCGTTCGCTCCTCTGGCGTTGCATGCAGCTCGTCACATCCGCCCCATCCACCCTTCCACCCTTCCATCCCCACAGCAGCACATCCGCGGTGGTCGAGCTCTCATCCCTGGGGCGGCACAGGCGTGTGTGCGCGCGAACGGGAAGCTCATGTTGTGCAACGAAATAGCTAGCTATTTGAAACAGAGCTCTGCCGCCCCTCCCTCGGCTTCTTACTTCTCGTCTGATACGATTATGATGATGGTGGCTCTTGTTTAGTTTGCCGTCTCCTTCTCTTGCGTTTTCTCCTAGTTACTTGTCGTCTTGGCTGCTTCGGCGTTTGAGCTTCGGTTTTCACTTTCGTTGATACCTGATACCCACTTCCCACAAAGTAAACGCCAGATCTTCTTATTCACGAGAAGAAGCTTCTTTATCATATCCAATTGCCCAGCTGGACCTGGGCTTGTTTTTATTTCTTCCCTCCACGCCTGAGGCCCTAGGCATATCGATATCGATATCGACAGACAAGATGGCGAAGCTAGCCACTTACACACTCGTTGCCGCTCTCCTGGCGCCACGCCTCACATCCGCCCTCCAAGTAACACCAAACTCACCATGCGCTTCGGCCTGCGCGAGGTCGCCCACACAAAACCCAGCAGACTCCGAGGCCTCCTACACCCAGAACTCGGACATCGTCTGCAGCGATGCCGACTACGCCAGGCCGGCCGGGGTCAAGTTCCAGGAGTGCATGACCTGTCTGCAGACGAGCACCTATTCCCAGGGGGATGAGAGCGATGTCATGTGGTTTCTCTGTACGCTCCCTGGCATATCTATATCCCTTAGTCCGTGATGATGTCGTGACTGACCTCCAAATAGACAACATGAGGTACACGGCTGCCTACTGCATCTTTGGCTACCCCAACGCCACCGATGTCGACCAGACCCCATGCATGACCAGCACAGCTTGCGGGCATCTTCAAGCTGCTGTCGAGCATGGTGTGCCGGATCCCAAGGGCACCACTGCTTACTCGTATTGCATGGCCGGGAAAGGCGAAGCAGCGAACACTGCTAGTTATGACGGCTGCATTCCTTGCATCTCTGCCGAGAGAACGACCAACTACCTGGCTAATTGTAAGTGCGAACAAAAAGGGTGACCCGGTATGGCGACGCGACCTGTTCTAACCATGTCTAGACTTCGTGGCCCTAGAAGCTGGCTGCCAGCAACAACCCGCCCCTGGTGTACTCCTAGGTCTGAACGCCACCGTCTTCTCCAAGACGACGATCGGCATCGTGGACCCCGCGACAATCGGCCAAGACGACGAGCAACAAGGTCTTGGGACCGCGGCCATCGCCGGCGTGGTAGTGGCTGTCGTCGTCCTGCTACTTATCATCACCGCCACGACCACCATCTGCCTACGCAAGCGCCGCAACCGCATCCTCCGCGCCGGCGCCCACGCCAGCTTCTTCTCCCGCTTCAGCCACGTCGCCCACCACCGCCGCTCGTCCATGGCCTCCTTCCAATGCCAAACCCACATGGTCTCCCCGCGTTTTTGGCCCGGCGCCCACGACGGTTCCACTCCGGTCGACGACGATAATTACTACCACTACCTTTACCAGCAACAACAACTGCAGCAACAACAACAACAACTCACCCCCGACTACACCACCACCCCAGACCGCTCCTCCATCTGGAAACCCCCCTACGAACACCCCGACGACATCGCCGCGACCGCAACAGAGACCCACACACCACCACCACCAGAAACCACAATCGACGACTTCTCCTCTCAAAAACCCGCACCCTTACACATCACCACCACCGTCCCGCCCACCTTCCCACCTCAAGCCCATCACAACCAGTACTCCTCTCCATCCACTACCGCCACAGCCGCCGCAGACCCGATACCCGCTACACCAGTAGTACACTACGCACACTCCCCCGCTGACTTTCGCTCGCCGATGTCTGCTGAGTCTGTCCGGAGTACTGCGGCTTTGCTGCCTGCGGGTTACCAGCACGGATATGGACATGCCCACCAGACGGGCGGCGGGTGGCCGTTATCACCTGACGAGGAACAGCAGCAGCAGCAGATGGCATCCCATACACCCACTACTACCATTACTACTCCGGTAGAACAGCCAACCCGCAAACCAGGCGAGCGACACATCATCAAACTCAACGGGCCGGGTATCACCACCACGTCCACCACATCCTCGGCTAACAACAGCGGAGTGACTGTTTCCTTCCCCCCGCCGCCTACAGCTGCTGTATCATCGCGGAAGGCGTCACGGGGGAATGGTGGGGGGTTGTTGTCGTTGGTGAGTGGTACAAGGTTTGGTGGGGGAAATAATAATAATAATCATAATAACAATGGTGGTGGAAGTGGGACGGGGAGTCCGGTAGAGAGTTGGGAGATTCAGACTGCGTTTGCTGCGCCGCCTAGGAGGTGATAGTCCTTCATTCCTTTTTCTTTTCATTGTTTCTTCTTCTTTCTGTTTTTCCCTCTTCTTCCTTTTTTCTTTCTTTTTTTCGGTTTTTTTACACATCTTCTTTTCTTTCGGTTTCCTTTGTCTCTTGCTTTTTGGGGTGGGGAAAGGGGGCGTTACCATGGCATCTCTCGGTTGGTGGGTGGGTGTGTCGGGGTCGGTTGGTGTTGAAAAGGGAGACGGACGGACGGACGGTGTGTAATGAGATGATGTGGAAGATGACGACGATGGATACCCAGCTGGCGAGCAAGAGTCGCTACTCGAGTGTGTTTTTTTCTTTGTTTATTTGTTTGGGATAGTGTGAGTGTAGGATACAAGATTGGTTGGGAAGGTTACCAAGAGACTACTGTGTGTGGTGTGGCATGGTGTATTGGCGGATGGCTGGGTCTAGGCCTTAGGCATTGTGTGGTAGGGGTACTTACAGGAATACAATTACGATGCACAATCAATAGCGCTTGTTCTTGGGTATACTCACTGTCTTGAGGTCCTGTGACAGTTTGGACAATACGTGAGGCCAGCCGTTGGGACTGTATGTCTGCGTGTAACAGAATCGAAGTGATAATAAAACAATACTTGAATGTGCCCCTGTCTCAAACCAAATTACAACTCCCCTCTAGATTGCTATCATACTTCTCAACAACCTAACACCCCCTTACAATTCTCCGATTCCTCACTCTCTCATACACTCACATGTAACTAGGACACCAATACCTCCCACACATAACAATACACAACCCCAACTTCCCATTCTTACCTAAGCACATCCCGTATAATAAACCGGCTCCGGTCTCGAGTTGCCGAGCTGCTTGTTCTGCGAGACCTTTTCGAATCCGAACCAGGCGTCTGTACCGTTGGGCGTACTGTTTGTTCAATGTTAGAGGAGTCAACCCATATGTTTTTTGGAGGAGGGTATTCAACGGAAGGTCAAGGGACAATCAACAGAAGAAAAGAAAAGAAAGAAAAACGCACTAGCAAACCGTCATAACCGCACTATCCGCATCCTGATTATACCCCAACGACGCCTCAAACCCAACCCCCTCCTCAATCCCATTTCCCGTCCTCCTCCCACTCACTTTCCCACTCTCACCAGAACCACCAAACCGACTCCCCCCCCCACTAATCCTCCCCAACAGACTCCCCCCATTCGTACCGCAGGGCACACCGTAAAAACTGCCGATACGGTCGGCGCTGTTGCCGCTGGGAGCGGCGGGCTGGATCAGGGGCACGGTGAGCGAGCAGGAGACGGTGGTTTGGGTGCTGGGGTCGGTGTTGGAGGAGGCGGCGTTGAGAAGGAGGGAGAAGGTCCAGGTTGTTGTGTTTGTTGATTCGGAGGCTTTTTTTTGGCCCAGTGTGTCAGCGTAAGCGTGGGTGGATATCTAAAGTTAGGGGATAAGGAGAGAAAATAAGATCATACTCCGCGTAAGGTCCTGGACCTGCCATTCTAGCCTGTCGGCTGCGGGCTCGGCCTTGTGATGCGGAGAGTGGTTCCGTTTCTCGAGGAGGTCGTGCATACGTCTTTCTAGGCCGGTAACGGTAAGCTGGTTTTTGTTGTTGGTTTCTTCTTTTTCTTTTTCTGCTGTTACGTGATGGGTGCGGCCGGGGAAGTGGAAGGCCCTGGCTGTGGCCAGGGTGAGAAGGAGTAAGACGAGAGCACGCATGGTGGGGGGTGAGTGTAGATGGTAGGATGAGTAGTTTGGTCTTGATAAGGGTTGTGGTTGAGAACTATGTTGAGAAAGGAGTAGGACTTCTAGAAGCAATCGCTGCTGCTGCTGCTGCTGCTTCCTGAGACATGGACGAGACAAAGCATTATATGCCCAAGCAAGATGACGATGTTTTTCTCGACCGTTGGCTTTGTTTTGGGCTAGAGGTGGTATCAACAGTGTCTCGGAAGCCTCCCTCATCGTACTTCTCGTCGATCGGTGGAACGTCGTGTTGAGTGGACACAGAATAGGGGCAAACTCGATCCTGTAGGCAGCTTTTGGCGATGGGAACGGATATCGTCACATGGCAACAGAGTAAAGGGGCAAGATAAACCGGCCCGACACGGGAAACTACCTAGGAATTCACCCTCCGAGGCCGGATAGCTGCTTTGACGTGATCGTATTTTCCGTTTCCCTTTGTAACCCAAACAAAGCTTAGCAAAGCACTCGACATGTTTACGCTTGATACCCCTGAAACAGAACGGGACTGACGATCACGTCTGTGATACTACGGGCTAATAAGCTTAATTCTGCCCTGGCTTTCTTCTTCTATAAGGACGGCTAGCGACTACTCCAGGCAATCTTTCCCGGATGAAACTCACCCCGAAGCTGTGGCGACAGGTCAACGCGTGATATCTGTCCAGAACACAACAATCTCGGCAGCCTTTGTTCGAGGACATCCGTCCGACCGTGCCCCCAACTTCATGTTCGCGATCCACCTGATGACATATCCACCACACTCGAGCCCTCGAGTCCTCGAGTCCTCGAGTCCGCGGTGTCCTCAGTAACTCCACCAGATGATGATACACTAGATGATAGTCGAGCATGTTGCAGCCGCGGCATCGAGGTTGGTGCCCCTGAGCCGAGGCAACGTAGCGGTGGGCGCATGGTACTTTTCCAACCCCCGCCCCTGAGTCTGTCAGCTGTGCCGATGTCGACAGTATCCGGATATCCTTGATCAAGGCACGCCATCTCGAGTTGCTTGCTCGAGTATGGGGCCTGCGGAATACTCCATCACGGCCCGGAATACTCAGCTCAACGACTCAGCTCAGCGACATACATGATGTGTCCGCCTGAAGCACTTTCAAAAATAGCCTCTGCCGCCAGCAAGCAAGAAGCGTGACGCCCAGCAGATGATCTATCCAGACCTTCACTGCAGGTGTAAAAAAAACCGACATCTCCAGCCCCTTAAAGATACCCGCGCGCTTTACTCTGTGTATGTGTCTGCTACTCAGTTTCTCGCCCGCAGTAACAAAAGCTCTAACCGCCCCGCAAGGCAGATCCAAAGTTTGTTTGCTACTTCCTGCAACCCAGCAACCGCTCTGAAACATACTAACGATGAATCAGATATCTCCACGATCCGCCCTACGATCAACTTTGAAGAGAGCTGCAAGGTGCCCCCCTTTTCACACCTCACAGCTCCCCCGCTCGCAAGGTTAGGCCCAACCCAGCGGTGTGGTTGTGGCGATCTAACATGAAACATATGCAGTCGGTCGAAAATAACAGGCTGCAGCTAACAAGCAGTGGGCGCTGCGCGCTGTGCTGCAAGTCATCGAGTCACCCGAGCAAGCACGATGGGTGGTGGTGTGGTGGGTAGTACCAGGCTGGTGTGCGAAGATAGCATGCAAGCACATACATACATACACACGCACGCACACATGCACCAAGGCAAGGCAACTGGACACTGTAACAGGGCACTGCCTCAGCCCAACCACACAGCTGCTGCGGGCACACATACACTTGCACACCACACCGTACACAATAGCAACTGTGTAAGAGGTAGTGTGAGAGAGTAAATGTACACTAGATGCAGATCGTTGTTGGCGTCGGGCGAAACGACGGCTCGATATCGAGTGACCGGACTGCTGGGGAAAGCAAGGCGTCTCGCCCATCTTCCCTCTCCTGTCTATCTCGCCAGTCTCCTTGCCAACATCCCTGACGACAAGTTGGTGTGTTCAACCGCTCTGTGGTACGAAACTTGCCCACTGAGCCGAAGCCCACCGGCTGGATACAGCAGTGCAGGACACAGTGTCCTGCTGTGTATGTACGCTCTGCATTTGCCCCACCTCCCTTGTGCATCGGGAGTGCAGAAGTACACAGTAGAGGAGATACGGCCGAACAAGGCCACTTGGCTTCGTCTACATTACACAGCACACAGTCGTGTAAGGGAGAGGGAGAAAGAAACCGAGATGACGAAGACAGACTTGCCGAGAACGGTCGACAACGGGCCAACTTTCCCGAGCCGGTCCCAAAGGGGCAAGATATCGCCCAAGGCGACACGAGGTAGTCGTGTAAAGGACGGGGAGCCTTCTCTTTCATCGGATTCGCAATCCCGAATTCAAGCAACGGCACAGCGCCCAGCGCCCTTGTTGAGACGAACCGACCCCTCGGCAGAAGCTTGATCCAGAAGCGGCCGACACAGTGTGCTTGGCTTGCTTGCTCGCTCCGAACAGGCTTTTGGCCTTCTTCCCTCTCTCTCTTTCAGAACTCCATCCCATGATTGGTGGGAGACACGGGAAGGGCGATCCCGACAGAACGGTTCTTAGCGCCGGGCGACACCCTCCCTCCTGCACAGTTTTGCAGCGAGTGGGAATGATTTGTCTGTTTCCTTGCCTCCTTGCCCAGCGATCCACACCCACAAACCCTTTTCCTCGCCGGTCAGAGATGAGGAGGAGGGTGCAACGCCACATTGGGCAGTTCGAATAACCCACACCACACCGAGCAGCGCATCGACAACAAGGAAAAGGCGACGAGTGGTTGCATTGCTAGGCGATCGGTGGTTGCTTATCGGGCGGGCCGTTGTTTCTAGTGCGAGGAGCACTGCTTCGAGACGGCCGCTACTGCGGGGTGGGAGATGACCGTTGTGGTTGATGGATTCGTTGATGGGAAAAACAGATCGATTCCAGGGGATTCATGTGGCTTGTGCATGGCAACTTACGAGTCTTAACTCAGGCCCTCGTTTTCATGATCAGACTCAGCTCAGCTGGCTACCGATAAAAAGCTTGTGATGATGAAGCCAACTCATGCTGCTCAGCTTGCTATGAAAACCTCACAAGCTGATGACGATCCAAAGCAAGACAGCGGCGGAGGCGGAAGCGGAAGAGAGAGACAGAGAGAAGTCCAGATGAGCCAGGCGACGCGAAGGAGGGGCGCGGCCGCTGCACTTCTCCCTATCACATCTCGGCTGTGTTTCCAGAGGACCCCAACGACGCGGCAGTTATTGGGCAACACAAGACCACAAGCCAAAAAGGTAGCACAACGGTGACAGCCCGACGGGGGAAGGTGTGGAAGCTTGTTTGCCCATGCTTGGTCCGAGCAACAAAAGCCAAGCCCCCCGATTGGTCTGAACACTCTGAGGGAACAGCTCCAAGGTGGATCGGCTTGCCGATCGGCCAAGGCCTCGCTTGTTCGGCCAGTCAGGCGTCGCTGTGGTGAGGTTTCCTGGCCCCCGCCTCCCGGCACCTTCCGCTGGGGGGCCTTGCTCGCGCAGCAGGCGTTTACGCGCTGAGAGAAACGAAACAGCGGCGCGCTGCCATTGGCTGGTGGGGACTCACTTTTGTCATTTTGTCGACTCCGTCTTACCCACCACCCACCGAAGGCACCTTCCCCCAGCAAGCCCAGCGAATTCAATCCTCGATTTTTCTGCCCCCATCCGCGAGGAAGGAAGCTCCGCGGTGCTTTGGGGGGACTGGAGCTGGGGAGGAGGAAGGCCTACGGCCTACACTACTATGTAGGTGAAAACCCAAAGCTTAAAGCCCCACGGTCGCGTTTGTCGCTTCAGCATGATTGGCCAGAAGCTTCCGCCCCCCCCCCGCGATGCTCCCTTGCGCAAAACAACCGCAAAAGGCAGGCAGGGCCTGGCAGGCCCCTCCCCGACGACCCTCGGCCGTGGCCAAGGCTGGGGCTGCAGTGAGCCCAGTGCGACGGCAGCTTTTCCATTCTCTGTGCAAGGCACGACAGCCGCAGCTGGGATCCATTTCATTCCCAGTGGGAAAGAGAAGGGGAAAAGAGGCGCCCGGGAAATCGAGGAATGCGAGCCTAGGGTGGACATGGGAGTATGAGAGCGTGGTAAAGTTGTAATTCGGGGGAGATTGAGGTGCATGAACAGAACGGGCTTCTGCAGCACGATGGATGCGTGGATGCCTCTTTTTGTCCTGGTTGGCGTCTAACTGACATGGGAGGTTCTCATCTTACTTCACTCTACACTATCCGTATCCATCCTTCGTCTGTCTTTTTTCTTTTCTTTCCCGTTGTTTCTTCCACGCGCCCGGGATTTATGACCCCTCTTGACGACTTCGCCGGTCTTTTCCCCCATCTGGAGTCCATGACTGTGGGTTGCGTGCTGAGTGCTCGCGGAGCATACAGTGCAACGGGGTCCGCACCCGGTGGCAACCAGACAGAACCAACTGCATACACACATCGGCAGCTAAGCCTTGCCTGGCCGAGTTGCTTTACCCATCTTGCTCTTCTGTCTGTCTGTCCGCTAGTTCTGTCTTGTCTTATTTGACTCAGTGTGCCCGGCCCCATCCTTTTTATTTTTGTCTTTTTTAATTTTCCATGGTTGCTATTTCGGATTTTCTCGGCACCCAACTGTGGTGTTTGCCAAGGTCTAAGTCGACGACAGCGACGACGACGACAACAACGGCAACAACCATATCCGAGTGAGACTGCGCTCGGGTAGCAAAAAGAAAGATCCGGTTCACACTCTCTCGGACAACCGTCAACGGTTGACGGCCAACGGTTTGCGACAGTGACTGGGAAGTCCCGTGCGTGCTCCCACTTGGGGGTCACCAAGAAACGAAACGACAAGAAAAGAAAAGAAAATGGCGTCCGTCAGGTTACTCGTCCTTCCACGGGGCGGGGATGCGAGTCACAGCGACAGCAGCGAGGGTGCAAGTACTCTCACAACCGGAGCTATTGCCGGCATCGCATGCGGCGCGGGCGCACTCTTCCTAGGCGCGGCGGGTCTCTTCATCATCTACTGGCGACGACAACGACGATACGACCGGGAGGATGACTCGGATTGCGATAGCTTCGATGGCGAGCGTCGCGGTGACATGGTGCCTGCGGTCACGTACACCATGGACTACAAGATGGACGGTCCACAACCAGAAGGGGCCGGCGACCACGCGTCCTCATACGCCTACTCACCCGAAAAGGTCCTGTCGCCCATGAGCACCTCTGACACGGCCAGCGCGATGCCGACTCACCCCGCCTACATCCCGCGGGTTCTAGTCCGGGGTTCATCCACACCAAGTAACCGCTCCGCCAGGACGACATCACCACCACCTTTCCCAACACCACCATTCCCATCAGGGGATCTCTATCCCAAGACCCAGCCGGACGACACCATCATCCAGGCTTACCTTGCTGCGGCACAGGCCGGGACCCCTCCCCCCCATGTCCGGCAGCAGCTACAGCTCCATCAACAGCAACAACAACAACACTACCGCAGCGAGTCCGAGTCGTCCTCCTCCGGTCTCCCAATCCAACATCCAGCCCAATTCCCTCCCATATCTGCCGCGTCCACACCACCACCACTCCCACCACAACCCCATTCCGCTTCCTCCACTGACGCTAGTCAACACCCCCTCCATCCCGACCACCAAACCCGGGCCACCAGCGGGCCCCAACTCCCCTCCTTCCCATACCCATACCCACAACACCTCCTCCAACAACAAGAACCCATCGCCGCCGGCCCACCGTCCCAACCTAACCGCAAACCCCGCGCTTACCCCCCTCCACCCCTTAATCTCGCCGACCCATCCTCCACTACTACTAGTACCGGCCCCATCGGCCCAACCCGCAGCAAATCCGAAAAACCCCTCCACGGCAAACTCGGCACCACCATCTCCGGACCCCTCGCCTTCCCCCATCTCGTCCCCGGTACCCTCCCAACGACAAATACCACTCCATCCGGCTGGTCCCGCGAAGAGGGCTCCGGCGGTATCAGCCACGATTCCTCCCACGGCGACGCAGGCGCGGATGACTCCACGGCCGAAGGCCAGCACCAACAAAAACGGTCGTTCCGCAGTCGGGCGTGGGGATTTGCCAGTGGTGGTGGGAGTGGAGGAGATGGGAGTGGTGGAGGGAAGGGGGATGACAATGGGAAAGGGAAGGAGAAGAAGCATAGGCGGAAACGGTCGAATCGGAATAGTGGTGGTGGAGGAGGGGGAGGAGGAGGGTATGCGGGGAATAGGCATTATGCGGAGATTGAGATTGGACGGGAGAGTGATCTTTGGTGATTTTTATTTTTTAAACTTTATTCCCATTTTGTTTGTCCCATTTTTGGAGAGGATACTACTTCTCTTGGTCCTGTTTCTCACTCTCTCTCTTCTCGCTGCCGCTTGTATGAGATGTACTGTACACACCAACAGACAAACACAACACTCCTTTTGGGTTTCTTGGGATTTGGATTCGCGTGGGTTTATTATACCAAGGCTACACGAGATACCGGCGTTTCCTGTTTATGGTTTATATTTTGTCTTTGGTTTTTCGTGGGGGTTAGGGGAATATATACCTCGGTGACCACTTGGGCTCCTACTATTCGTATGTACTCCCGGGCTTGTCATGTTATATCAATTACCCGGATGGGCTTCAACGGCTGTAAGCTGGCTTCTGCTTTGGGGTCCGAGGAGGGGGGCTACATGCATGGTAGGCCGAGGAGTTGACGTTGAAGGATGAATGATTCCAGGTCCGAGATATGGGGACACATAAACAGACCACAGAGGGTGTAGGCTAGTGGGTACTACCTGTGTAGAAATAACGTACTCGGACAGCAGTAGCAACGCGAAACAGTGTGCGAATACACAGCAATATCTTGGTATACATTCTAAAATTCGTACTGTTGGTCCGCACACATAAGTAGTGTAAATTGTCTAGTTCCCCCCCAGACGCTGCCCAGACCCCCTTGTCTTCCACGAGTCGGGCAACACCGACCCGGTCGACGCCCCCGAACTGTCTCCCGCCGCCGATCCGCCACTCACCCCGTGGGCGCCGCGCGGCTGGTGGGCGGCCGTGCCGTACTCCCGCTGTACCATCCGAGGTGTCTTGACCAACCACGAAACAAACCGCGGTGGCGTCATGATGTTCCAGCCGCCGCCAAACTCGGGCCAGAGGCGCGAGAGGAAGTCGTGCAGGTGCGCCGACAACAGGCCCGTGAGCTGGAGGGGAATCGCGGACGGGTCTAGGAGTAGTGACAATGCTAGCATGCACAGCGGGATGCTCTGCGCCGGCACGGTGAACACGATGAAGCCGGACTGGATGCCACGCTGATCCTGCGTTGCGGTGTACGCCAAGGCCATGATGAGGCCGCCAAGGAAGAATCCCCCGCCGAGGAATGCGCGGTTGAGGAACTGTGTTACTGTTGTTAGCTTCCCTTGTTTACGGGCGGCTTTTACAGTGTCTTCTGCGGAACGCCGGCGGAGATTCGATGGGAGAAGGACAAAAGGCCGAGAATCTATTTTCGCCCCCAGCAGAATCACAAGAGGAACCAGGTTGTTGAAATGTAGGGAGCAAAAAAACCACCCGAGCGAACGGAGAGCGTCGCGCGAGTCATCCATTAGACATCCCACCATCCCGTACCCCGACCGACCCTTTTATTATGCGAATGATGGGCCGACCGAAATACGGGGGTGATCTTCCTCGTTTCCAGGAACCGCAATGGTTGGGTGAAAGAGCACCATGCGGGCAGATATACGAGGGGTGTGTGTGTGTGAGTGTTGAAAAAGAGAAAAGAGAAACACAGAAAAGTGAGATGAACCTACAATGATCATGCCCCCAACGGTCATCAAATACCAGACCAAGTCTTCCTTTCGGGAGAACTTGGGGTTCGCCGTCTCTAGCTGCTTCAAATACTGGTATGCTGTTCTCCAAGTCAGACAACACTAGTCGTCAGAGAATTGTAGAAGTGGACTGCCCATACTGAAGTAGGGGTCCAAGATGATGCCGAGCTTTGGACCACTGAGGAAGAAGTTCGTTGCGAACCGCCATATCTCAGGTGGGAAGCGCAAGAGCCGATCCTCACCAAAGTACAGCCACCCATACGACACGAAACCGAAGTGCGCTGCGATTGACGTGACGACGATCAAGGTCGCCAAATTGCGGGCCATTGCTGGCGCCGCCCAGTAGGCGTCCATGACCTCCGACGGCATGGTCGTTGTGTCTGTGTGCGAGTGGGTTGTGGTGAGAGGGAGAGAGAAGAAAAAAGAAAAGTGGCAAGATACGAGGGGTTGTGCGCAAGAATTTTCGGTTCGGATTTTGGTGCCTCGATGTTTCGCGAGAAGCTCCCACGATCAGAACGCGAAAGTTAACAAGTCATGGCACGAAGATGGGGTTTGGGAAATGCAATAACCTAGGCAACAACCAGGCCAAGCAAGTCAGACGCGGCTCCCACGAGACACCGTTGGTGATTCGTGTTCTTTTGGAGCTGCGGAATTGAAAACAGGAAGAAATTTGCAGCAAACGGAAACGATGATTTTATGGAGGCAGGCACGGTGGAGCACCAAACGGGCCCGAGCCACCCGGCGGTTCGGCGCTGAAGTTCCGGTGAGCCAAGACATGGGAGCCCAAGCACTAAAAAAGCACCTCAGGCGGGTCAGACTCTGTTATTCCTGAGAAACATTGCATGTATGACACAGAGCCTCAAGACAACCCGAGAATTTCACGGTTGACTTTCCTCTTTCAATAAGTGCAAAAATCATGATGGAATAATTAGAATCAAATCGAAAAGTTTATTGCCCCTGTCTGCTCCCCCACATCCCCGTTGCGGTAGGAGAGATTCATCAGTAAATGGCCACGAAAACCCTTTGGACAACCCTTATTTAGGTCCTGTACTTCGTACCTTACTGGACTTTGTTCGTAGCTCTGTTGTGGATGTCCCAAGCATTCATGGATTCAAGGGATTATGACTCAAAATTTGCCGGAGGATATAAATGTCTTTGCATGGCCCTTCACGTGTTTTTTTTAAGTCTGTTCTCAAACCTGCCGTCAACCGAGCCCCAAGTTCTGCCCAATTCGCTCCGGTACCGCTCAAGTTCCATTTTATTCATCCCAATTGGGAAAATCGGGTGCGACTCCCAACTACATTTTTAGTTCCTCATACCCGTGACTCAAGCCAAAACAACACATTCCACACTCGACATATTTGAGAACAAAGCCTGGGGGCGACCATGGCTGGTTTCAATGGATTCCTCCTCGCCCAATTGAGGCAGTCGCGGGCCCAATTAGGCCGCAAGGTCACTTGGACTCCGTCCCGGGCCTACTCGGCACCTGCTAACGGCTCCATCCCGGCCGCGAAAAAGAAGTATGTGCCAACCAAGGGCAGCTACCCGCTCGGCTTCCGGGCATCCGGCACCATAGTAGGCGTCAAGCCGGGCAACACCACGAAGCCAGACCTAGCCTTGCTCACCTCAGACACCCCCTGCGCTGCCGCCGCGGTCTTCACCAAGAACAAGTTCCAGGCAGCCCCTGTTACCTTCAGCCGGAAGCTGCTCCAGGACCGAAACAACCAGGGCATCCAGGGCGTCATCATCAACTCGGGATGTGCCAACGCGGTCACCGGGAAAGGCGGGTTGGAAGATGCGGCCAAGATGGCCCAGGCGGCCGACAAGAGCATCGGCCAAAGCGACAGCACCATCGTCATGAGCACCGGCGTCATCGGCCAGCGCCTACCCATCGAAAAGATCCTCAACGGGATCCCCGCCGCGCACACGGCACTCGGCGGGTCCCACGACCACTGGCTGACCCTGGCCAAAGCCATCTGCACCACCGACACCTTCCCCAAGCTGGTATCGCGCACCTTCACCCTCCCCTCATCACCGGGCATCGAGTACAAAATCGCCGGCACAACAAAGGGCGCGGGCATGATCCACCCCAACATGGCCACGCTCCTCGGCGTCATCGCCACCGACGCCCCCATTTCCTCCGCCGCCCTACCCGCCGCCCTCAAGCACGCCGTCGACCGCTCCTTCAACAGCATCACCATCGACGGCGACACCTCCACCAACGACACCGTCGCGCTACTGGCCAACGGCGCGGCAGGCGGCAAGGAGATCACCGCGGCCGAGGAGACCAACGCCAATTATCTCGCGTTTCGAGACCTGCTCACGGACTTTGCGGCGGAGCTCGCCCAGCTGGTGGTGCGTGACGGCGAAGGGGCGACCAAGTTTGTGACGATCCGGGTGACGGAGTCGGCGAGCGAGGAGGCCGCGCGGCGGATTGCGAGTACCATTGCGCGCTCGCCGCTGGTCAAGACGGCGCTGTATGGGAAGGACGCCAACTGGGGCCGGATCCTGTGCGCTACGGGGTACTCGCTCATCTCGGAGCCCGGGCAGCCGGTTAATGAGGTGCCGGAGATTGCGCCTGAGAGAACGAATGTGTCGTTTATACCGACCGATGGCACGGCGGAGTTGAAGCTGTTGGTTAACGGCGAGCCGGAGAAGGTGGATGAGGTAAGTTGCCTGGACAGTAGTAAAGCGTGAGGAGAAGGGAGTATGTTGGTATTGTTGCTGATTGACGTAGGCGAGGGCTGCGGAGATCCTGGAGCTTGAGGATCTAGAGATTCTGGTTCGGCTAGGCCAGGGCGATAAACAAGCCACATACTGGACTTGTGACTACAGCCACGAGTACATGTGAGTGAAGGACAATCTCCCCAAGCAAGAACTCTGACTAACACATTCTACTAGCACCATTAACGGTGACTACCGGACATGAAACGTTTGTTGGACATATGGGCACGATGATGAGTAACATTATGTATAACGAATTCTAGACTCATATTTCCAATGTGCCAAAATCTACCTGTTGTACTACTTTCTTGTTCCATGGGTGTACATACTTTGTAATACCTTGGGTGTTGTCAAAGAGGAAGTTCTTCGAGAATAAGGGTTAGGGTTAATCTCGCACCCCACTTCACTTTAAATGGAGACGCGTGCCTGAACGCGTCGAGATTCCCAAAATTCCAACCTCCAAGAACCCGGATCACCAACATCAATCGATTCTCCTCGTGTTTAATCTTCCCGTACAATCCCCAGATCGGTACATAGGTGAATATAACACAATGCCAGCGCCACGAGCAGAAGAACCCGGCGAATCGTCGACCGCTGCGCTCACCGCAAACTCCAACGGCAGTCCCGCCTATGAGTTACCATGGTAGGACCGAAACCCAGCGTCTTTACGGGTGAAAATTAAGTACTAAATGTGTTGTTTCTAGGGTAGAAAAATACAGACCCGTTTTTCTCGACGACATTGTCGGCAACACCGAGACAGTCGAACGGTTGAAAATCATCGCGCGCGACGGCAACATGCCACACGTCATTATCTCGGGCATGCCTGGTATCGGCAAAACAACAAGTGTCCTGTGTCTGGCGAGGCAACTACTGGGCGATTCGTACAAGGAGGCAGTACTGGAGCTGAATGCCAGTGATGAGAGAGGTGAGATCCCCCCCAACGAATCCATTTCGCACGGTCCTTAGGGATACATATGTGGCTGACATTTGGGCCTCGCAGGTATCGAGGTGGTCCGTCAACGAATCAAGGGATTCGCGCAAAAGAAAGTCACACTCCCCCAGGGGCGGCACAAAGTTGTGATCCTCGACGAGGCCGACAGCATGACATCCGGCGCACAACAGGCACTCCGACGCACGATGGAAATCTACTCCAACACGACCCGTTTCGCCTTTGCATGCAACCAGTCCAACAAAATTATTGAGCCGCTCCAGTCCCGGTGTGCCATCCTACGATACGCAAAGCTCACGGACGCCCAGGTCGTCAAGCGGCTGCTGCAGATCATCGAGGCGGAGAAGGTCGAATACAGCGACGACGGGTTAGCGGCACTGGTATTCAGCGCCGAGGGCGATATGCGTCAGGCCATCAACAATCTGCAGTCGACATCGGCCGGGTTTGGGTTTGTCTCGGGGGACAACGTGTTCAAGGTGGTCGATTCGCCGCACCCAATCAAGGTGCAGGCCATGCTCAAGGCGTGCTACGAGGGCAACGTGGATGCCGCACTTGACACGCTGCGCGAGCTGTGGGACCTCGGCTACTCCAGCCACGACATTATCAGCACCATGTTCAAGGTCACCAAGACCATTCCTACGCTGAGCGAGCATGCCAAGCTCGAGTTTATTAAGGAGATTGGCTTCACGCATATGAAGATTCTGGAGGGAGTGCAGACGTTGCTCCAGTTGAGCGGGTGTGTGGCTCGCTTGTGCAAGCTCAACATGGACCCTAAGAAGTTTGAGCTACCAAAGAAATGATATGAGGGAGAGTTGAAGGAATGAAATAAAAAGATACCCAACACAGGAACGAGGACTGAAAAACGGTGATATGTACATTGATCCGTATTATGAGACAACGCTCCCCCCTTCTTTCCTCTAATCCCCGGAGACCAAATATTATCCTCATTGTCCCTTCCCACCCCCTCGGCCCTCATTCTCGTCATCATCCCCGTACTCCTTATTGAACTGATCCCACATGGCCTGTTCCTTTGCGGCCCGCCTCTGCACCCGCACTCTTGCTTCATATGCTCGCAGTCGAGCGTCTGCGTCAATCATACTCCCGAGTACCATCCCGGACATTTGCAGGTATCTACAAGGCGATCAGTATCTAATCTTCCATGTCACAACGACCCGCCGTCTCACAACCGCCATGTCGTATGAAAAGAATTGCGACCAGTGTGAAGTAGCGAGGTATGAAAAGAATAGACAGAGGCGAGGCGAAACGACCTAGAAACTAAAAAAGTGTCAAGAAGGGAGAACATACACCTTAAACTGAATCGTCAACCCCCGATACATGGGCGAGACCACATATCCAATCCCACCCAGTAGCGCCGACGCAACACCCCATTTGACCGCGCCCGACACCGCGCCCCGCGTGGCTTCCCAGGAGGCGTTCACTGCCTCTTCGTGTTTGGTGTCGTTGATGGAGGGCATGTTGTCTTGATTTGATCTCCTTTTGGGGGCGGAGTTGAGGGTAAGTGGGTTGAGGGCCGTGGTCGCGCGAGAGACGCAAAGGCTCGGAGTTTGTTCGGCGTGTAACGAGTTGAGAGATGGTGGACTGGAGCTGTGTTGAAGGGCGTGCGAGGTGAGTGAAAGATCGGGGTATGATGGAATGGATATCTTGGATCATTACTGTTTTTACAGTGTACGCGCCATTATGAAGGGGCAGCTTAGGCTGGGATGTCGAGTTGGAGATGAAATGTGAGGGATGAGCGGGCTTCGGAAAGCCGGCAGTCTGGATGAGATCATAGCGATTGATGTGGGGCATTTTGGGATGAGAGAGAAAACCACGATTCAATGGATTCGATGAACAAATAACACTATTTAAGCAGTTAATGTTTCTCTAACGTCCATAATGTAAGAGTAGAATGTCAGTTTATATACTTCTACTTCAGCATCAAGTCATGCGTTTCTTCTTGGGGTAATATTCGAGAAGTCAGGTTCAGAGCCATGCCAATGGCATGTTACACACATGCTAGTACATATGTACATAGCACGGTCTTAACCGACTCGTTGGGTTACCTAGCTATCGTTTTGACTTTCCATGTTTTTGCCTTTCCCTTGTCCTGCTCTCCGTGCTTTCGGTTCTCCAACTCGTCTCTCCCAACAGAGTACAGTTCATTATCGGCATTCGATGAATCTCTTGGTTTGCTAGGCACATCACTTAAAAACGTCTCACACAAGGGGTATCGCCTCTATTTTCTTCTTCCATACTTGTCCGTCTGGAAACGAGCTGTCCGTTTGCCTGACTGATCGACGAACTGATTGACTGATTACTTGACTGGCAGGTCGACCGGCAAGTTGTGACCACGGGGTATATCGATTCAATTCCACCTATTACCCTCCTCGCTAGTTCTTAACACCCCCGATTTACTTTAATCTATTTTCCCAACCAGCCCTTCCCCCATCCGAAAACCCAGTCTGCCAGCCCAACCCCAGCTGTTCCATCCATCATTACACCCCATCCCTTAAACAATCAATCACCCAACCATAGAATTCCCCTCCCGCTCCGCCTGATCCGCCCGATCCATAGTCTCCCTCAACTCCCTCAACATCCTCTTCGTATTCTCCACCATCGCCGCCGTTTCCGCCCGACCAGGCGTAACCCCGCTGCCCATGCTACTCCCAATACTCCCAATACTCCTTCTGCTCGCCACGCTCACACTTCTCCCGCGTTGGATCGCGGTGTCATTTGCACCGACGCCACTGCCGGGAATAATAACATCCAGACCATCTAACGCAGTATCACCACCGGCACCAGCACCAGCACGATCTCCCAAGCGGTAGTGGGAATGGTGATCAACGAACGACCCCGTACTTCTCTTCCGTTTCCCCACCGCCGCTACCGCGCCCACCGCAGGGCCCGTCACCGCTACCGCAGCCGTGGCTACAGGAGGCACACCTCGCTTCCGTACCAACGGCGGGGGCGGCATACTCCCCGGAGCAGCAGCAGCAGCAGCAGCAGCAGCAGCAGCAGCGGTAGCTGTCGAGGACTGCGACGGCAAAGGTAAATGTGGATCGACACTATGCCGCGAGCCAACACCGCCGTATCGACTCCGGCTGTGTTCGCGCGAGGACGAGCCCGGCTGCGCCTGGTGGTGATCCTGTCGCAGTCTGGCCAGCCGCAGTCGCATCTGTAAGTATGCCGAGGGCGTGGGCGAGCCGGCACGGCTGGTTCCGCGGCCAGTTCCGCTGGCGACGCTGGCCATTTCGATGTCTTGGTCTTGATCGTCATCGTCAGGGAGGACAACAGCGGTGTCGTTGTTGTCATTCTGGTCGGTGTAGATATGCTGATCAGGCGAAGAAGAGGATGTAGTAGAGAACTGCCGGTTACTGCTTCTGCTTCTGCTGGTGCCGAGCCCCCCAAACCCCTGTTTCCCAGCCCGGTACGACTTGGCCATGGCCTCGGGGACCCAGTTCCCATCGGGCATGGGCACAAACCCGCGGGCGCGCAGGTCCCAGTGTGTTGATTTGGAAAACCCAGAGGGACCACCACCATGACCACCAGTAGCACCGGCTAGCCGTTTCGCGCCAGGTTCCTCATCCGATTCTTCTTCGGCCGACCTCTTCCGCGAAAAGTTGGTCGTCCGCGTCATCGTCCCGCTTCCGGGTGGAAGCGACTGTCGGAACCGTGATGACCCGGCCGCAGCCGTAGAAGACGAGAAGGAGCCACGGTGGTTCCGGTTCAGGCTGCCAGGCGGCATGATCCCATCCCCATTCCTACTCCCATTCGCCACCGACCCGCTCGCCGACAGACTCCTCCGCGGCTCCAGCCCAAATTTCTCCCTCAGCGAGCGCGTCTTCCACCCTTCGCGCTTCTCGCCACCGCCACCGCCTACCACACTGCTCGTATCTGACGGCGCGGGCTCCAGTTCCAGTTCCGATTCCGGGTATCGGTAGGAGCGCGTCGCGCTGGCCATGTCGTCGATGGTACTGTTGTTGTGGTTGTTAACGGCCCTAGAGCCCTGCACCACACGGCGGGCGATAGACCGCGGGTCGTCGCGGAGATGCGTGAGGATCCCGCTAGCGATGAGCTGTTCCTCGGCGTGGCTGTGGTCGTCAGCGCTGAAGGCGACACTGCCGCGTCGACGGGCGTTGATAGCGGCCGCCGAAGCAGAAGCAGCAGACCCGGACGAAGCGAGTTGACTAAGACGGTTGGTATCTTCCCAGAGCCGTCTCTTCGCAGCGCGGCGTGCCTCGCGGTCGGCTTTCTCCTGTCGTTCCTGCAAACGCTTGTAGGCGATCTTTTCTTGCTCGCGATGAAGGCGCAGCTTCTCTTTGCCCTCGCGGAGGATGCGCCTTGTGGCGAGCGACCGGGCGATGTTGCGCCAGCGGTAGAGGTACTTGATGCGCAGCCGGTAGGTCTGGTATTCCCGGGCTTGCCGCCACGATTCTTCGTCTTCCTCCCGTCGTTTCCGTTCCGCCTCTTCGCGCCCAAAGTCCTCCCAGACATCCCACAGCATGTGCCGCAGGATTTCTTCGGTAAACTGCTCAAACAAACCGTCGTCGCCGGTCACATACCACTTGGTGAAATCACCCAGTAGGTCTTTCTTGGGCGGCGGCGGCGGCGGCGGTGGTGGTGCAGGAGGAGTGAGAACAGCCGGTGTCGAGGCCGGCTGGAACGGCTTATTCAACCCAAGCGCCGGGAACGAAGGAGTCGATGTAGGAGGCTGTGACTGTGAGTTAAGAATGATGGAAGATGGGGTGGTCGAGGCCGCGGAAGAGGGCGGGAAGACTTGGACGGCCGGAATCGCGGGCGTGGTCGAGGTTGGTTGCTGCGTTGCCAACAGTGCAGGTGTCGTCGTCGTTGGAAAGAGAGGCGCCCCGCCGCTAGGCGTAGCCGAGCCGAGGGTGGACGTTGGGAAGGCAGGAGTCGTCGTGGGTGCAGGCTCGGCGACGGACACAGGCGCGGTAGTCTGGCCTGGTGTTGATGCTGCGGATGGCTTGAAAACCGTACTGCTCGGGAATAGGGGGGCAGGCGGTTGGGCTGCGGGTGTCTGGGTACCGGCGGTTTGCCCAAAGAAGGAGGGCGTTGAAGCAGCTGGCATTCCTGCTGGGTTGGTTGCCGCGAAGGGGCTAGCTGCAGCTGGTGTTGCTGCCGCTGCTGCTGTCTGGCCGGGCTGAGAAAAGAACGGTGCAGCCGGAGCAGGTTGTGACGTGGTCGTCGAAGCGGCGGGTTGGTTAAATGTCGGAAATGGGGTTTGTCCTGGCAACGTCTGCGACGCAGGCGGAGCTCCAAAGGGATTATTGGACGGCGTTGCCGGTGCTTTCGGCGCAAAGCCCGGGAACGCAGGTGTTGACGCTGCCGTGGCTGTAGCTGTTGACGGGACACCGGCGCTGAAGGGTGAATTCGAAGCTGCTGCGCCAAAGGACGACGGGGTTGCAGTGCCAAAGGGAGAAGCGGCTGCGGTCCCAAACGCAGGCGGGGTCATGGTCGGCGTCGTTAATGCTTCACTGGCCATTGACAGATTCTCAGACGCCTGAGCACGCGGAACAAACAACTGATCATCGCCCTCCTTAGCGGTTGCCGTCGCTGCTGCTCCAGCTGCTGTCGAGGCCCCTCTGCCCGACTCCTCCTCAAAGATGGTGTTATAAATCACATAAGGCAGCGACTGCGTCGTGCGCTTCCGCTCGACCACGCTCCCTGAAAACGACTGCCGCACCCGCGGAGACGGCACCGGCTTCTTCTTATTGTTGATAAGCAGGTACGGCTCCGACACTGGGTTCTTCCCCTCGGGCACCCAGGTGGAAAACTCAAAGTTGTGCAACTCGGCAAACTCGACGGCCTCCTCGGGGGTGTCGAAGCGCAGCATCGCGTTGAGGTCTGCGGCCGTGATGGTCCGGGGCGCATCGCGGTGCCGGGCATAGCCACGCACCAGGTTCTTGAGGATGCCCTGGCGCACGCTGGTGAAGTGGACTTCGGCGATGCAGGCCATGGTGTACGACACCCGCACGTCCTCGACGATGGAGAAGTAGTTGGTAAAAGACGTGTCGGACAACGTCGTCGCAACCCGTGGCTTGATGGGACCTTTGGGCTCTCGCACGTCGTCCATGGCCTGAATCAGGGACAGTGCTGTCTGCATCTCTTCCGAATCGAACCAGTACTCCTTGCCCCATGTTGGGATCCTCCTTGCTATGGATGGATCGTGCGCATTCAGGAGCAGGTAGTAGGCCCTGAACTCTGGCTCGTTGTCGCAGTGGAAACCCTTGTCGCGGCACACGTCGTATGCTTCAATGAGCGACAGGATGGTCCTGCCTAGCTGCTCAATCTCCTGCTTCTGGTCAAAGTCCTCGTTGGCAAACCCCTTCCGTGACAGCAGGTGCAGCGCTGTGGCGTGAAACCGAGCGATCGTCTCAAAGCAGTAGACCACATCTTTCATTTCCTCCGATGACTTCTGGGAGTGAAAGGTGAAATCCTTGCGCACCGCTCGTGTCCGGTCCCATAAGAAGTTATGCATCGCCGGGAGGTTGCTCTCGGACTGGAGCATGTCGTTGAACAAGTAGTCGGTCGTTCTTCGCAGAGCATCAATAGATCGGACATCCATCGGTAGCGGCGCATCCTGGCCCGCAGCGGAGCGGCCGAACTTCTTGACCATCCGGGCCGTGTCTGGCCACATGGTCACCCCATCCGGACGCATCTCCTTCTCCTCCGACTTGACATCGTACTCGGCGATTCGAGATACCTGCTCGAACTCCGGGCACATGGACTCGCATATCCCCTTGAACGGAAGGGCATCCTCGAGCTTCCGCCTCTTGTCCGGGTCATCGATCAGATCAGCTTTCCTCAGCGTCGCATACACGCGGGTGCGGTACTTTTTGTATTGTTCCTTCAGGTTGTCGATAGCCGCACGCTTGCTGGGATCCCCTGGATCGGCATGCCACTTGGGTGGATGGAGGTTTTCCTTGTTGAGGTGGTCGTATAGCCTGTTCGCATAGTTGAAGGCAAAGTTCGACAGCTGCTTGGTCCGCTCGCTCGGGCCCCGATCCGAGGTCTTGTGGCCGCCGGGTTGACTCGGAGTCGGCTGGTAACGCTCCTGGCGTCCAGCTTGCCTGCCCTTGCCACCCCGCTGCGGTCGTGTCGTGTTGCTCGTTGGGCCTTGGGAAAATGGCTGCTTCGCAAAGGGGTTAGAAGCAGCCGTCGTTGGCGCCGTCGGCGCAGCATGCTGCGGCCCTGGGGCATGTCCCCCTCGTCCTCCAAGACCGCCGTTAATAGCCGGGCCTCCTCGTCCCGCAAAACCCCCTCGTCCAGCAAAACCTCCCCGTCCTGTAAAACCGCCATTTGTCACCGCAGCCGCAGGCTGCTTGTTGCCCGCAAACTTATTCCGGTGACCCATCGCGTTCGAATCGCTGGACTGAAAAGCCGCCGCCGCCGCCGTATGTGGTGGTTGCGTGGCTAGTGGTGACGGACTTCGCTTGTTTGCCTGCCGTACCAAGGGAGCCGCAAGTCTGTTATTATTCGCGGGTCCTGCCGGGAACGGCTTGTTCTGCACGCCTGGTGACTGTTGGCGATTCCCAGCTACGTTGCCAAAAGTGGCCTTGGGCCCGGTCGGCGCTCCGAACGGGACTGCCGCAGATGGCGCGTTGTTGGCGGTACCAGGCGGCGCTGGGGCCCCAAAAGGATTCACCTGCGCAGAAGTCGCAGCGGCAAAGGGATTCACCGTCGGAGCTGGAGCGCTAAAGATTGGGTTGAACGGGGGAGCAGACGGGCCAGCAGAGGGAGGTGCTCCAAAGGGATTGTGAACCTGGGTTGGGGGTGCCCCGAAGGGGTTGTTAGCTGGCGCCGCCATGGTGTGTAGGGTAACGCATTGGCGATGAAAACCCGAAGGGGGGGGGTGGTTGGAAATTGCGGCGGGATGTAGATATCAATTATCGAGGATTAGGAGAGGAGGGACGGGAAGTGAGAGAATCGAAGCCTTGCGAAGCGGGAGTCGGCGTCGCGTGGTGGAGTGGGAGGTCTCTCGACACGTCGGCGGATCGCGAATACGGATCGAGACCAGGATGAGGTGGGTGAGGATTTACCAGAGGGAGCGGATCGGTCGGTGTACTGTGTAGGACCTAAGAGTCGAAAGTCTAGTCGGCCTTTGGTCTGCGGTCTTCGGTCGATCGGGTCGGGCGGTAAAGGACCTTATTCCAGGTTCCGGATTCCAGTTTCCCGATTCGAGGTTTGAAGAACAAGCCCAATGTTGAAAATCGTGGAAGTCGTGGCGCGTAACCGTAAAGAGCACGACAAGGCGCTGCTCTAGGGGACCGCGCAAATACAGACTCGAAGCAACATCGACTGCAGAATCTCTTGTTTCAACCGGGTTATCGCAGTCATTTATTTGAGAGGACAAAATAGAAAAACAAAGGTTGAGGGGAGGGTCGGATTGGCGGAGTGCGCCGCAGTCGACAATGACCGCGAAACGTTGTGCAGGGAAAGTCTGCATTCAAGGCCCAGAATCTCCGGCACGGGTCAGAGTCGCATGCTGTGGATTCTGCCGCTTTGGCGCTAACTGGGTAGGCGGTGAGCTGGGCAGCTTGAAAGCCGGGGGAGCTCGGGCCTGGTGGGGCCATCGCTCAACAAGAGTGAACACTCGGCCTACTTTGTACTGTCAAAGGGGTTTGAACACATGATGGACGGGTAGAAACACAAAGGCACAGTACCGTGACACAAGTTCTTTCTGCTCTTTCCTTGTCATTTGATTTTTTTTCATTTTTTTTTCATTCTTTGTGACAATTGTCATTTACTTTTTTCTAAAGCGGCCCTGGATCCAGCACCGATACATCTTGAGCTTCTTGGCACGGTTCACCAACAGTCTACGATCAACACCGAGCTCTTCTATGCCGAATCTGACCGCTGGCTGCGATGTTGGGGCAGCCTCAGCAATTTGTTCGCCCTCGGTGGCCAGCCCACTGGGCTCGCCGCTCCATATTTCGGCCAGCTCGTCCTTCTCAAAGAAGTAGACACGCGTGCCGTCGCCGCGGACATAAAAGTTCTCTTCAAGGTACCGCCCCTTCTTAAACCGCACCTGGGCCAGGTCCCCTCTCCCATAGTCACGGAAGCAGACCTCGCCACCAGGCTTGAGCACGCGGTATACGTTCTCTACCGCCTTCTGCCACTGCAATGGGGAAAGTGCAGAGAAGATGAACACCATGACCGCCACGTCCACTGATCCCTCTTCCAGGCCGGGAGGGAGCTCCTCGCCCGCTACGTCCCATACATCGGCTTGCATCACCTCTGGGTTATATGACTCATGGCTGCGCATCACCTCAACCGCCTTCTTGGAGAAGTCGCAGGCATGCAGTCTGAGTTTCGGGTTCTTGTTTTGGGCGAGAACAGGGAAGGCCGTGTTGCCCGCCCCGGCGCCTATTTCTAGGACCGTGACGGGTCCGGCGTCCTCTTGAATCACCTTGTCCAAGATCGGAAACTCTTGCTGGAGCCACTTTCGATCCTTAAAAAAGTTGGCCGTGTTGTTCTTGTAAAACAGATTCCACCACTTGGCTGGGTCTGAGTTGAAACGTGCTATTATTGACCAGTTAGCCGATTGCCTAGAGACCAAAGGGAGGCGAACATCGACCGAAAGGTAAGAAGGCGCATCAGATGGGAGCGAAAGACTATAAAATACATAGGTGTCTTCATAGAAATTCAGATGAACTATGCTTATGAAATGTAAATCATCACAAGCGCCGGCGAGTTGGCACACAGCCAACCCAACGGGAAGAGGCATTGAAAACCGAAACAAAGAAAACCACTCACTCTTATCAAAATCCGACACGGGCGCCTGCCGCTGCATCGCATACTGCTGCTCTGCGTACTCTTTGTACGTGTCGTCCGTCTCGACGTGGTCCCACGCATTGAACTCGAACACGTCGTCCTCCTGGTTCAGGTACCGCGACCCAAACTGGAACGGGTCGCTCCTCTTTTGGTTGTACTGCGGATCGTGCGACCGGTGGGGAGGGGTCGCCTCAGCGCCAGTGCTAAGAGCAGCGGTCGGAGTAGCGGCAGCAGTAGCAGCAGCGGAAGTGACCACGTCGGGAACGCCACTGGGTGTACCCGCAGACGGCAGCTGCTCGTCCGGTGCTATTTCGAGCGAGGAGATCGCGGCGGCTAACTTCTCGGGGGCATCAACGCCAGCAACGCCAGCCGGGGAAGCCGGACCAGCCACGGCTTCGGCGCTGTCAACCGTCATCGTGGACAACGGAGTGTTGTTGCTCAAGAGAAAGGGAAACGGGAGGCAAAGAAGAGAAAAATTGTAGGGGCAGGCCTATGAGAAGCAGCTAGCAGAAGCTGCAGGTCATTGAATGGCCGCGGAAGAGATCCAGGCTCGGCGCAGCAGCATTTCGGAAGAGGGAGGTTTCCGATTTGAAACTTGGAGCGGGAAAAGAAGGTTTTTTTTGGGAAGGCGAAGAAAAAAAAATTGTTGCGGGGGAAATGGCATGCGGACACCGAGTGGGGTTTTGTGGTGCAGGGAGTAAAACTTTACACTCTCCATGTGCAGGGGGGTCCCACCAGGCCTCGGGAAGATCTTATCTGCGTGCGCCCAGTATGAGACGATCCGTTTGTCAGAATTCAACAACACGAACCAGAACCAATTCCCCTCGATAGCCGCCATGGAAGGCCAATAACACCAATGGCGTAGCGAAAAGGCTACACCTGATCCCGCGACCAATACAATACTGTGCTATACGAGTATCCAGCGCCGAGCTTCACACTCGAGTCACCATTGAACCCTCTCGACGTCCTTTCTTCACCTCCTGCGACATGGCACCTCGACTCCCACCACCAGCACGCCAGCTGTTCACAACCCGGCCCTCTCTGAGCCCACACCTACACTCTTCCCTCTCAACCTTACCAATATCACACCCCACTCCTCTCACAACAACAACACCCCCAACGAGACCAACCTCCTACCGCCCTCTCTCCACAACCCCCCGACACCCCTTCCTCCTCTCCGCCCTCTCCAGCCTCACCAACAGCAGCGGCCAAAACCCACCCCCACCCAAAACCATCCACGTCCGCCGCGTGCTCCCCTACCGGCCCTCCCAAATCTACACCCTCATCACCGATATCGACGCCTACACCCACTTCATTCCACACTGCCCTCACTCACGCGTCACGCAATGGATTGACTCCCCAGTACCGCCACCACCCTCGCAACCGCCCACCACAACCACTGCCACAACCACTCCCGCAGCCACAACGACGACAGCAACACCACCACCAACAACAACAACCCGCCTCCCAGCCCTCGCAGACCTCACAGTAGGCTGGGGCCCCTTCACGCTGAGCTATACCTCCCGCGTGTACTGCATCCCTGGGCGAATCCTCGAAGCCGTCAGCGGGAACGCAACCACAGGGATATCCGCTGATGTCTTGCGGTCTGTTGGGTATCCCGTTGCTGATGGCGGCGCGCCCGCAACAACAAATGCAAACACCAAAATGGAAGCGTTATTTGAGAGTTTAGCGACACGGTGGACTGTCGAACCTATCGTTGGTGGTGGTGGTGGTCGGCGACGGCCGCAGGAGCAAGATGGACAAGGACAAGGACAAAGACAACAACACGGGGGCGGCGGTGGTAGTGTGCCAGACACAAACTGGACCGAGGTGACGCTGAGCGTATCATTTCAGTTCGCAAACCCCGCGCTGGGGTTTGCAGTAGGCCGATTGGCAGACGAAAAGGCCGAGGAAATGGTGCAGGCGTTTGAGGGCCGGGCGCGGCAGCTGTACGGGAGATGACGGACGAGAGATAGCATGAGTGGTAGCGGGTGGTATGTAGCAGATTTAGCAAGAAGGTCGGTGATTGGTGATGATTGCTGGAATGGGATGAAGTTGTGTATATGGCAATCAAACCCCCGTACACACAAAGATGAGAGGAGAAGCAAAACGTGGAAGCCCACCTGCGTTGTTGGCACGTACGTGTATGAAACAATGTGTATATGATTTTTGTCTTTTTTTTTCTCTCTCTTCTTGTTGCTAGTATTTTGATGGGGGGCATATAGAACAGAAAATAGAAGGGCGAGTAAACAAAAAACATCCAACCAAACATAATGCCTGAAACAAACAACTTTAAACGACCAAATTTCAAAACTCAAGTAAATCAGAGGGAAGGGAAGAAGCAGGGAGTAACGCAACCACAATCACCACCATCACCACCAAGCAACCAACGGCTCGCTCGTCTAGACTCAGTAAAGGGACCAACCCCCATCATCAAAAAAAGCCAGACATCTCCCGCTCTACCGGATGGCCACCGATTCTCTTTGCGCCGGGAAACCCATAGCAAAATTTCGCTGCAGCATCACCGTACGCCACCTCCCACAACACCGCTCGACGCCCAGGCTCCAGACCCTCGAATGCGCCTCCCTGAGTCCCCTGAGTCACCCAAACAGCTCCGTCGACATCGTCATATACCAACACTCATTCCCCACCATCCACCCCGCTTCATTGATCATCGTTTATCGTTCATCAGCCCATCAACCTCATCTGCTCTTCCCTACACAAGTCCTCCCTCAAACCCCACCCAGACCTTGGCTAAAACAGCCGCAAATAGCCAAAAGTCCAACTCAAACAAATCAAGCCAAGAAAGCAACTACGCAAATCCAATAACAAAAAGCAAAAGAGAAAATAGAAAAAAGCGAGAAGGTATCAAAAGCCAAAGGAAGCCGCGCAAGATGTGGGGAAGATAGAATATCTAGCAAGGTCGGAGCCAGAGTGAGAAGGGAAGTGCTGTTATGGTACGGCCGAGATTATCGTTGGGAATTGCCGATGCCGTCTATATCATTCGCTCGTTCATAGGTAAGGACTTTCTGGATGGGTAGCGGACGGTGCTCAGGTTCGTCGCTCCAGCAAGTACAACGAGTTCCCGGGTTTAATGCTTCTTCCTAGATAGAAGCAGGTCTGTTAGTCTGCGAGTCGCGAATATTTGACTGATACGAGCATGACTGAGCGATGATGTAAAACATTATGGGCAATTGTGGGAAAAAGAAAAGAAAAACAGAAAAAAAGGCAAATGCAGAACGAATCAGACAGACTTGGGCAGCCACATGTGGGCGGGATATAGAAAGTAAGACGTTGAGTGCTGGGGCCGGGGCTTGGAAGAGGAAGAAGAGCGGTGCTGGGGCGGGGGCGGGGGAGTGATAAAGGTCACGTTGTGCTTGTTGTTGTTGTGTTTGCGGTGGTGGTTTTGGGGATCATCAGGGTGCGGGGGCAGGACGACACCAACGTACTTCTTGCTGCTGCTGCCGCTCTTAGGCTTGCTCCCAGCCATCCACCCAAGCATCGAGGACGGTGCGGCCTTGTCCTTGCGGCGCACTTTGCCCGGATCGACCGTGACAATCTCCGGTCCCATCCCCCCCGGCCGGACAACCCGCGCGCCCGGGGGAAGGCCGCCCGGCGGCAGCGGGCCGGACCATACTCCACCCGGCGGAGGGGGTGGGATACCCATACCGCCAGGGCCGCCAGGACCACCGCCGGGGCGAACGGTTTGCGGGCGACCGGGGATGTAGGTCGTACCCATGTTGGCGGGTCGTTGCTGGGGGTGGACACCGGCCTGTGGGTGACCGGGCATGTTGGGCGGGCGGGGGATCGTGCCGTGGGGCATGTTCGCGGGCATCGGCCGGTTGATGAGGGGCGCCTTGTCCATGGGCCACATGTGCATGGTGATCGCCCAGTCGGGCTCAACCACCTTTTCCCAGACGCTCGGGAGTATAATGTCGCCATTGGGGCCAATCAGGTCGTAGTGGCCTTCTTGGACGTGCGGGCCAATGACCTCGACGTGCAAGAACGCTTGCTTGATGAGCTCCTCCATGCCCTGTAACGAGGGAGGTTAGTTGGTTGGTTAGTGGATATGAACGCAGATACGATGGAATTGCGACCATGGGGGACGGGGCCTCGGCTACATACCTGCCATGTCTGGCAAATGTGGAAAGGGAAGCTGAACTTGCGCCCGACGGCATCCTTGAACTTGATCGGCGGTTTCTCTGCGTCCTTGGTCGTTTTCTCAAGCTTGGCCTTCGCTTCCTCAAGCAATTTCTTCTTGAGGGCTTCTTCCTCCTTCTTCTTCTGAGCCTCTGCTTCCTTGGCTTCCTCCGCTGCTTTGCGTTCGGCTTCGACCTTCTCGCGCGCCTCGAGCTCCGCCTTGAGCTTGGCTTCCGCCTCGAGCTGCTTCCGCCACTCGGCTTCCTCGGCGGCCTTCTTCTCAGCAGCTGCCTTGGCTTCCGCTTCAGCCTTCTGGGCGGCTTCGATCTTTTCGCGCTCGGCGCGGACCGCGGCCGCAAGCTTCTCCTCTTGCTCCTTGATGGCCGCCTCGAGGGCCCGTTTGGCGTCTTCCTCGATCCGTTTAAGTCGCTCAGCCTCTTCAGCAGCCTTCCTCGCGGCGGCCTCCTTGGCTTCTTCCTCCGCCCTGATCCGCGCGCGTATTCTTTCCTGCTCTTCCCGGACGGCAATTTCAATGCGAGCCTTGGCTTGGGCCTCCGCCAGTGCCGCAGCTTCCGCTTCGCGCATCTTCCGCTCCTCAGCAGCCTTGAGCTCGGCCGCGAGCTTATCGCGGGCCTCCTGCTCGATCCGCCGCATAGCTTCTTCCTGCTGCTTCTTTCTCTCCTCCTCCGCTTTCTTCTCGGCCGCCAGGCGCTCCCGTGCTGCCCGATCGGCTTCGGCCTGCGCTATCTCGATGGCCTTCTTCGCCTCCTCCTGCGCTCGTTGCATGTCCTCCATGCGTCTCCTGAGGGCGTCCTCTGCTTCCCTCTGCATGTTCGCCTTGAGCTCTGCCAGCCTCTCCGCCTCGGCCTTCTTCTTTTCCTGCTCCTCAAACTTGGCGAGCTGGGCCTTCAGAGCCTCCATCTCCGGGTTTGGCTTCTCGGGCGGAGGGGGCGCAGGCGTCGGGGGTTTCGGCGGCGCCGGAGCCTCGGTTGGTGGCGGCGGCGGGGCGTTGTACATGTACGGTTGCAGGTGCGGCGGCGGCATGCCAAAGCCTCCCGGTCCACCACCGCCGCCGTAGTAATTGTGACTATTATTTTGGTGATACGGCATCATGTCGTAGCCGCTGTGCCCCCCGCGGTGCTCATTCCCGAAGAAGTTGGAGCCATTGTTGCCCATGGGCGTCGGCGAGAAGGGGTTGCGGTAATCTTGGTAGGGAACCATCTGTCCATTGTAGTGGGCTGGTGGCATGTAGCCAGCGTGGCTCTGAGCGTAACTGGTCGATTGATGGCCGCCCCTGGCGCCGTAAAAGGCACCCTGAGTCTGCGGGGGATGCCCGTAACCTCGCCCGTACGGGTGGTAGTCGTCGGACGGGTCACCCATTGGGGGTATAGAAGGTGCGTGATGCGGAAATTGATGCTGCCGCACGGCAGGGATCCTGTGGTCGCGCTGGTTACCTCCGCTGCGGAACGCACCGGGGCTATAGGGCCGTGAATGGCCGTGGGCGGCGAGGTGATATCCAGACGCAGAGTCGTCAGGGTCGATTTCGTGAGGCCAATGGCTGCTGTCGTCGTCCTCCTCCTCCTCGTCGTCGTCGTCGTCGGCTAGCGACTCGCTGTAATCCTCGCTCTGCTGTGACGTCGATTCGTCGTCGTCGAGGGAGCTGGAAGAGCTGTGTTGTTGTTGGGTTTGTCGACGACTCCTGTGAGTGGGAGCGGGAAAATTAGTACGGCGGGTCGATCGCGGGGTGGCAGGAGAGTTGGGACGAGAAAGATGGGGTCATGCGGCGTAGTGATCGAGGCCATTCAAGCGGGTGAAGGGGGCGTGTGTGTGTACACGACGAGTAGTCAGCGTGGGGGACTTACAACGGCATTGGAGATGCTTATATCCGTTCACGTTTTGCGCTTGACGAAGAACAATCCGCAACGGGAAAAGCGGAGTCAGAGAGGTGACCTAGATTGCAACTTCGATTGGCGGCAAGCTTAAGGCTGCTTGGTCCGAGTTGGCGGTCCGGCGGTTGGCGGTGTGCGGTGGTGAGAGAGGGATTGCAGGGGTGCCGGGGGTTGGGATGCGCAAAGCTTGAGAGGGGACTTGGGTGAGCTGTGTGTTTTGAGAACGTTGTGTGTGTTTTGGGCGAGGGCCAGAAATTCTCTCTTGTCTGGGTCGGGAAAAGTGCGTGAGAAGGTTCTGTGACGAGGTCGTCGGCGTTTCAAGGGCTGGTTCTTCGGCAAAATATCGACGCACGGCCGCAGCTTTGTTGGGCGCGAAAACAAGGGAGGAGTCGATCGGGTATTGCGATGTGGTGGACAGGGCCGGCGAGTGGGCTGCGTCGCTGTTGTGGCTCTTTGCTGGTCAGTGGGAGAGTGGCAAGTGGGAAGCGATATGCACCAAACGCCTAGACCAGACTCCGAGTCCACTCGAGGGCTGCGAGGGGCTGCGAGGGGCTGCCGAGAGAAAAGAGACAGGGGGCGTGAGAGGACGGGGCAACCCAAGGCGCAGCGGAATTGGACCCTTAGCCCATTCCGTCCGCCATGGTGAGAGGAAAGGCAAGGGCTGGGATTCTGAACTGGGACACGGTCGTGATCAAGTCGAAAAACATCTTTAAGGGAGGGGGAGCTGGTTATATTACATGGAGGACATGGAGGGGGGGTGATCCTGCAACGCGGGGTCAAAGACTTGCCTGGGCTCTCTCACCTTCTGCTTCTGCCTTACTTGGTCTGGCTTGGAAGGGGATGGAGGGAACCAAAGGGAAGGCTGCGAGCCGGGCCAAGGCGAGACGCTCGTGACCTCGAGGTTCGATCGAGGACCGGAAGAGGCCGGTCAGCAGGCGGGCGATAGGCGGGCAGCCCGAGGAAACAAGGCACGTTGGACGGCGCGGGCACTCGTTCTGTGTAGATTACCGCACAAAGGGGGTTTAATACCCCAGTACTGGCATAGCGCATGTCAGTGAGGGGCTGCTTTGCCTAATGGGAACGAAAAGAAACCCCGCGATGGCAACCGAACCTCGACGCCCAGCGCAAAATAGCACCAGGGGAGTAAGGCAACCAGCCGGCAGACCCAACGAAGGGCACTAGCCTCCTTTGTGACCCAAGGTGCTTCTGCGGATATCGCGAAATGGGGGTAATGATGCCGGGGACGGGTGACACATAAGCAACGACCCTGGAATCCGTCGTTGTTGACAGCTGTCGAGGAGCGAGGCCACTGAGCCGCCAAGGCCCTCGACTGGGCAGCCGCAGCAGTTCTCTTCTCGACGCATGCTCCCGGAAGAATAGACAAGCAACGTAACCAGAGTGCCTCCACTTCCCAAGACGGAAATTGAACAGAAATGAAGGGCAATTGTGCCACAGTGTCAATTGCAAGGGAATGAGGTTTGCAAAAACAAAGACAAGCGAACGGGATAAGAAGAACGCCATAGTTGGTGAAATGCGGGGGAAAAAAGAAAAAAAGTCAAGAAAAGCAGAAATACTGTCACCGTACCAACAATACGGTCGAGGTTGACCTGAGTTGGGACGAATCTCAACTGTCGCTTCGGCAACTTCAGATGGATGGGTGTTCCCGCCCGTTGATCTCGGCGCGGTCGGGATGAACGCTGTGTGCCGACTCGGGTTGAACGAACCAAAAGTTTTTCGGTGTGGTGGGTGGGGTTTTTTGGTTCTCTTTTGCTGCGTTGTGGTGTGCACTAGCTGTGGTGAACCTTGAAGGATGCGTGGATGATTTGTCCTGCGCGTGGTGTCCCTGTCGCTCAGCGAGTTGGTGCTGCGAAAAATTGCTGCGAGATCTGGACAACGTTCTTCTGTTCGCTTGTTCGAAGGGTGGCGAGTTTCGAGCTTGTTGTTGCGTGGTTCCGGGTTTTGACAGGATCCGTTGAAGATGTTTGGTTGCACTTGAGTTTGCGTTGTTAGGTAGGGCACGGGGCGGGCTAATTCACTCAAGTCGGCAGTAAGTAAGAAAATCAGGAATCGCCGTGCTGGATCCGACTGTTATAAAATTGCTCCGGCCTCTGTTTGTGGAAGGAGTATTGGGGCCGGCGAATTAAGTGTAGAGCAGCTTAACAGCTGTCGTGGAAGGCACGATGCAGGATGGCAGGCCACCGCAGCGGGACTGCAGCTGCATAATCGAACAGCTCGTCCCAGAGCAGACATGATAGATAGCAATAGCGATGCCACAGGGGAAAAAGGTCACAAACAACCTGGAACCGCTGCGGCAAAAGGCCCACTTTCGTCTCTCGTCAACTCATTCCCTTCCTCTGTACTACATAACAGCCCTCGACGAACAACCTGCTTGGAACTACTGCGAGCTCGCAAGTCGATTTTTGGAACCTAGACAGCCCTTCCACCCTCCCCCCCCTTCTTGGTTTTCTTCTGCCAAACCGTTCGGCGGTGAAGTGAAACGCCGCCCACATACACACATACACAGGCTTTGTAGTCTTAAGGGCCACGAAGCAAAGCCATTTGCAGGTCGAATGTCGTGCATGGACAAAAGCCACCGCCCACATGCCACCCATCCAGTAACAGAGCCGTCAACGCCAACAAAGGAACTCAACTCAACTCAAGCCAAACCACTTGGTCGATCCCCATCGGTGGTGCTGTTGGGAGGAGTCGGGGTCTGGCCAGGGGACGGATGCATGCCTCCCATTACCCCCTGGTCCCGTGGTCTCTCGTGACCACGACGTTGAAGCCAGCGACCTCGATACTTGCACATGCCGCTTTGAATCCTCACGTACCCTCCTCCTCGTACGGTCGTTGGGCTCTGGGACACGGAGATGTGGGGCTACAATGTGTTTTCAGCAGAACCACCCACGGTCGCCTGCCTCAGAAGTACGAACCCGCGAGCCGGACATCGCTCGAAAGGAGCAAGTCATTCCTTGTTGTGTTGGGCAGTTTAAAGATGCAATTGCTCCGTAGGATGGCCCCATTGAAGGGGGTTTGGGACCGACACTGGGCTGTTGAACTCGCCTTCTATGAGCTACAATCTCCTGCGACCGATTATCTAAAGCCCGGCCTCGTATCTCGAATTGTGGTCTCATGGATCTCGTCTGGCGTGAGGCCAATTATCTTCGCCAGTGCCATTTTCGAAACTTATCCGAGTTGTCCGGCGGACTAAGCATAAATGGTGGCACCGGAAGTGACAGGCAGGGTTTCATCAACGGTGAAAAAGGACCAGCAGCAACAGAGATCATATCGTGAGGCGCACGCAGCAAAGCTTATTAAATTCCGGTCTGCCGCTAGTTGCGAGATCTCATCTTGCATCCGTAGCCGCTCCTCCATTACGGATTACCGTGTATGTACAACAAAACCTGCTGTCCGGGTAGCCGAATCTGGCATCCTTGAAATTTGCATCCAGAGTGAGATCACCGGGTAGATACCCTTTGAGAGAATTTCGTGAGATGGGCACCACGAACAGGCAACCAAACTGGCGTCGGTGGTTCGCGCCCATGAGGACTCTGGCGCCCGAAGAGAAGCCTGGCCCGATGATCTCCGGGGGTGTTGTGCCCAAAGAGGGCTGGGAGGGGATGTTGCGTCAGCATCCATCCACAACGAAGATACCGATTCAATCAAATGAGCCTCCGGTTGGGCTCAAAATGGCCCGCTCCGCCCATTCCCCACCCGTGATTTCGACTACTTCCGTCGTGTTTACTGGAGCCACGTTCAGGCTCGACTCTGTTCGCGAACTTTCCTGCCCAAGACCCACACTCCCGCTAATGCAGTCGGGCACCAATGAGGCCCGGCAACTGAACTGGGAACGGGTCCGGGAGCTCATGATGCAATTACCAAGCTGCGCAACGAACGCGATTGCGCCCGGCCGGTGAAAGAGCGCCCCCAGATCCTGGTCATGCCCGTCATGACTCACGATACGGGCGGACGGTGGAATGGTAAGCACGACGCGACAACTCAAGCGCGGGTAATGGTTTTGTTTCACCCTCCGACAAGGCCGGTCACCTCTTGATGGGCGACTCATCCTCAGCAAGCAACTCTCGAGCCGCTGCAATCTCAGTATCGCTGTAACCACCCCATCCACGCTCCTTTGTAGAGCTGCGGCGGACAATCTCAGCAAGTTTGGCCGTGGCCAACTCGTTCAGCCGCTCAAGGGTGTTTGTATCGGGCACCACGAACTCGTTGCCGTCGCCTTGTTTCGTCGGCTTGCTGCCATCGGCGAGCAGCCTTTTTGAGATCTAGGGAAATGTCAGCTGCCACGCTCGAGTCCTTGGCAACATGCTTCTTACCAGCTTCAGGCCGTAATAACCCCGGAGATAGTCGTCACACAGCTCGACACTTCGCGAGAAACGCTTGATCGCCTCGGCTAGGTACTGTTGATACGACCCATTGGCTACGCCCGGTGCGGTCGCGGCCATGAACTGCAGCTCGCCAAGTCGTGCGTGGATCTACAGTGAAGATCTGCATTAGCATAGGGCTGAGATTCTCGGTTCTCTGTGGGCTGCATACATTCCATGCGTTTGGGGCCAGCACGAGGACCTCCTCGATGGCGTAGATGGCCTGTGAGTACAAGCCCTGAGACAGGTAGATATCCGATAGTTCCGACCACGCCTCGGAATCGGTCGGGGAGAAGTCGAGAAGCTGCACCAGCGCCGATGCGGCTTCGGAGACGCGGCCCAGGGATCGCAAGAGCGCGATTCGCCTTTTCGCAACAGGCTGGGGGATCTCGGTTAGCTGTGGGACGTATGACAGATAGTCTGAAAGGAGGAAGGCGGGGACGCGAACAATATTGGTGTCATTCACGCTCAGTATTTGGTTGTACTCCTTCAGCACCTTCTCCAATTCGCCATCGTTTTGCGCCTCGGCTTCCTTGACCAAGCCCTGGAGTGCCTGAACCCGCTCGTTGTCATCACCGAAGCGACTGACAACCCGCCTCAGGGCAGCGTGCGCGGCCGTGTCGTCGCCCGTCCGCAAGCATGTCAGAATCAGGTTTTCGTACTGGAGCCAAAGCTCGGACTTCTCGGAGCCGTAGAGGAGGGTGTTGAGAGGTGATGAAGACACGGTCGCGGGAGAGCTTCGCAGAAACGCGGGAGCTTGCTGGGCCACGGCCAATGCGTCTGCCGGCGACAGCTGCGAGGCTGGTAAAAGAGTTGGAGGTGCCATTGTTGTTTTTGTCGGGTTGGTTGTTCTGTTTGATGATACGCGTCGATGGAATGGAGACCGTGTCGTTGATGAACTGCGAGGCTGCTTGCGGGAGTGTTGTGGATACTACGCAAACAGAAGAGCTCCTTTGCAGAAGCTCCCCTTTCCATCAAAACGATGGACAAGTGCCAAGGCTCAGCGCCCGAGCTGAACTGGAAGCTGGAGCCCGGGCCCGGGCCCGGCTCAAGTCCGGTCCGGCAGAGCGGTGTTAAATTCTTCCGCGCCCAAGCACAGTGCGAAACTGCCACAGTACCCAGCTTAGACACTGTCCCAACTCGACCCGCCGGCGTCCGTCCAGTGACGTGCTGCGCTGGAGCTTATTAGTTACCTAGTGAGAGAGCATCCTTACCACTAAACTTCGGCGGCCATTTCGAGGTTCCTCTCAGCGAGTCCCTGGAGGAGCGTGATACGTCTTCACCCCTTAGCATCCCCTTCAAGTTATAGGACTCTTCGACTTCGCACGGCACGATGCGCTTCATCCCCGCGCGTCCCATCATCTCCAACACCACACCTCCCCGCTAAACCCCGCCTAATCCCACGATCGCCCAGTGCTCTCTCAACATCAACAATAACTATCGATCCTCGGGCGCCGCGTTGAACACCCCCGAAAGTCTGGGCGGGACGGTGGAAATCGAGACATAATAAGCGTTGTAGTGGCCACTCACTTCGACCATGTGCGTTGGTTCGCCGTGTTTTGTGCGCTCCCTTAGGCCACGTGCTGATCGAATCCCCAACCTAGGTTCGAGAAGTCGCTCTACGACCTCATCCGCGGTCTGCGGAACCACAAGGGAAATGAGAAGGAATACATACAAAACTGTTTGAAGGAATGTCGCGCCGAGATTCGCAGCCAGGACATGGGTCGGTTCCCCGTAGTCCTCCCGCCTTGCAACGGCCCGCCAGGCTGACATGGGAGATACAGACGTCAAGGCGACGGCCTTGCTGAAGCTCGTGTACCTCGAGATGGTGGGCCATGACATGTCATGGGCTTCCTTCCACGTTCTCGAGGTCATGTCTTCGCAGAAATACCACCAGAAGCGAGTCGGATATCTCGCGGCTGTCCAGAGCTTTCGCCCAGACACAGACGTGCTCATGATGGCCACAAACCTGTTGAAGAAGGTGAGTACCCAGATGAGGACGGCCCTGTCTCTTTTTTGATCTTGGGCCAAACGTACACTGACTCCCCGTATCCTAGGATGTCGCCGGATCGCAACCGATCATCATCTCCCTTCCCGTCGCAGCGCTTCCCCATCTCGTAACGCCGTCACTCGCCATGTCGCTGCTTGGTGACCTGCTCCCACGCCTCAGCCACTCACACGCCGCCATCCGAAAGAAAACAGTTGTGACGCTATACCGGTTGGCGCTGGTGTACCCTGAGGCGCTACGTGCGTCATGGCCCAAAATTAAGGAGCGGCTGATGGACCCAGACGAGGACTCGAGCGTTACAGCAGCCATCGTGAATGTGGTGTGCGAGCTAGGATGGCGGAGACCACACGATTTCCTCCCACTGGCGCCCCGCCTCTTTGAGCTTCTGGTCGACGGTGGCAACAACTGGATGGCGATCAAGTTGATCAAGCTGGTAGGAGAATCCGGTTTTGTCCTCTGCTGCGATGGCACCCCTTATCTGGACTGAGACTGACCTTGCTGGCCCCGGAACAGTTTGCGACCTTGACACCCCTGGAGCCGCGTCTTGTACGAAAGCTGCTACCGCCATTGACAAATCTCATCCGGACCACGCCAGCGATGTCTCTTTTGTACGAGTGCATCAACGGGATTATCCAAGGCGGCATTCTTGGAGATGGAGAAGACTTTTCAGCCCGGGAAGAGGTGGCCTCCCTCTGTGTCACAAAACTCAGGGGGATGGTGTCCGCCCACAGTGACCCCAATCGTGCGTGAAGTTGATCCCCGCCTTAACTCGCAGAAAGTAGCTGACAAAAATTCCAGTCAAATACGTCGCCCTCCTAGCGTTCAATCGTATCGTCGTCACCCACCCCTTCCTTGTCGCGCAACAGGAGGACGTGATCCTAGAGTGTATTGATAGTGAAGATATCACGATCCGGATCAAGGCGCTCGATCTGGTTCAGGGCATGGTCAGCAGCGACAACCTCGTGTCGATTGTTAGCCGCCTGATGCGCCAGCTCAAAGCGTCCTCGGCCGCGCTAAACCAGCAAAACGGTGCAGAGGGACATGATGCGGAAACCGATTCGAGCGACGAGCAAGGCACGGCTTCCGGACGACGACGAAAGACATCAGAACGCACACCTCCGCTTCCGGATGATTACACCGTGGACGTGATCGGCCGGATTCTGAAGATGTGCTCTCAAGACAACTACGCCAACATGGCCGACTTCGATTGGTATCTTGACGTCCTGACTCAGCTGGTCCGAATCGCGCCCGCTCCTCGGAAAAGGGAGCTAGACGCCGACTCTTCCGTGTCGAAGCCGGTCAGCGATGTTTCCGAGAACATTGGGAACGAACTGCGGAATGTAGCCGTGAAAGTTAAGGCTGTCAGATACGCGGCCGTCCGAGCGGCCGAACTCGCCGTCGCCCGCATGGTGACGGAAATCTCCCCAACCCGCCAGGTAGTTCTCGGGGCGCTGAAACCCATCGCGTGGGTTGTTGGGGAGTACGCTTTCCAGTTATTATCAGCCGACGACACCTTGAGGTACCTTCTCGATCTGGTACCACGCATCGAGTACCCCGAGGCGCTCGCAACATGTCTCCAGGCGGTGCTAAAGCTTCTGGCTCATGTCGCCGGGGACGAGCAAGCACTGTGGACGGCGGAAAGGAAATCGAGCATTTCGTTGCTCATGGCCCGTGTTATCCACGTACTAGAGCCGTTCGCGCTGCACCCCTATCTAGAGGTCCAAGAGCGGGCTGTCGAGTTCACCGAGTTGCTAAAACTGACGGCCGAAGCAGCCGCCGGACAGGCACCGTCTTCGGATGAAATCCAGCAAGATCCGCCGCTGCTTCTCACGCAAGCGATCCCATCACTCTTTGCCGGGTGGGAGCTGAACTCCGTAGCCGCTGGCACGCAACAGAACGTGCCAGTTCCTGATGATCTTGATCTCGACGAACCCATCCATCCGGACCTCAACAGGCTCCTCTCACAGGCCGACTCGTTGATGCTCCCGACACAAGGTGACGACGACGAGTTTGAGACGTACTACAGCCAGAAAGCAGCTGCGACAAGCATGGCCAGCGAGCCAGCGATAAACAGACTGCTAGACGCCCCAGAAGAGGTGACGCCGAGCTCGTCCTACCAGCAATCCGAAGAGAGCTATCTCGACCCGGACATCGTGGCACGACGCAAGGCGGAACGCATGGAGCGGTACCGCGACGATCCATTCTACATCCCGGACTCGACCGCGTCCGGCGGCCGGTCCACCCCTATCCACAACATTCTCCAGAAAGAAAACGGGCCGGACCTCGACATCGATTCCATCCCGATCATGCAGCTCGACCTGAACCCATCCGGCCGCGCCAGTCCCGCTAGACAGCAGCAGCAACAACAACAACAACAACAACAGCAACAACACCGACAATCCCCCAAACCCAAACCCCGCCAACGCATCGTCGTAGCCGCCGACGAAACCCTCGGCTTCAACAGCGGCAGCCGCCCATCCACCCCGCGCCTCTACGACTCCGAAACAACCACTAACACCACCACCGCCACAGCAGCAGCAGCTAAAAAGCTCAAGCAGCAATCCCTCCTCCAAATCAGCTCCTCCCACATCAGCGATCTCAGCATCATCGACAGCGCCAGCGCCAGCGCCAGCGGGAATGGAACTAGTAGAACAGGAGCAGCATCAGCAGCAGGACTAGCACAACACCACGAGCAACAGCAGCGCGAAGAAGCCGAGATGGCACAGGCGCTAAAGGAAGTCCAGCGGTTGCGGCTGGAGATGCAGCGGGCAAATGAGCGGATCCAGGTGGCGCAGGGTGTGCCGGTGGAGGGGGTGGTGGTGAGTAGTAAGAGGAAGAAGAAGAAGAAGACGACGGCGACGAAGCCGGGGGAGAAGTCTGAGGGGGGGAAGAGTTCTGCTGCTATTGCTGGGACGGGGTCAGTAGTGACGGGTGCAGGGGAAGCGGATGGAGGAGGAGAAGGTAAAGCTGTGGGGGTGCCGGCCGTGAAGAAGAAGAAAAAGAAGGTTGTCAAGGCGGAGGAGCCGGGGTCGGGGCTGGAGCTGGGGCCGGGGGCGGCTGGGGAAGGGGATGAGCAGCAGTCGGTGGTGAAGGCGAAGCAGAAGAAGAAAAAGAAGGTGGCGAGGGTGGTGAAGTTGGATGAGGGAGAGGGTGAGTAGACGGGTAGATTGGTGTGTCTGCGTGTGTGTTGGTGAAGCTGGATGGATAGGAGGAGACAGTAAAGTAAACAGAGCGAGCAGGCAACTGAGAATGGAAGAAGTGGTATAATAGTCGAGTTTAGACGTGGTGAAGTCGCGCAGTGAATTCTCCGACTAAGCCCATCAATTAGACGGTTATACCGTATTCTCGGCAAATAGCTTTCCCCCTTCGTAACAACCCCACCTTTTTTTTCTTTTCCCCCTTTCTCTCATCTCGTGCTATATGCTACATCACAACCACCCCCCCCTCAACCGCCCCGCCAAAAACTGCATCATCGGCAACGCCTCCTCCCGATCCCGCGGCATCCCATCCCCACTCCGCTTCCACCGCACTACGTTAACCTCTGCAAACTGCTCCCGCACCAGTTCCTCTTCATCCTCATCGAAGGTGTCACTGTCCTGGCTGCAGAGGACTAGTACGGGTGTGCTGCTACGGTTGTTGCTGGGGTTGTGGCTGGGGATCATGGAGGGGGGCAGAGGTCCGGCGAGCGAGACGATGCCTTTGAATGCTGCTGATCCTGCTGCTTCTGCTGCTGATCCCGGTCCCGATCCCGATCCTGATCCTGATCCTGATCCTATACCGGTACTTGCACTCGTACCCCCCCTCACCCAACTTCCCAACCCCAACGCCACCGACCCCCCCTGCCCAAACCCAAAAAGCAGTATATCCCTCGTTTCCCAACCGCATTTGCCCACGAGCACTTCGCCGATGAGCTTGTCGGTGATCCAGCTTCGGGCGAGGGTGAAGCCGGGGTCGGGGTCGATGGCGGGATTGGTACTGCTGCTGTTCCTACTACTGCTGCGTGAGGAGGAGGAGGAGGTGTCTGGGGTGAAGGTGAGGTCGTCGCCCCAGTGGTAGGCTTGTTGTTGAGGGTGATTTGGGGGTTGTTGTTGTTGTTGTGAGTTGGGGAGGAACAGGGCGGGGAGCGAGGAGAGGCCGCGGACGGAGATGGCGAGGACGTTGGGGAGGGAGAGGGTACGGGCTAGGGAGGTGAAGGGGACTAGATGAGGTTAGTTAGTGATTGGTTTTTGAGTTGGTGTATAATGGTGGGTTATATGTGCTGTGAGATGCGGGAAGAGTATCCGTAGAGGGACAAATGGTTATGATATATATGACGCAAAAAGGACGGATAGACTTTGGCGATGAATGATGATGATGATGAGTGTGATGAGTGAGATGGACGCGGCAACTATGAGAAACATCACACACCCTCGGTATCACCTAGCCCATGAAACAGCAACATCAACGCGGTCGTCGATTCAGGCGGGTTGGGGTAAACCAGCGAGATGGGACTAGTCCCCGTCGGGCCGTAGGTCGGATGCGACGGGAGGATGGAGGCAAAATCTTCTTCTTTTGGGATGCGTGTTGGTGGCATGTTGGTTTCTTTCTTTCTTCTTTCTTTTTCGTTTCTGTCCTTTTCGCTTTCGATTTCGTTTTCCTTCTCCACTTGTTTCTTTCGTGATTCGGATCTTCTCTTGAATTTATGGCCTTTGTTAATTTGAGATATTTCGTGTGAGCCGGTGTATTGCGAGATGTTCGGACATCTGCAAGTGTTTTTGTGTGTGACAAGAACTGCCAATTGTGATGAGTGAGGGAAGTGGATGAGACAGGGTATCCGTACGTTACTATATGTGTATCCGTCTTGAAACGAAGCGGGGTGAATGACGCCGTCTTGGCAACGGTGCTCCGGGTTAAGTGGGGCCGGTTCATCGGGCCCGGAGCTGATTTGTTTTCGGATTCCCTATTCAGGGTGTAGTTGATCGTTAGATGAACGTTGGTCTAGGTAATAACGGAAACTCTGGGGCCAAGCCACTTTGCAATGTTTTAGTTTTGTCTAAGGCACAGGTGTGACTGGGTTTATGTTTATACGTATAATGTAATGTACCGTCTACTAATCCAAGTACTCCAAAAATACCTACCATCAAACGCTCATCCAAACGCCGCTGCTCCAAAATAACAAAACCCCATCCCCCCCAAAGCCCTCACCTCACCAGCGAATCCTCCTCTTCCCAACCCCGCCTCCTCCTCCTCACCCTCGACGGCCCCGCCACCATTTGCTCCCACTGCCCGTCTTTCCCCCACACCCCCGCCCGCGTATAATCCCCCCTCTGACTCCCTTGCATCCACGCAAACCGGAAATACTCCGGCACCCCCCCTGCCACACCCGCTTCCACATCATCATCATGGTGGCGGTCGTCCCTCACCCACGTCACATTGTTCACTACGGCCCCCGCGTTGTCTTCCTGGCTGTCGTAAAAGTACTGCCGAAACCGCTCCACATCATTCACCAGGACGCTGATGCCGTCATACGCGCTCGGGGCTGGATCCCAGGTGAAAGTGATGCTGCTGCTGTTGGTGTTGCTGCTGGCGTTGCCACCAAGGATAATCTCCGGCGTGCGGATAACGGGCAGCGGGGAATCGAGGGGCGCGTCGCCGCGGAGCTCGTAGGCGGTCTGCAGCACGGAGCCGAACCCCCAGCGGGCGATACCGTTGATGAAGAGGCCGATCAGGAGGCCCTGGTAAAGCAGCGACGGGCGGGTCTGGATGGCGGTGCCCGGTAAGAGCAGCAGGGCGAGGACGAAGTGGTGGATGCGTAGGCTGAAGTTGGGGAGGGCGACACCGATGACGATGGCGAGGATGAGAAGGGCGTATAAGGCGAGGTTGCGGAGCAGGCGGGCTTCTTGGCGGAAGAAGTAGATTTGCGAGACGGAGATGGCCAGGAGGATGAGGATGATGATGGCGAGAGCGGCGCGGGCGCCCGGTTGTTGGTTGAGGTCGTGCGGGGTGAGGCGGTTGATGGGGATGAAGTCGAGGGTGTAGTTGGTCAGGGCGCCGACCCAGGCCGCGCCGAGCCAGAGCACCGTCTTCTCGACCTGCGCCGTGAGGCCCTTGAGTGTGCGGCGGACCCCCATCTTGTCGTACATGACCCAGCCGACGAACATGGCCGGCAGGAACTGGGCGATCTCGGTCGAGATGAGCGAGGGGATGTCGCTGTGGGTGGGCGCATCGGTGGCCATGCCAACGGTCCAGAAGAGTACCGTGAAGACGGGGAAGTAGAAGAGCGCGGGCGAGGTGACGAAGAGCGAGAAAACGGCGGTGAACACGACAGAGATGGCCAGCAGCGACCAAACCACGTCCCGGGCATCGCACTGGACGTCCGGCTCGAAGCTGAACGACAGCGGGAAGTACGAGTCAAAGCCAATGCTGGTGATGCCGTTCCGCGTCGTGCTGTTGAAGTTGACCGCTCGCCCGATCAGCTTCACCACCCCGCAGCCCCCGTTGGCGTTCGAAATCACCCCCGCGTGGATCGCTGAACCGCAAATAAACGAATCGCCGCGGTACACCGCCGTGTCGTTCACCCCGTGCGCTGGCCCCCCTCCCGCCTCTTCCGGCGGGCCTCCAATGACCAGCTGTTGGTAAAGAATCTCCTGGTCCCCCACGGCGCGCGGGTTCAACACTTGGTAACTCGCACAGTTCGCGGGACACCGGAAGGCGAAGCCACCATCCGAAAACGGCCGGCAGTCCACGCCGTCCAGCCCGCACCCGTTCCCAGACGCCCAGTACGTCGACCCGCACCCGATCTGCGTCGGCGTCCCCCACGTCGGGATCTCGGCCGCGGTCAACCCGGCGCGCATAACCAGTGCGAAGGCCACCAGCCAGACGGCCCAGAAGATAAACACCGCCAGTCCCCGGTGGCGCTTGCGCGGGAGGAACTTGTCGACCAGGACGATGGGAGCGTGCTGGACGAGCGGGAAGAGAGGGTCGATATGGTACCGACGTGGGGGTTGTGGGCCCTGGGCCCAGGTTGCGCCGGCTTTGATGAGGCGGCGGACGGGGTATGGGACCCATTTGAAGCGTTTCCAGGAGCCTTCGTCTTGAATGAAGCGGGGGGTCGGCGGGGAGCTGTCGGGTTCGAGGTCCTCGACTACTACGGGGGGCGCTGCTGTCGAGTCTACTGAGGGGGCATCTTGGATTGGGGCATCGGGGTGATTGTGGTTGTCCGTGGTGGTTGCTACGGAAGCCTCGGGATCTACGGGAACGGCGTGCTGCTGCTCGCTGGTGACATCGCGGGTGTGGGATTGGGCCGTGGTGTCGCCCATTTCGAATTGGGGGCCTTCCCGTGTCAATTGAGGGATACCAAAGGCCTCAGATTGTGCTCAAAACTCGAGTTCGAAGGTTGGTTTTGAAAACCGCCAAGACAAGAGAGCAAGCGAGTGGAATGATGAATCAGACAATAGACATTGACTGCCTGAGCATGGTTTAGGTCTCGGATGAAAAGCAAAACGACATACCCCTCCGGGGAGCGAAGAAGAAAACAATGGTCACATTGGACTCTGTCAATAAGAAGTCAGGTGCAATTGGAATGGAATTGGCCCGAGAACACGGGAAAGGCTGGAGTTGCAGCTCGGCCGCCTGTGCCGTTCACGTTATCGATACGAGGGCAACAGGGGGAAGGGCCTGTGAAACCCACTGATCCAGGCACGGGGAGGGGCTGAGGCTTCGCCTTGCAGGGCGGGCGTGGGGTTAGACGAAAAGGGCAAGGAGCGCGTCGGCTCGCGGGGTACGCCCCGATAGTTGGGTGGCACGGGCGTAGCCTGCTCGTACATAATACATTACACGAGGTATGCAAATACCGGGATGGGAGGACTCATCTCGTGCCTGGTCTTTCCTCTTTTGGCCATTGGGCTCTTGTACATACATAGTAGGTACATACATAGCTGCTTGAGGCAGAGACACAAACAAATTCCCCAAATACACTACACAAATCGCGAATGCCGGAGCTCGCCATTTCGAGCACGTCCAGCCAAGCAACACAACGGGTTTTCAAATGTTTCAGACGTTTGCCACCTTTCATCGGATTTAACCGGACTTGGTCAAGGCTAGCGGCCACGAGACGCAGGGTTCAGCACCAGAGACGCGGGCCCATCAGCCCACTGAACCCCTGAACCACAGGCCCAGTCCGGGGGAAAATCTCGCTAAAAGTGTTCGGGATCGACACCCGACAGACCTCACGGCTCGCTACCGTCTCAAGCATGACGGCCGACGGGGAACCACACGACCGGGAAGCGGCCGCGATGGGATTCGAGGTGCTCAAGGGTACGCTACGAGATGGCGTAGGTGCGCGTCTCGGGCGTCTGGCCATTGCGGGGCGCGCTCCCATCGACACGCCCAATTTTATCGGCGTCACATCGAGGGGCACGCTCCCACATCTCACTCCGGACAACATCACCCGGCATTTGCAGACGAAAGGGGCGTATATGGCCCTGGAAGATTGTAAGCTGTTGTTGTGTGGTCTCGAGAATTGGACTCATAGGGTCTCAGGCTAACTAATTCTTCTAGTCATTGAGAAGCCACAGCACCATCCCAAGAGGATACCGCCCGTCTACCAAACGCCCACCGCTCCTGCAGGTGCTCCCTCTCCAGCTGGCCATGTCTCTCAACCGACCCCCCGCTTGCACGCCTTCACTGCCATGCCCCGCTCTGTCACCACCGTCCTCGCCGCCCGCCGTCTGCCCGCCGTACCCGCGCCCTCGGGCAACACCAACAAATCCATCTCCGTCTTCACCTCTACCGGCTTCCAGGCCGTGACCACGCAGGACTACCTCTCGGCCGTCACAGCCTTGTCTCCAGACATCGCCATCCCCCTCGCCGACCTGACCCATAGCACCGACACGCCGAGTTCCAAGCGCGCCCTGCGCATGGCCGAGCGGACCGACGAGTGGATCGTCGAGTGGTTCGCCTCGCTCCAGACCCGGGGCCGGACTAGCACGACGACGACAGCTACCTTTGCCCCCATCCTGCCTGTCCCCTACCCGATCCAGTGGGAGTACATCTCCCGCCTAGCCGAGGACTATGTCCCGACGGGCCAGCTAGCCGGCCTGGCCGTGCACAACCCGGATGTCCTCCGCGACGTGGCCGAGCACTACCCGTCCCTACTCCCTCTCCCGCGCTTGTCGCTATCCACCCCGCCCACACCGCACCACATCCTCCGCCAGATCTCCCGAGGCGGTATTGATCTCTTCACCATCCCGTTTATCAACGCCCTCTCCGACGCCGGCCTAGCTCTGTCTTTTACCTTTCCTCCTCCTCCGCTCACATCAGAAACACAACCCGAGACCCAGACACAGACACAGACACAGACACAAACGACAACAACCACAACCACAAAAACAACCCGCCTCCCCCTAGCAATCGACCTCTCCGACCCCGTCCACGCCTCCTCCCTCGCCCCCTTAACCTCACTCTCCACCTGCCCCTGCTACGCCTGCACCGCCCACCACCGCGCCTACGTTCACCACCTCCTGCACGCCCGCGAAATGCTCGGCTGGACCCTCCTGCAGATCCATAACCACGCTGTGGTCGCCTCCTTTTTCCAGGGCGTGCGCGACACGTTGCTACACGGTCCTTCTGAAAGCTCTACAGAATCAGGCAGTCACAACAATTCCAACTTCAACTCCAATGATGGGAATGGAGGGAATGGTAGGGATGAAATAGAGAGGCAAGAGACATTCGACCAAGCCATGGCGCGTTTTACACAGACGTATGAGGTTGATTTCCCCGAAGGTGCGGCGGAGCGGCCCAGGGCGAGGGGGTATCAGTTCAAGAGTGTTGGCGGTGGGGAAGGGAAGAGGAATAAACCGGCTTGGGGGAGGTTTGATGGGGCTGATGAGGGGGGGGAGGGGGGTCTTGATGGAAACGGAGGGAGGGATAAAGAGGGCGGAGAGAGTGGGTGAGAGATGGATGGGTGTTTATAGCATGGTGCTTACGAAAATAGAGGAGTTTAGGTCTGTAGAATGGATAGATGATGACATTAATGAATGGGGAATACCCCGCTCGGATAAACGAGAACAGACAGAGGCGGTATTTAGTCGCAAAATTCATTCCACGACTTCACTACGTCTAAACTCGACTATTATACCACTTCTTTGCATTCTCAGTTGCCTGCTCGCTCTGTCTTGCTTTGCTTTGCTTTGCTTACTATCTCTTCCCACCCCGCTTTTACAGACACACTAATCTACCCGTCTACTCACCCTCTCCCTCATCCAACTTCACCAGGTCCAAGGGTGGAAGGATTTTACCTTTTGGCTCCATCTAGGTACATAGCCTACAGCGATATCCTTGATCAACGGCTTGGAGCGTTTATACCTTAGGTAGGTACTTCGGTTTCATTTTTCATTTATCATCCGACCTGCGGCAGTCTATGCTAATTCCAACCAGCGGATGCAACTTCCAACAACAACCCTAACTACCCGCCAATACGGCCTGCGTACATATATCCATACCCGTCACGCCCCCCGCGTCCCCCAAAGCTTCAATACTACTCCATTTGGACCACAGTGGCAGTCCCGCTGACGACCCACGCCTTCTTGGCGGCGTCCTTCACGATCTTGTACTTCACGGTCTTCTTGTCGGACCCCATGACAAAGTAGTTTCCTGCCTTGTCCTGGGTGAGACTGTGCGACTTCCCGCTGATCTTGCACTTGGTGTAGGCCTTCGGCTTGCTGGCCGGGGAAGGGGTGGTCGTCGTAGGGTGCGCCGCGGGGGTCTTCTTCTTCGGCGCCGGCGCCGGCGGAGTGCCGGTAGGCGTGCCGAGGTCGAGATTAGCCATGTTCTGCGTCAGGCTGGGAACGGGCGGGACCCCGCCGACGAAGTCCCTGGTCGGGCTCTTGCCGCTGGCCTCGTCGGTGTGGAGGGTGACGCCGGGCTTGAGCTTGCCCCAGCTGTCGGCGCTGAGGATACGCTGGGAAATGACGTTGGTGAAGGTCTTCTTGGCTTCGTCCTCAACCCACCCACCAGGTGAGCTTGGCCATATACGGGAGCGCGGCGCCGTTGGGGCCCTCAGTGTTGCGGTGCGCGTCGTTCATGCCCATGCAGCCAAGCGCCCAGATAGCTAGGTGCGCCGTCAGCTTGCCGTGGCCGTAGGCCGACCAGGGGATGCTGCGGTACTCGATGGCGGCGGCGGGGCGGCTGCCCGTGCCAGGAATGCGCCGGACGCGCATGGCCACGAGCTCGGTCTGGGCGATAATGTGGCCGTATCGCGTCTCGCCGTAGCGGCAGTAGGTGGCCATCTGCTTCAGGGGGTTGATACGCTCTGTGTTGACTTTCTTTGTCTTTTGGACGGGCAGGGCTGATGTGCCAGGCATATGATAGGGCTGGTCCGTATCGACAGTGCAGTCAGAGTCCCTAAGACTTAGCCAGGATGACTTCCATTTCTGCTTGAGCTTACTATCGCCAATGGCATAGACGAGAGGCTTTAGGGGGTCTTGGTGATGGCTGTACCGGTACTTCTTTGTGATGGTACGGTCCTGGACGGTCCAATCGGGGTTCATACTAGACGCCGAATCATCTTCGTATTTCCACGACATGGCTTTAGATGCAAGTGTCGGGTTAGGTACGTGTGCCAGGTGGGCGGTTGCCATTCCCTTCCGCTTGCGGAGGATAGCGCTAGCCGCCTTAAGGGGCTGCCTTTCGATGTTACAGGACCATACAATACCTAGCATATCGACGTTATGCTCGGTGACGATTTCCGTCGGTGTAGTACTAGGCGTTGCAACGGACTTATATGGGTAAAGTCCTTCCACTCTTGAACATGGGCCCTGGGCCCATCATCAAGAGTAACCTCATCGAAGCGGGTTGAGGTGGTATTTTTGTAGCTGGAACCAGCCCAGTGGTCGATAATTTTCGGGTTCTCACGCTGCAGGACCTCGAGGATGGTAGGCATGATAACGGCAGGGGAGTGTGTAAAACTGTGGAATAGTAAAGACAATGTGGACCACAATAGGATAGATGTGTGTTGGCTCGGGAGGTCGATAGGTTGCATGGAACGGAACGGGTATGCTTAGAGTTTGAGCCACGGAAAGATAACAGCCGGCTCTGGCCCCTATATAAGTAGCAGTTGCGGTCGCGACACGACACGTAGCGGGCCCGGCGCTATATTCATCAGTACGATCCAAAATAGATTTCGACAAGGCTCGGTACAGCGAGGTTGACGTGGCCGAGCCGGCGACCTCGTCTGTTCCCCTTTGAGACCCGGGGCCCGGGACTCAGGCCAGGGTCTTCGGGGCCCGGTATCGACGCCGCCGCCCTCATCCGCATATAGCATATGTTTTGGAAACACAGAGGAAACACTTGTTGGGTAGCTAGTGCCGTCTTCCCATTGGACCTTCGTTTTGGGTTGGCCAACACATGTTACAACTTGAAGTTACAACTCACACCAGCTAGTACACATGGTACATCCGGCAACATGTCCAGCCCCTGGGCCGTTGGTTCTAGCGCAGCCCAACGTACCTTAAAGGTGGTCACAGTCCGGATAGTGTGACCCAAAACTGTGGTCGCTCGGTCGACTTTGTCTCATATTTGGGCGGCTCGGCCGGTGCCGCGGCTCTGTCGGCTCTGGCCCAACCCCGTTTGGGGTCCGGATTGATTGTGGGGGCCGGAAGAAAACAGGATGGAACAGGAAATTGAAGAGGAGAGAGGGGAAGCAGCTAGGTAGAAAACAAACTCGAAAAGGGGCAAAGCGGAGGGGAAAACATAGACGGACAATTCCAATTGTTTGGAAATAGTGGGTAGGTTAGGTCGAGGTTAAGTCGGCGGTGGTATCAAAAAAAAGAACATTTCCGTATACGTTGTATGGGTATAAATTGGTTATTTACAAGGGCTTCCCGCCGATAAAGTCGGACCACCGGCGCACCTCGGAGGGGATCCCTTCTGGCCGGGGCAGCTTCTCGCTCATACACTGCGCAAAGAGCATGGCCGTCTGTATAATTTGTTTTTCACAGAAGTTAGCAGCTGTTACAGGAGTTACAGGTGATGGATATACATGTTAAGGGAAAGGGATAGGGTAAACAAACCTGAGGCTCCATAAACAAGGGCACGCCAAAGTCGACGGCGTTGCGGCGCATGACGTAGTCGACGTCCATGACCGTCTTGCCGCGGGCCCGGGCCAGGTTAAACACGCCCTTGATATCATACTTCTTGAACACCTCGCGCAGGGCGCGCTTGTCCTCCTTGGGGAACTCAATCACCTCGACAGCGACGTTCTTGTGCTTGGTCGTCGACTCGAGGAACTGCTTGACCTCTTGGTCGGCCGCGTACAGCTTGTATCCCAGGGGCGCGAGGTAGTCGACGACGGTGGTCAGCCAGCGGGTGTCGCCGAGCTCGCCGCCGAAAAGGAGGCCCTCACCGGGCTCGGGCACGCGGAAGTTCATGGCGGACTGCAGGGAGGCCCAGTAGGCGTCGACGAGGTTCTTGCCGAAGCAGGCCATCTCGCCCGTGGAGGACATTTCGACGCCGAGGAACGGGTCTGCGCCGGCTAGGCGGGTCCACGAGAACTGTGGGACCTTGGTGGCGAGGTAGTCGCGCGGGACGGTCATTAGGTCGGTCGGGGGCGGAACGTTCTTGCCGACGAGGGCTTTGGTAGCGACGTCGATGAAGTTGGTGCCGAGGACCTTGCTGACGAAGGGGAATGAGCGGGAGGCACGCAGGTTGCATTCGATGACCTTGAGCTGTGGCTCGCTCGCACCGGTTGGGTCGTTGACTTTGATGATTTGCATGTTGAAGGGCCCTGTGATCTGGAGGGCCTGGGCAATCTTCTGCGCGATCTCCTTGACACGGCCCATGGTGGTCTCGTCCAGCTTGGCGGGCGGGAGCACGAGCGTGGCGTCGCCCGAGTGCACGCCGGCCTGCTCGACGTGCTCACTGACGGCGTGGACGATCAGGTTGCCGTCGGACGCGACGCCGTCGAGGTCGATCTCTTCGGCGCCTTCGATGAACTTGCTGATGACCACGGGGTGGTCGGGCGACACGCTGGACGCGGCCTCGAGTTTGTCCTTGAGCTCGTCCTTGCTGCGGATGACGGTCATGGCCGCGCCGGACAGCACGTAGCTCGGCCGGACTAGCACGGGGTAGCCGACCTGCTCGGCGAATTTCTCGGCCTCCTGGACCGACGTCAGCTCCTTCCACGCCGGCTGGTCCACGCCGATGCTGTCGAGAATCTCGGAGAACTTCTGCCGGTCCTCAGCCTTGTCGATGTTGCGCGGGTCCGTACCCAGCACGTTGGCCCCGCCGGCCTCCTGTAGCCGGAGCGCGATGTTCTGTGGCAGCTGGCCGCCCACCGACACCACAACGCCGCTCGCGTTCTCGAGGTCGTAGATGTCCATCACCCGCTCGTAGCTCAGCTCTTCAAAGTAGAGCTTGTCGGCCGTGTCGAAATCGGTGCTGGCCGTCTCGGGGTTGTAGTTGATCATGACCGTCTTTTGTCCCATCTCCCGCAGGGCCACGGTCGCACTGACGGCGCACCAGTCGAACTCGACAGAGCTGCCGATACGGTAGACACCGCTGCCGAGCACGACAGTGCCCTTGTCCTCGAACGTGACATCGTGCGACGAGGCGTTGTAGGTGGTGTACAGGTAGTTGGTGTCGGCGGGGAACTCGGCGGCCAGGGTGTCGATCTTCTTGACCCAGGGGCGGATGCCAAACTCGAGACGGCGGGCGCGCACCTCGTCCTCGGTGCTGTTGACGGCTTGGGCGATCTGACGATCCGAGAAGCCCATCTTCTTGGCCTTGAGCACCTGCTCCTTCTTGAGCACCTGCAGGCTGCCGACCTGCTGCAGTTCGCGCGTACACTCGACAATGTTCTGCAGCTTGTACAGGAACCACTTGTCGATCTTGGTCAGGTCGTGCACGCGGTCGACCGAGTAGTTCTCGTGCAGCATGGCCTGGCCGACGGCGAGCCAGCGGCGGTCGGTGGGGTTCTGCAACTCCGAGTCGAGGTCGGCAAACTTCTCGCCCTGGAAGCCGACGAAGCGCGGGTCGACCTGGCGGATGGCCTTCTGGAACGACTCCTCGAACGTACGGCCGATGGCCATGACCTCACCCACGGACTTCATGGCGCTGCCGATGTCGCGCTTGACGTGCTGGAACTTGGAGAGATCCCAGCGCGGGATCTTGGTGACGATGTAATCAAGCGACGGCTCGAAGTTGGCCGTCGTTGTCTTGGTTACCGCGTTGGGCAGCTCCGGCAGGCTGTGACCGAGGCCGATCTTGGCCGCCGTGTACGCGAGCGGGTAGCCAGTTGCCTTGGAGGCCAGCGCGGACGAGCGGGAGAGCCGGGCGTTGACCTCGATGACGCGGTAGTCGAGGCCATCGGGCTGAAGCGCGTACTGCACGTTACACTCGCCCACGACCCCCAGGTGCCGCACGATCTTGATAGCGGCCGACCGCAGCATGTGGTACTCCTCGTCGCTCAGGGTCTGGCTGGGCGACACGACGATGGAATCCCCCGTGTGGATGCCCAGGGGGTCGAAGTTCTCCATGTTGCACACCGTGATGCAGTTGTTGTTGGCGTCGCGCACGACCTCGTACTCGACCTCCTTCCAGCCCTTAAGCGACTTCTCGACCAGGATCTGAGGCGACAGCGTGAGCGACCGGGCCGCCATGTTACGCAGCTCCTCCTCGTTGTTGGCAAACCCGGACCCCAACCCGCCGAGCGCGTACGCAGCACGTACAATGATCGGGTAGCCGATCTTGGAGGCCGCATCGAGCGCCTCGTCGACCGTGTTGACCGCGATGGACTTGGCAATCGGGATGTTGATCTCGTCGAGGGCCTTGGCGAAGAGGTCGCGGTCTTCCGACAGCTCCAGCGTCCTCACGCTAGTGCCAAGCACGCGGACGCCGTACTTCTCGAACAGCCCGAGCTTCTGCATTTGCACGCCCAGGTTGAGCGCGGTCTGGCCGCCAAACGACAGGAAGATGCCGTCCGGCTTTTCCTTCTGGATCACATACTCGACGTACTCGGGGGTCACGGGGAGGTAGTAGACCTCGTCGGCGAGCGCGTGGTTCGTCTGGATGGTGGCGATGTTGGGGTTGATGAGTACCGAGGCTACGCCGGCCTCCTTCAGGGCCTTGAGGGCTTGTGAGCCTGTTTGAGGGAGGGGACCATACTTGTTAGCCTCCGAAAGTCTTCCTCTTTACCTCCGTATGACTCATTGTTCAAGTCCACGACAGAGAACAGAACATACCAGAGTAGTCAAACTCTCCAGCCTGGCCAATGGCAAGACCACCACTGCCAATAACAAGCACCTTCTTGACGTCGATGTGCTCCCTCGGTTTTACCACCCCGCTCGAGAGGTATGCCTTCGGGTCCGGCGCGGGCTGCGCAGTACCACTCGCGAGGGCCCGGGATGCGGAGAAAAGCCGTTTCTGACTCAACCGGGCGCTCGGCGAAGCGGTTTGTGTGCGGAAGGGAGCGGGAGTGGTCTGGGGAGCAGCAGTCAAGCTGCTCAGTTGTGACGATGCCACGGGCACGCGGCGACCATGGCGGAGGACGGCTGGGGCGCGGCCCGCCTTGTAGACGGCCGACAACATGGCTCGAACGAACGAAGGGGAGGAGGATGGGGAGAAAAGCGACCTCGGAACCAAGCGACCGACCCTTCTTTATTCCTCTTGTTTCAAGGCCGTAGACAGCACTCCGGTCCTTCGTTGTCGTCAATTGACAGTGTCGCGTGCCGTCCCGGCCTGTTTTGGTGGAGTTGCGTAACTGGGTGGGAGGGAAACACAGGTCGGGAATTCGTTATGGATTATGACAAAGGTTGAGGTTCGCGATCGACCGGGCCAAAAAAAAAGAAGGGGAATCGACCGGGGGTGGGGGGACCGATAAACACTTCCGATAAGCTGTGACTCTTCTGTTCCGTCGAAATATTTTGCACCCTCGACCCCAGTGCGGCCGCAAAATTTTTCATAGTGCTGGCTGGCTGGTGCAGTGACTGTTCCGAGGCCGGAGACATGAGAGACGGCAAGCTTGGGCCCAAATTTGTTCAAAGTTTACGGTGTTGAAATGCATGCAACCTCGAAGGGGAGTCCAGACGAGCTTTTATATGAATAAGGCATGTTTATTCTTTTCCTCTACAGAATTACTATCAACCCAGTTTGCACCGGTAGTTGTGTTGCAATACGCCTTGTAACAGCTCAAGAAATCAGGCCATTCTCGCATGGAAACCCAATTCTTTTTTCCCAGAAGAACATCTCGTGGCCCCAGATGCCCCAAAAGAATTGGATCGGGACCGGGGCTTGACAGGTTGCAGTGGACCCCGCAGTATCACACCCCGGCCCCGCCCGGACAAAAGCTGGAATGTCTTCGATTGGCCAATTCGACCGATTCGACGCTGGCGGTGAAGCGAAGCTCGGACGAAAGAAATTTAAGGTTGAATCAAGGCCGGCCGAGAGAAAGCAGACTCAGCAGAGACATTTTATCCTTTGGGGAATACTCAGTAGGGAGGTCGGGTATTTGGGAACCGCCTGGTGGGGTAAACATCGAGTCAAACATCTGATAAAGGACTCTCCTGAGCCTTTGCAGCAAACATCTTTCAGTGTTGCTAACTTGGTACAAGTAGCGAGAACTACGAAGGGCGTGCATATGGTATTAGGAGCAAAAACTACTACATACCCGAGACTCACATACGGACACCTGGACATGATGTTAGTTCCCATTCTTTCGTTCTGCCCCGGAAATAAATTCATCCAGCAAGGTTCCCGATATCGACCTCGAGCTGTCGGGAATGGGTTGGGCTGACGTCCAGTTTAAAACAGTCAATCGGGGGTAGGGTTAGGGTTAGGGTTATGACTTTCACTGTATCATATCTTCGAGCGTGTTATGATCTTTGAATCATACAGTTATCATTGATATATTATCTCGCTAGTACCTGATCGAGGGAGTACATACATTCGCCTAATCGAGCAAAACTTGGGTACCGGGCAAGTCGGGCAAGAGTCCTCTTGCCACTGACTCTCTGTAAGCCCAGACAGACCGTGACTAATGCCACCTTCCCACATACCCCACCTGCCTGGTGCATCCATGATGATGAGACGAGGGGTCCTCGTCTTGGGGGGTGTGGGGGTGTCTGTCGTTCGCCCCTCAACCCCTCCAAACACCCCGCGGGCGGCTTTCTGTTCCAAGAGACGCCACGCCGCAACCTACTGATCCATCCGTTGGAACCGGACCTGGCCTGAATTGACATAAAACTATCACCCCACCTTGCCTTTGCCTCGCCTTCGTGTTCCCGTTCTTCTCTTTCCTCCTCCGCATCTTCCCTCCAGCTCTGCCCTAAGTTTCTACCTAGGTACCGCAGCCTTTTCAAAACTTTTGTTTGACCTGAGCTCCTTTCCTTTCGGACGTACACCTGAACCAACCTTTCAGAACACCCGACCGAACACAGCGATCATGGGCTACACCGACGTCGACAGGCTCGCGATCAACACGATCCGCGTGCTGGCGGTAAGTTTTGCTTCCATTGCTTGGCTTTCGCTCGCCTTTGCCCCTCTCTCCCAACAAACCGAGCAAGAACCCCGCCCCCGCCAAAAATCGAGCGCGTTCTGGCTGCCCCACCAAGCGACGGTTATTTTCGAGACAGCTCTTTCTTCGCGGCACGGCACGGCATTGAGGTGTCGCGAAGTTTTGGGAATGGCAACAAAAGGAATCATTTGCTGACAGATTTTACTCTGACATAGGCCGATGCCACTGCCCATGCTAACTCGGGCCACCCGGGTGCCCCAATGTGAGTTCTCTTTCTCCATGTCCTCTGTCCCCCGATCGCGCGCCGGATATCCATGATGGACCGGGATAGCCGCCGATTCCGGAATATTACCCGCTAACTCGGACCAGGGGCATGGCTCCCGTTGCCCACGTTCTGTTTAACCGGTTTCTGAAGTTCAACCCCAAGAACCCGCAGTGGCTCAACCGCGACCGCTTCGTCCTCTCGTAAGTTTTTGTTTTACCCGATACGTCAAACGAGGGGTCCAGCCATTGGGCGATTATGCATTGGTGGCAATGGAAGATATCGCTCAGGGAGGGGCAAAATTGGCTCACACTATTTTGCGCTTAGTAACGGGCACGGGTGCATGCTGCAGTATGCTCTCCTCCACCTCTACGGCTATGCCCTCTCGATCGATGACTTGAAGGCGTTCCGGGTAAGTCTCTCCTCCATGTCCTCCCTGTACTCCATGTGCTCCATGTGCCAGACACCTTATGCGTGATTGGCTGTTGTTGTGCAAAGTGCGCGCTAATCTAACACGACGCTCTTCCCCCCATCTGGTAGTCGGTCGACAGCATCACTCCCGGCCACCCCGAGGCCCATGACACCCCCGGCATTGAGGTCACCACCGGTCCCCTCGGCCAGGGTATCAGCAATGCTGTTGGTCTCGCCCTCGCCCAGGCACACACCGCCGCCGTCTTCAACAAGCCCGGGTTCGACCTGGTTGACAACTACACATACGCCTTCCTCGGCGATGGCTGCTTGATGGAGGGTGTCTCGTCCGAGGCCTCGTCTCTGGCCGGCCACCTCCAGCTCGGCAACCTGATTGCCGTGTGGGACGACAACAAGATCACCATCGACGGTGACACCAACCAGGCCTTCACCGAGGACGTCGTGAAGCGGTACGAGTCGTACGGCTGGCACGTCCTGACCGTCGAGGACGGCGACCACGACCTCGAGGGCATCGAGGCCGCCTTCAACAAGGCCCGCGAGGTCAAGGACAAGCCCACCCTGATCCAGCTCAAGACCATCATCGGGTTCGGCTCCAAGCAGCAAGGCACCCACGGCGTGCACGGCGCGCCCCTCAAGGCCGACGACATCAAGCAGCTCAAGGAGAAGTTCGGCTTCAACCCGGAGCAGAGCTTCGCCGTGCCCCAGGAGGTGTACGACCTGTGCAACAAGGTGGCCTCCTCGGGCGCCGCCCAGGAGCAGGAGTGGAACCAGTTGTTCGCCAAGTACGCCGAGCAGTACAAGGCCGAGCACGCTGACCTGGCCCGCCGCCTGGCGGGCGAGCTCCCCGAGGGCTGGGAGAAGCATCTCCCCACCTATACCCCCGCGGACGCTGCCGTTGCGTCGCGGAAGCTGTCCGAGATCGTGCTCAACAAGATCTTTGAGGCCGTTCCTGAGCTCGTTGGTGGCTCGGCCGATCTGACCGGCTCCAACCTGACCCGCTGGAAGGGCGCCATCGACCTCCAGCCCCCCGCGACCGGCCTCGGCACCTACGCCGGCCGGTACATCCGATTCGGTGTGCGCGAGCACGCCATGGGCGCCATCATGAACGGTCTCGCTGCCTACGGCACCATCATCCCGTACGGCGGTACCTTCCTCAACTTCGTCTCGTACGCTGCCGGTGCCGTGCGTCTCTCTGCGCTCTCCCGCGTGCGCGCCATCTGGGTCGCCACCCACGACTCGATCGGTCTCGGCGAGGACGGCCCGACCCACCAGCCGATCGAGGTGCTCACCCACTTCCGCGCGCTGCCCAACTGCATGGTGTGGCGCCCGGCCGACGGCAACGAGACCAGCGCCGCGTACTACGTCGCCCTCGTGTCCAAGCACACCCCCAGCATCCTCGCGCTTTCGCGCCAGAACCTGCCCCAGCTCGAGGGCTCCACCATCGACAAGGCCATCAAGGGCGGGTACGTCCTCCACGAGCAGGAGGGCGCCGACATCACCCTGGTGTCGACCGGCTCCGAGGTGTCCATCTGCATCGACACCGTCAAGGAGCTCGCCGAGAAGCACAACATCAAGGCCCGCGTGGTCTCGCTTCCCTGCTTCGAGGTGTTCGACAGCCAGTCCAAGGAGTACCGACTCAGCGTCCTCCCCGACGGCATCCCGTCGCTGTCCGTTGAGGTCATGAGCACCATCGGCTGGGAGAGGTATACCCACGAGCAGTTCGGCCTGAACCGCTTCGGTGCCTCTGGCGCGTACAAGGATGTCTACAAGGTGCGTTCCCCCCTTTTTTTGCTTATCCGGAGCCTAGTTTGGTGCATTTTTGATCTTTATGTGAGTATATGCTAACCTGTGGTCCTCCGCGCAACAGAAGTTCGAGTTCACCACCGAGGGCATTGCCAAGCGCGCCGTCGCCACCATCAACTTCTGGAAGGACGTGCCCAACATCCGGTCGCCCATCAACCGCGCGTTCCAGCAGATCCTTTAGATGCACAGCAGCGAAGCGTGACGAGTTATGTAGAAGGATACACGGGAAAGCAGAATAGCGATAGAATTTCCTGGACCGAGAGGAGAACGCCGCGAATAAGAGGGGGAGGGCGAAAAGGAAGAAAAGGGGACCGGCCCTGACGAATGCAGGGTAATTATTGGCAGAGGTTATTTCGGGTCTGCCTGGTTTGGCGGAATATGCGGTTATGAAACTGGTCTCGGAAGCAAATAACTAGACTTTTACAAGTGATGATTCTTGTGTGTGTACTGTTGTGATTGCCATGTCGTGTTGGTGAAGTGATCTCTTGCTGCTTTCCTTGTTGATAACCGTCATGTTGGATATAGAGAGAAGGTACCTACTTCTCGGTTTAGACAACCTTCTCCTTATCCTTGAATTACCGTCCCGTTTCCTCATTTCACCAAATGGCTTTTTTGTACCTGACCAACCCCATCTCCAAGTCCCTCCTTCCATCTGATGGGTATCGGGAGTTGAGAGAAGTGGGGGTGAGCTTTCTGGCTTCTGATTTTGTTTGTTGTTGCTATTATTATCATCATTATTTAATTATTTAATCTCCTCGGAGAACCACGTTTCCCGATTTGAGGGAATTTGTTTTTGGGATACTTTTACTTTGGTGGTTGTTGAGGATGACGCACAGGTGAGACAGGGCAGTTTGAGGTTTGTGCAGCGCACTGTGTGGTGGGGCAGTGGGGGGTTGACATTAACTAACTACCCCTGTTGCTCCTTGCGGCGGGATGAGCTTCCTTCTGATGCCACCTCGCATCGTTGGTGCTGTCTACACACACCACAGTACTTCAGCCTCTCTGAACCGCCGTTGTTCTGATTGATCAACATTTGACATAGTAATTGCCCGTTTGGTTGCTTCTCTCTCTCTCACGGTTCATCATAAATTGTGCGCGCTTGCTTGACCGATTGGACGAAGTGGGCAACCTAAAGTCCCCCCGGCACGATGGACGAAGAAAAGGCAAAGGCTGAGAAGAAGGCTGCGGCGAAGAAGAAGGTATGTCGCTGATTGTCTTATCCACTGGCTCGGGGGGTTTCACGGTGCGGTATAGTTGACTGGGGAAATTCAGTTCGATCAAATGCGGAAGGCCAAAGCGAAAAAGACCGAGGGCAGTAGTGGGAAAAAGGACCCTGGCACTACTACTGCTTCTGCGTCAGACGTAGGCGAGGGGAAGAAGAAGAAGGGCAAGAAGGGGAAAAAGGAGGAGGAGCAAGTAGAGGAGGAGGATAAGGAAGAGGAGCAAATTGAAGACGAAGAGAAGGAGAACGAAAAAGAGGAGGACGAAAAGGAGGAAGAAAAAGAAGACGACGACGGCGATGACGAAAACCAACAGACCGAAGCCTTTCCTACCATCCCCGAAGACACCACCACCACTACTACCACCGAGTCCAAACCGACCCCCTCTCTCTCCCAACAATCCAAAGCGCGATCGACCTCGTTCCGGCAAGGCTCCATCTCGCTGTCCACCGCGCCCGGAAGCATACCCCCCGTCCCGCCTCTCTCACCGAGCGCTGCCGCAACAGGACTGGGCGTGTTCAGTCCTGAAGGGGAGACGGCCCCGGATATCTACCGGAAGCATGTGCAGCGGATTGAAGAGCTGGAGCGGGAGAATAAGGGGCTGCTGAAGGAGGCGAAGGATGCGGAGAGAAGGTGGGAGAAGGCGGAGGGGGAATTGGCGGATTTGCGGGAGGGTGTGAGCGCTGGGGCTGGGGCTGGGAATGAGGAGGTTATCAAGCTGGTGAGTAGTAGTATGCTTGTTGGAGTTGGACGCTCAGTGTTGCGAGAAGTATGGCTGACCAGTGACTGGCGAGCGATAGAAAACCGACCTTGCCGCGCTCCAACGACAAAACAGCCAGCTGCAAACCCAGCTCACCCGGCGCCACGGCTCGTCACCCTCGCTCTCCATGTCCGCTCCCCCACCAGCCACGGAGCTCGAAGCGCAGCTCCGAAGCAAATCCTCCACGATCGAGACCATGGAACTCGAGATGTCGCGCCTGCGCGCCCAGGTCGAGCGCCTCTCCGTCTCGGCGTCCACCCCTTCGGAACAAATCACCGCCCTGGAGGAAAAGCTCGCGCGGGCAGACAAGGCGGCCGGGCTCGCGCAGCGCGAGCTGCACGACGTCAAGGCCGAGCTGGAGACGGCCTCCAAAAAGGCCGTTAAGGAAGGCTCCGAGCGCGCATCGGCCGAGACGAAGCTACGCACGCTCGAGCAGCAAGCGACCGAAGCCACGACTGCGAAGGATGAGCTAGTCAAAAAGGTCGACGCGCTCGAGAAGAAGGTGACCACGCTCACAACGCTGCACAAGGAACAGGATGGCCGGACGCAGGCGCTGCGGAAGGACAAAGAGCGCGCGGAAAAGGAGGTCGGCGAGCTCAAGAGCAAATTGGAGCGCGCCGAAGCGGAGAATCTGCGGCTGCGGAAGAAGGATGCGGCTGAGGGTGGTGGGGATGATGAAGGGGTTGATGAGCTGGAAGATGAGGGGCGGTTGCGGTTGGAGAAGAGGGTGCGGGAGCTCGAGGCGGAGAATACGGATCTGCGGCGGGGCATCTGGCAGGAGAAGAGGCGCGAGATGCAGGTCGGCCCGGAAGACGATGCGGCTGCGGCTGCGGCTGCTGCTGGTATCAGCGGGAGTGGCCACGGCCGGTTTGAGACAGTTGACCTCGGCGGTGCGGCCTCTGCCTCTGCGCCGGCGAGGAAGGGCATCACCACCGGCAGTGGCGCTGGGCTAGGCGAGTTCTTTACGAGCGGGCTGAACGCCATCACCGGCGCAGCGGCCTCCGCCGCTTCAGGTGGGAGCGGCCCCCATGCTCATCATGCTCATGGTCATCATCATACCCAGGGACATGGCCACGGCCACGATGATGGCCTGCTGGAGGATGATGACATGGAGTTTGACGAGGAAGCATTCCGGCGGGCGCAGGAGGAGGAGCAAAAGACGCGGATCGAGCGAATCAAGGAGATTAAGCGGTCACTGAAGAATTGGGAGGGGTGGAGGCTTGATTTGGTGGAGAATCGAAGGGGCGGGGGGGAAGGCATCGGGGAGATTTTTGATATTTAGTTTAAGGAGCTAAAGCTCCCTACCATTACTGAGTGTATCTGCCACCTCAGCTCCACATTTCAAGCTTCATGCTCGACAACCAAAGGGACTGGATAGGGTATTCATCCAAGGCCATGCGTACATAGTCGTGCCAATCATCATTCCAACCACCGTTGGCAAATGTAGCCGTAGAATATTCCCAATACGTCGGATACCAGGACGCAAACTCCCAGTCGATCATGACTACCGTCCCGTCAGGCTGCACCATGACGTTCTTCCTCTAAAAATCGTTGTGGGTGAAGACGGGAGAGCCATTGCCGTGAAGGAAAGTGGGAAGGACATTTTGGTAATACCGGGTCTTATGGCTCGTCCGCTCGCCGGTTTCGAGCACGTATATCCGAATGATACAGTCGATCAGTTCGTCCTCGGTTGCAAATGGCGTCTTGACCTCGTCGGCAGCACCCTGCGTCGCCGAGAACATGTCGTCCAGTGGCGGCCCGCCGGCGATGTTGCCGAAGTAGCCGGCTAGGTGTTCTGGGTGTTCCAGTCGCCGGAGCTCATCGAAGTAGCCACGAAGGGTCCTGGCGATGTCGGTTTTGCGAGCCTGGTCCAAGCTGGCCCACAAGTTGAGGAGCGTCGTACCCGGGATATATTGCATGACGATATATGTGGCGATGCGCTGCTTCTCATCATGACATCGGTAGATGGCGTAAACCTTGGGGACTGGTATCGTCGTGGTTTTTGTCACATACAGCATGTTATGAGCCTCGATGGGGTGGACGTGAATGCCGAACTTGGTCACGAATTTCTGCTGTTTCTGCTGCAACTTTACGAGACGACAGCCGGTGGACTGATGGAGCAAAACTTCAGAGCCGTCGATGTCATTTGGAGTTGGTAGAGGAGGATCGGCGTCATTCCGAGACGGGTCCGTGAAGAGGACATCGTATGGTGCTTCCTTAGGCATTGGTAAATATTACCCCTCCCCCGAGTGAAGATGATGTTGTCGGAAACTAGGAAAGTGCGTGTTATCTACGAGCCTACCTATGGTAAAGGCGAAAAAAAGGGAAGTGGGATGTTGGGAAGGGGTCAGTCGCTTGGGGCCCTGGGTTAAGAGTCAAGGTGAGGTAACATACCGTAACCAACCCTAACCCTAACTACATATTATACCCTCATGTAAGGTTCTCTCTCCAGCTGGGATGATCATCCGCAGTCTTAAAGAGTCCTGGTCTTAAACACGCTCCAGTTCTGCAGCCAGCCACCGGTAGACTTTCCGACAATCCATCTCCAGTTTACCACCCATCGTATAAACAAACAAAATCTCGTCCTTTCGGACTCTCCGCCTCCCAGATGTCAGCCTATCCTGTCTACCTCGTCGAATCCCTAGGAGCCCCGCGGAACCATCATGCCATCTTCGTAGAAACCCAAGACGACGGATCCGGAACTCTCTTTCAAGTCAAAGGCAACATCCAGAACGGCATGACATATGAGACTAGACAAGAGCCGAAGCCCGACTTATCAAGTACCTTTATATCGAAGTCGTCTTTGGGATGGGTCCGGGCCCATGACCTGTCTCGCGTCGACTCCATCTGTCGCGCAAACCCCCCTCCGGCGAAGCAGTTCGACGGACCTAAACGGATCGACAAGAAGACACCCCTCCGACGCTGCCAGGAGTGGACAAGCGAGACCGTTGGGAACCTCAAGGCTGAAGGCATTCTTCTGGACAGCAGTGACTCCCTTTCTGTTTAGTTTGTTTCTACTGTCGTTTTTCTTGTTAGTTGTTTTTCCTGTTGTCTATTTTACATTTCACTTGTTTATTTAATTGCCGTTGTTAAATCCAGGGGTTGTAGGGTACGTCTATGTTTTATTCTTGCAGGCTCCTGAAGCGGTTTAGCTTGCTCTACTCCGTGAGAGCAGGAGAAAGATAGGTAGTGATAATGCCAAGCTGTCGTGTAGTTAGGGGAACTTACATTTATACCTATCTATACTGCTTGTGAAGGGCTCAGGCCTCGGGCCATGCTTGTGCCAAGGCCCTGACCATGAGCATTGGCGATAGATCATGGCCGATGGCCTTCAGGGAGAGTGGCCGAGTTGGCCCGCCAACTCGCTTCCGAGACGGGCTCCGCTCCGGGCCCGGTCCGGGAGTGGAGCCCGACCTGTCGAGACCCAAAATGTGCCCATCAAGAAAGAGGGGACCTCGCTATGGCCAAAAAGCGGCAGACCAAGTCCTTAGATAGGTAATTTACTTTTCCACAAAAGTGAAAAAAGACCAAGAAGGCTAAAAAGAAGAAATCAAAAAAAGGAAAAAAGACGAAAAAGAGTAAATCAATCGAAGTCTGGTAAGATTTGAATGAATATTAATGGATTGGACTTAGGCTACCTAACTATACGTTTTACACTGCCGCTTTTCTTGGCCACAGCGAGGGGACATTAGAATACTAGATTTCGAATTTGGGCTATTGGTATTCACTTACTGTTATTAGGGGACTCCCAATTGGTTCCTATACCTCTAGTTATTGATATACTGAAAGTCAGTAGGTTTAATCTGAGGTTAAAATCTAGCTTAGTACCTCAGGCACCTAGGTACGCTTTATCTCGGGAGCTGAGACTAGCCACCAGCTAACACGAATCAAGCAATCGCAAACATCACGAATTAGTACCAAAACAATCGTCTACGTTGTCTTTCTGCTTAAAGCCGGTACTTTGCGAATTAGGTGCAATGGGACCCCGCGCAGTTGAATGCTCTGCGCAGACCCTTCGCCGCCGTGTTTTGTCACATTGCCAGTCCTCTCTCCTCCTCCTACGCCCTCATCCTCGCCCACAGAATTCCCCTCAAAACGCAACACACCGTTCGAATCAATTCGCCAGCCTGTCCTCGGTCTCCGCCCCCACTTCTGCATCTTCCATCGGACAACAGCCCGTGTCCAAGGGAGTGCAACTCAAGTCGTCTCTGGGCAATTGTTATGTCGTCGACAAAGTGCTTTCCGAGCGACTTGCCGCTGGAAGAATTTGGTGTGTATACCGTGCGACGTAGGTTGAGCATTTCCCTACGATCTCTTCGGCGTACGGTTACAAGACAGAAGATTCTAACTACCTCCCAATTTCAGACACCGGGGGAAGCAATTCATCCTCAAGGACATCATCCCTGGTGACTTCGATTACGTCATTCCGCTATATAAGCAGGTCGAGCACTCTCTTCATACCCGAACGGCTGTAGATAGTATTCCCGAGCGGCACATTCTTGTCTTCCCGTACCTCGAGAAGGGACTGCTTCATGTCGACATCACAGCTTTTTCTTCTATCTCCAAAACGGTCATCATCAGGAATGCTCTCACCGGACTCGCTGATATACACGATCAACATATCATCCATACTGGTCAGCTTTCCTTTTGCCAACGTATGATATCTATACTAATATAATTCTAGATGTCAAACCCACCAATGTCATGTTGGATTCCTTCAAACAGGATAACGGCGACCTTGGATGGCGTAACGTCCAGATCACCGACCTGGAAGCTGCGGTAGTACTTCCGCCCAAGGCCAGGGGCCTTGCAGACCGCTTGTCAGGGAACCACTTCTGGAGAAGTCCAGAGGCTTGGGCTCGGGGAATCCAGAGTACCCCATCGGATATCTACTCCTTTGCTATTGTGGTAGGTTCTTCCGTGAATAGAAAATACATCATATAAGTACTCACTATCATATATTCAGGCAATATTTGCATGGACAGGAAGGATGGTGTTTTTTCAGAAGAGGCAAACCGTGCCTCTCCCGAGGATCAGGCGGAACTGATACTCCGGCGCCACCTATCATTCTTTGCCAGCGAGATGGAGGACTTCGAGGGGTTCATTGCTTACCACGGGGGAGACGATAATCCATTTGTCAAGCGTCTCAAAAAACTACTCTGTGCCTTCAACGAGGATAATCCGAGGTTGCCCTTTGGGAGGTGGCAGCAGGTGGACCCCCGGTTCGGGGATCTCATCTGCAAGATGACCTACATGGATCCTCCGCGGAGGATCACAGCACGAGAGGCGTTGCAGCATCCTTGGTCCGATGGAACCTAAACGGCCGGGTACAGCTGTTCACAAGCGAGCGTTATCTCGACTTTACCAGTCACATCTCGATCCTGATCTGGACACACTACTCCCACTCTTCCGTCGGTTTCGGGTCTGCCCGTGCCCACTGTCGTTATACGCTTTACCGTAGGGTGACAGTCGGGGCGCTCATGTCAGGTCAGCGCGGGATGACGCCCTCCAGGACCCCAACTCAGGCACAGTTACACGAATGGAATCATGCTGCGTTGTGGTTATGCGCCGATACCGCATAGGACCGCATATTATACCATGAATCAGTACTACCCCTCCCGCTATTTCGTAACCCCAAGTTCGTCAGAGTAGGAGAGATAGCCAGCAAATCTTACATTACAAAAGGTCCACGGTAGCGCCGCGATATCAATGGGCCGCCCTCTCAAATAACCTTTCTTCCACAAACGCTTTCGCCGCCTCGGGGTCTTTCTCCCACTTGAGCCAGTTGTAGGCCCACGGGCGGCCTTTGTACTCGTCATTCCCCGAGCAGAAAGCCTCAAGGTCGTCGGGGATGGCTATCGCCCTCAGACTGCCCTTTAAGAAGTAGCAATGATCGAGCAGATCCTGCAGCTCTTCCGACATCATGCCTTCCCGTATGTTGTGCTGGATTTGGACCATGGCCGGATGGTACATGGTCCATGAGCGGCTAAAGTCGACGAGTTTCCCGCCCAGGTAGTTGCCGCCGTGGGTGTCTCCCACGAATATACCCAGAGAGTGAAGGGATTTCAGGCCCGCCCACATGCCCTGGGCTATATTGGGATTTAATTCCCCCCTAGGGACGAGTTCTTTGACGATGGCCCGGACAGGCAGTCCGCGGTGTTCCTCCTGCCGCCTCCAGAAATCGTGGCCATTCAGGGCCTTGTCCGCCTTGGCGTCGGGGGGCGGGGTGGACTCGCCTGTTACCTTCCGGGCTAACTCGGCTTCCTGCTCAGGGGTAAGGAGGAGATAGCCGTAGGCCTTGACGGCCAGGTCCTCGCGCTTTGCTTCCTTGAGTTAGCCATAGGCACGGCACTCACAGTTGAAAGGGTCAAAGTAGTCGGAATAGAGCTGAGAGTTGGCAAGTGGCCTTGTAAGGTCCCCGCCCTGGTTTTTACGGAGAAAGTTTGAGTGGCGGAAGTAAAACTAGGGAGGGCATTCCGAGTTAGATTCCGAGTGAACTGGGCCGGCGCCGAACCAATATGCTGCGTCTCATCACGTACCGTCTTGAGAGCAAACAGGCGAGGCTGCCCAGCTACTTTGGTCTTGACCTTCCAGACCTGAGAGTCCACGTTGTATTCCTCGCCGAGAAACTCAACAAACTCAATATTGGCTCGGGCATTCGGAGTGAAAGGGGCTAGTTTGGGGCCTGGCACACGGGGGAGGGGCACTGGCGGATTGGGAAGGGGCGCGATGTGGAAAACTGATGAAGTCATGGTGTGAAAGTAGGTACCTCGGTAAGGTAGTATGCTGAAGTCGTCGGGTTTACGCGGAAATTCAAATTCAAAGGTTGAGAACTGAGGCGGAAATGCAGACGGCCAAAAGACGGAAAAGTTGAGACAGCGTTGGGTTCTCTAGATAACGGTCAACAACCTAGACCTTCTTGGTGGCCGCCGAAGCGATCGATGCTGGGTGAGAACTGCCGCCTGTGCCAATACCAACTGGGACGGAGGGGGCCTGCGGCAATCGATTCTGGCCCCCACACATCAGTGAGCAACAAAAAAAGAACGTGAGTGTGTTCCTTGTGTTCTTTGTTTTTCGTTCTTTATTTGAACCTATTTGTGAGCGGCGACGGACGGGACGATCGGATTGATGAATGGGGGGGACTAAAAAGCCGGACGGACGGATGGATGGATGTACGAGAGGGAAAAGGGAAAAGGAAAAAAGGGGGGATAGGATAAATGACAGCGCATCATATATTTCCATCATGCCCTATCATGCCCGAAGGTTTCACAGCGGGTCAACGTTATTCGTTATTGTGTTGTATAACTTTTTCCTCTCTGATTAATTTACTAAGTAACCTTCTGTTTGTTCTACTCTGTCTGGCTTTACCCACCCAGCCAGCCCGTAAACAACCGGTGTAAACAAAAGCCGAGTCACATCACATTCATGAGCAAATACACCTTACCTCAGCCCCCGACCCCCTTCTCACATCTCCAGTGTATAATTATATCAGCACACATATGTGTATGTTCCTTATTCTGCGCCCTATTCGAGTCCTAAAACGAATATGCTACATCCCGTCCACTCAACCGTCCCCTGGTTCAGATGCAAAGACGCGCCACCACCATCCCATTCCTGGTATTCTCGCCACCGAACGGTCTATAAGCTAAATAGGCCATCTCTTGTCTCCTAAAGCTTAGGTTGTTTGCCTGCTCATCACCTCCCTTTTCTTACTACTCTGGTACTAGTTATCCGCGCCCCTTAACTCCCGTCCCGGGCCTCATCCATGGCCGAAAGAAAACAGCGGGAAAATAAAAAAAGAACCCCGCCAATGAAAAACCCAGGATGCCAACCCATCGGAACCCGATACGCTTTAATCAAGACCCATCAGTCTCGTCCTCGTTCTCGTTCTCGCGGCGACGATCGCGTTGGTGATAAGGGCGGTGGTGGGATCCGTTTAGCCTGACAGCAGCAAAACGCTTAGCAAGAGGTTCTCCAGCGTCGTCATCGTCATCGCCATCGTCATGTTTATCGTCGTTACCGCCGCCGCTTTCACCGCTACCGTTCTGAAGGGCAGAAGCAGGAAAGGAAGGGGTCAAGGCCGCCGAGGAAACATGGGCACCACCACTGCCAAGGAGCTGCTGGCCGTTGGTGCCTGTGTTGGTGGTGGCAGCGGGATGATCCTCTTCTCCCCTTCTTGATGACGACGATGACGGCGGCAGTGACGGCCGGGGGCGCTTGGGAAGTCTCTCACCAGTGGATTCCAGGATCATGTGGAGTGTTTGCCAGCCCGTAGTGGCACGCAGCTGGAAGGCCTCGGCCAGGTCGTGCAGGGTGGCAACCCGACAAAGGAGGGCTTCTTCTTCCTGTAGAGAGAGAAAACAAAAAAGGGTGAGAGGGTTGGCACTATGTATTGAACAAAATTACAAGATTAAAGGAGATGGGAAGAGATTTGGAGACATACCTTGCCGAGAACGCCCATCTGATGGATGTAGCAGAGCAGATGGAAATCAGACACGGGTAAGGAATTATCCTTTTGCCCGAACCGCAGCGCTTTTGCGACGGCCGAGACTTCTTGGGCCTCGCCGACGTACTGCCTGTTCTCGATGGGAAACCCGCTGTCGGTAAATAAGGGTTTGGGCGCCTCGGGGAAGCCGTGCGTGAGGGTGACAAAGAGGTACTCGACGGGGAACGCAGGTTTCGCGTTTTCCTGAACGTTCGCGCCGTACTCGTTGATCCGGCGGTAGAACACCTCGGGAATGTACCGTGTCCGGCTTGTGGACCCGTCATCTTCCTCCTCCTCGCGGACGAGCATCTGGGTGGGATCGGCGGACGGCTCAATGATATCGGCCCGCACCATCTCGACGGCGTCGTTGGACATTTGGTAGGCTGCAATGGAGATCTCGCCCTTTTCGTTCCCCGAGATAATGCAAGTGACAAAGTTGGAGCCGAAACGGCCGGTGTCGCTCCACTTGCTCGGCTTGGGGTGCTGGGCCTGCATCCGCGCGGCGAAGGTGATCTCCTGGGAAGCCAGGAAGTACGAGTCGGCGTGGCGTTTACAGACGGCGCTTCCGTCGCCCTGTCCGGCGTCGAGAAGGTCGGTCCAGATCACGCCGACCTGTTGCAGCCCGCATGCCTTGGCCACGGTGTTGATCGCCTCCTCGTCCTCCCACGCATTGAGCGACACGCCGTCCACCTCATCGACCTGTGGCGGTTCATAGATGGCCTCCACCACGGCCTTAATCCCCAACGGTACGACATCGTATTCCAGATATCGACCGTACAGAATCCCGAGGCGTTGTGATCCGGTGCGACGCCACGCATCGAGAAACTTGTCGATGATCTGTGGCGAGGCAAACTCGACGTGGTCGACCATACGAAACTGTTGCGGCTGGAGCGTGATGGCACTCGGCTGGCACTTGGTGCAGATGCCCTCGGGCCACTCGGGGTGACCAGACGGGCAGTCCCGCTTCACCCTGTAGTAGGGCTCGACCAGCGGAGGAATGAAGGAGCTCCCCAGCTCCGGCTTGTTGGTGGCCGAGTTGGTCTTGCGCATGTAGGCGTGCACCGACATGTACTTGATCTTCTTTTCCTCGAGATATGCGGCGTTGAAGGGGTCTAGCGGCATGCAGTAGTCGCACATGCCCTTGGGCCCGTGCCGGCACATCTTGTCCCGTTTCCTGGGGATCTTGCCATCCTTCCTGTCCAGCCGGTCGTCGAGCGGTGACTGTCGGACTACCTCCCACGGGTTCTTGATCCGCTCGGCGGATGTGTTCGGTGGGGGGTCGATGGGATGGTCTTCGGTCGGGAGGATCGGCTTGCCGTTGAGTCGGTTGGTGGAGGAAACAAGCGAAGGCTGGTCGGCGTCGGACGCACCGTTGGTTAAGGCCACGTCCTGAGTCTGGTAACTAACAAAGATGAGGTCGCCGTGCCGTAACCCAACTTGACTGATCTTGAATTTGGCAATGTCCCCAATCTTTTTCGCATCGCCGCCGCCGGGGTGGTTCGAGAGAGTGATGGATTGTGGGTTGATGGTCGTAGGAAGTTGGGGGAGAAGCTATCGCAGGTTGGTTAGTTCTGTTTCATTGCACGAGGAGATCCAGGAAATGGCGAGTACCTTCTCGATAAGATCACCAAATGTATCGTCGTTGTCCGCCATCTGGCGGAACATGCCATCCGGGGAGCGTAGCCGTAGCAGCATGGTGAAGGCGATGTGTTTCCACGTGGTAGGTACTTTATGCAGCTTCGATTTGTTTGTTGAAAGTCACGGACAGCCGGTAGTACAGTTTGTGGTTTAGAGAGGAGCTGCGTTTAGTGGGATGCGGGAAATCACCGGCAGGTACCGGGCTGTGTCGGAGGAACCGTCGTTTGTTTTTCAAACGGATGGTGTTCTTACCAGGCTCAACAACGCCCAACCTCAATGCTTGGAGCTCACGTTAACTACCGCCTGAAGCTGGACCTTCGTCATCAAGCTATGCCTAGCAGTTGCCCCTCGGCCCCACATCCAGGCGCATCGTTATGTGGGCCCGGGGTTGGCCGTCAATCGAACAAAGCATGGGCTCCCACTAGGCGCACGGGTCCGTGCGCTTACGTAAACCTGAAATAGCTTATATAATCTACAAAATGCATCAAACGCGGCATCGACCTTGTGCCCCTGAACCCCTGAATGCCACCACCACAGCCATCAATAGCACTCAATTCAATCAATCCGCACAACATCTGAATACCGTTTCGGGCACGCCCGGGAGGTCCTTATATGGCCAACCTCCCCGTAAGCCGTACATTGGCTTAGCCGCTTAGCCCGTATAGTATCACGGACTGGGCCGCGGAAGACAGCCCGTAGCACATAAAGGTGGGGCACGGGACGCACCACCAGCCAATCACTTATACAGCCAATCAGGAGAGGCTCGACGGGATCTCTTGAGATCTATAAGAGCTAACACCAGGATCGATAAAGAGGGACTGAGAGCCAATAGGCTCGACGGGATCTCTTTAAGATCTATAAGATCCAGGTATAAGATACTTAGGAACATTCTTTATCTAGATAGGTATATAGTTACTCGTTCTAAAGGACTCTAGGAGTTCTCCAATAAGTAATATAACTTGTTTGCTATTAGTTACTACGAATATTAAGACTAGATCATTATCTTATTATAAACCTTTTAGCTTTACCGAATTATAACCCTAGTTATCCTACCTTTAGTAAACCCTTATAGAGTATAGTTAATACAATTCGTCATACGTTATTTACTCCCTTTGATTCTATTATAGTTTAGACAAAGGTATATCAGATAATATAAACGCTGTATCCTCTAACGTTAGTATAGGCTCTACGCCTAAGGTCCCTGTCAGCGAAGAGAAGGCCGAGAAGATGTTTATCGAGCTCCAGGAATAGGTTATCAGACTCGAGGCCGAGCTTCGGGTCAATTAGCAGATCATTAACGAAAACGCCGCTCGAGTCGAGGCCATCAAAAGGTCGAACAACAGCAGTGCCGTTCCTAAGGCGCCTAAGGTCAAGATAGAGGCTCTAGCCAAGTATAAGGGCAAGAAGGAAGACCTTTTAAGGTTCTTTACAGAAATAGCCTCCTATATCGAACATTACTAGGACCGGTTTCGCTCAGAGCATACTAAGACCTATTATACTACCTCCTAACTCACAGGTCAACCAGCCTGATAGTTTAAGCCTACCCTGAAGGACCATATAGAGAAGATTTCAGAGGAATAACAGGAGTTTACCTAAAAGGTCTTCCAGGACTATACTTGCTTCGAAGCAGAACTTACAAAGGTATTCGGGGATAGAGACGAGAAGGTCTATACTTAGGACCAGTTGGCCAGACTCTACTAGAGTAAGTCCACCTTGGTATATACTACACTATTCTGGCAAGACACTATCTAGGCTAGGATCAACGAAGATAAGCTTATATCTTTATTTTACAATAGCCTAAAAGAGGATATAAAGGATAAACTCTATAAGGAAGATCACCTAGATAATCTAGATAAGTATATTACTAAGGCTATCTATATCGACGACTACTTCTATATTAAAAGGTAATAGAAGAAAGGACAGTAGAAGTTAGTTATAGGGGGAAACTATACTAATAAAGGAAAAAAACAATAGGGAAGTATAGCCTTTAATACTTATCTAGGACCTATAGAGGTTAATATAATCTAGACTTAGTAGTATAACAAGTAGCCTTATAATAAGTCTAATATCACCTATTATAACTATAGAAAGAAGGGTTACTATAAATATAAATATAGGGGCCTATAAAGATAAGGCAAGACCCTAGGCTAATAGTCCCTAATACTAAGACAAGAAGCTGCTATTATTAAGAAAGGAGTTAAGTTCAAGGAAGTTACAGCTAGTAGTTATAGGCAGGATAATCTAGAGGATATCTATAACTATAGAAGATAGATAAGGCCTAACGACGAAGAAAGACTCAGGTTTAAAGAGGAGATATTTATAGACCTTAAAGGGAAATATTAGGATAAGTAGAGACCTATTAACAACAACGACTACTAACTCTATACCGATAAACTCAGATAGATAGTACCGTTCTTCAAAGGAACTAATATATCTATATATAATAGGTAGACACTTATATAAGATACTAATAGGGAATAGAACACTATATAGGAAGGAGAAGAACTAGGATTTAACGTCTATTACCTTAAAAAGAAGATATTTAAGTCTCGGGATAGGATCGATAATCTATAGAAAGCGATCAATAGACTAAAAGGGGAAATTTTCAGCCTATAAATAAAGATCTAAAAAGGGGTCTACGAGTAATAATAACTATAGGAAATAAATGGAAATCAATAGGAAGAATTAGAATAGAGCCGGTATAAAATCAAGAAGCTTTAGAAAGTTAATAAGCGACTTATAGGGTAGGGATAACCTATACTATAGGTAATTAAGTAGTTAAAGGAGCACCGAATAATCGACGCTATAAGCCAAGGAGAAGATAGGAACGTCCTATAATACTAAAGGGATTTAGGAAAAGATTTAAGGCTCTCTAAAGAGCCTATAAACTACTAAGCTCAGAAGTAAAACAATAGGTTATATAATATAGGTAGAACTAGTATAAACGACGACCTTATAATAACCTTCTAGCTAGCCTAATAGAGGTAGCTATAGTTCAGGACTGAAGCTAAGATAATAGGCTCTAGGTTATTACTAAGTAGAATCATCTATAAACCTTAATACTAGTAGATAGTAGCTTATAAGTAGATCTTATTAGCCCTATCCTAGTTAATAAATATAGGATTCCCTAGAGAATAAAGAAGGTACCTTACCTAGTATAAGGACCGTTCCCAACCTAAATAGTCAAAAGAGAAACCAAACCTCTGGATATAGAGGTAGAAGGGAAAACTATAAAGGTAGTATTTGATATTATAGATATAGGAACCACCAAGGATATAATCTTAGGGTTACCCTAGTATAAGGAATATAACCTAGATATTAGTTAGAAGGATAGTAGCCATTTACAACTATATAACCTATAGGAGTATCTAACTAATAAAATAAGAAGTATAAGAAAGGAGCTATAATAGGGTAAAGTATAAGGGAATATAACCCCTATAAGCCTACTATAAGAAATAGTCAGTAATAAACAATAAGCTCTAGATTCTAGGAAATATAGTTTATAACAATAGAAGGAGGTATAGGTAGATTAAGAAGTCACTATTATCTTAGTTGATATAAAAGGAAAGCTTATAATCGAGCAGTAGGTCAGCTTAGTTAAGGCGGTAAACATTAAATATAGAGGAGAAAAGATCGATATACTTAAGGTTATAAGTATCGAAGCAGGGAATAATAAGTTCACCTACTATAGGGGGACTATAAAGACTGCCATAACTGGCAAAATTCCCCAGGAATATAAAGGGCACCTAGTATTTTAAGCCAAACATCTTAAGGGGCTCCTAGAATATAGACCTTAGGACTATAAAATCAAGTTAAAGGAGGGAGCACAGCTTAAGTTCTTTAAGGTTTACTATATTAACGAGAAATAAAACGCCGAATTAAGGAAATATTTAGATAATAACTTAAAGATCAGATATATCTAGCTATTAACTTTACCCGCTAGATATCTAGTATTATTTGTCCTAAAGAAGGATAGGAAACTCAGGATATATATAGACTACTAATAGCTAAATAGTAAGACTATTAAAAATAGATATCCTCTATTACTAATTTTAAAACTCTAAGATCAGTTGGCTAAAGCCTAATACTTCACCTATCTCGACCTTCTAACAGTATATACCTATATCTATATTAAAGAGGGGGATAAATGGAAAACAGCTTTTAGGATACCTTATAGATACTTCAAGTACCTAGTAATACCTTTTAGCCTTACTAATATACCTATAACGTTCTAAGTAGTAATCGATCATACTATTTAACCCTATCTTAATAAGTCTATAATATACTATTTAGATAATATTCTTATCTACTTTAAGATACTTAAAGAATACTAACAGTATATATAATAGGTGTTTGACGTACTATATAAAAGTCAACTGTTGGTCAATAAAGAAAAAAGCGAATTTCACGTCTAAAAGACAGTCTTCTTAGGCTATAAAATCTCGTCTGGTAGAGTTAAGATCAAACCTTAGAAAATTCAGGCAATTACAGAATAGCCAATGCCTATTAACGCTATAGAGGTTCAGAGGTTTATTAGGTTTATAAATTTCGTCTAGATATTTATCTAGAACTTCAGTAATATCGTACAATTACTATACGAACTTACCAAAAAAGGAGTGGAGTTCAAATAAGGAGATATATAGGAACAGACGTTTAGGAGAATTTAATAAAGTATCCTAGTAGATCTAGTACTTCTGTTACCAGACCCTAACCTACCCTTCGAGGTAGAGGCTAATATATCGAACTTTATAGTTAGAGGACAACTTGGATAAAGGGACGAGAACAGGAAGTTATATCCGATAGTATTCTTTTTGAAGAAGCTAGACAGGCCCCGTCTTAACTACCCTATTTATGATAAAGAGTTACTTACTATTATTAAAGTATTCTAGGAATAGAGACTGTACTTTAATAGGACTACCTACCTAGTATAGGTCTATACTAACTATAAAAATCTCAAGTACTTTATAACGACTAAAGTCTTGAACGGGAGATAGACCTGATAAGTAGAGTTTTTATTGGAATTTAACTTTGTAATTAACTATAAGAAAGGTATAGAA